TTTTTTTTTTTTTTTTTTTTTTTTGCTTAATGGGGTACAAATACAAGTTAACTTTTCCTTGCTTTGCTTGGGTTAATATAAAATAGTAGAGGAAGACAATGTTACTGCACTATATAACCTGTACCAGCACAGGGATAGAAATTGCTTGTTTTTGTCTCGTTTTCGCTTGTTATACTGCTTTTAGGGTAGAGAATGGGTGTTTTCGGGGGAAAGGGGAGGAGGTGCACGTGACACATACCCATGTCTGGATATGTCATTGTGTGTGTGTGCGCGGTGTGTGTGTGTGTGTGTGTGTGTGTGTGTGTGCGCGCGAATACATTCGTTTATGCCATCAGCCTTCAAGTTGACGGTTTTGTATTTTCCCATACCTCCACTATACGCAGGAGTTGTATATGAGACGTACTGTATGTAATTTCATTCAGCCCTAACTTAATTTTGACATAACATGAATCAAGCATTGTTGCTCACGCTCATTCCAATAATCTATACTAACCCACTAATGTGCATATAAATTAAGTCTTTGCCTTTAGAATACCAGCATTTCCATATCTGTCCGTGAAAGCATACATTTAGCATACCCAAAATACATTAGATTTTGCGCAGTCATTTATCAATTATTCGACAGGAACATGGCAACAGCCTGTATATGTGTAGTAACTACATTAGTGAAATACTGGTTATGATTGATTCTCCTGTTGTGGCACCTTTTTTACGATCTGTTTAATGAATCATAGATAAACAAATACATGTAGAGGCTGGTTTGTATAGCATTAATTCGAGTCAATACAATAGCCTCAGTAGTGTGTTTATTTATTTATTTATTTATTTATTTATTTATTTATTTATTTATTAAGCACATCGTCAAAAAGATGCCATAACTTACATCACTTATAACAGACAATATAATGACCAACAAGGAGGAATCCGAAAATTGTTGTTTGATGAAACGTATTCACTTTTCACTATATACACATGTCATATGCCTTCGATTCTAGGAATTACTGGCACTGTAAGCATAGATGAAAACGGAGACAGAAACGCAGACTACTCCCTGCTTGACTTGAATCCGGAAACTCAAGAGTTTGAAGTGAGTTGATGTTGAAAATAAAGGACCGCCACTGATCACAAACATTGGCTAAAACAGCTAACCGGCCTGGAACGGATTCCTGATCACGTTATACACTTCGTCCTGGTTAAAGTATTAATTAGATAGAGCTTGAAATGTATTTATTATTATTATTATAATTATAAATATTATTAAAATAATAATATTATTATTGTATACTGCACGCATATGTAGGAGTGGATGTATGCCCTTTACGACCAGTAAGCATACCAGTGCCTGTGCGCTTACAAATCTGTTCATCGTTCATTCTGTAGATATTAAAAACACATGCTTACTTCAAATATTGTAATTTCAGTTTTAATTTGGGTCTTACATTGCAATTAGGTCACGTTCTCTTGTCATGTTTCAATTTATGAATTATTTGAATATCGAATGACAATATAACACAGTACACCTCTTGTCTCTATAGTTTGGCATTGAAACTGGTAGATAACTGGCCAACATTTTCTGCATAGCAATTATGTGATTTGACTTAACATTGGTGTTTCAAATCAGCAGTGCAAATTGATTTCATCATTATAGTTGTCATGTCTAAATGTACAGGTGGCTGTATATGATTTTGTTTTTTCTTCAAGGTGGTTGCCAATTACTATGGTAACCGTAAACAGTACGATGAGGTGCCTGGAAAGAAGATTCACTGGGCAGGCGGGAGAACAGGACCCCCGCCTGATGTACCAAAATGCGGTTTCGATAAATCCAAATGTCCAAACAAAGGTAGGGCAGAAACTCTGTTGACCATGAAAATACATAAATTTCTTACGTACGGCTGGGTTGTTCTGCTATTACTTTTGCATTTAAAAAAGATCGTGGGCAGATGCACATGGTTGAAATGTTCAGAAGAACTGCGTTTTTGACATGGGAAAACGTCAATATAAAATGTATTTTTGAAAAGTAATGTTTTGATTATCAGGCATATGGGGTACACTTACAAATCACGCTAAATGACCCCCGACAACTGTTCATTTCAACCTTTAACTATTATTTTAAGGGTACTTCCGACTGCTTGTAAATTTAACTTTTCTTAAATATTTCGTGTGAGATCTTTCAGGTAATCGACTAGACATTTTGGAAGAGGACATCAGGATAGTTAATAAAGAAGCATTACAAAAATTTTGACCACGTTTCAAAGAGAACCTAGCAGCCATTATACTTTCCGTTGCATTTACAAGTTTCTATTTACTCTCTTTCAGAACTCCCAGAATATGCCATAGTCATCATGGTCTTCAGCTCTCTACTCATCATTGTGTCACTAGGGGCCTTCTTCATATATAGGTTTGTAATAGAACTACGGTTGAAAACAGGATGACTGCACAGGCAGATCCGGGAAATTCCGTCTATTAAAGGAACATGTTTCTCTAATATTGGGCAAATTGCTACATGCAGTGACGTTTCTACACTTCCTGTTCCTCCTTTTTGTCCCCTTTCGACGAGGGTCGGGGGTCATATCCGCCATTTTGGGTTGAAAAGCAGTAGGGCGTATTCGCTAATAGCAATCTTGTGATGGTATACTTTAACCCATACCTACTTGTATGTGCTTTATATAAACAGTGTTGCCAAGGGGATAAGGGATTATTCTTTTCTAATGTGATATCAATATGATAAGGTATTATAATATGTTTACTTGCAAAGAAGTAATTAAGCCATAAAATGCGTCAGAATATTACTTTCATGCACGCACTGCAATAAGTTGGGCTCAGAACTGGTAGTTGCTTTATTGCAATTGTTAAAAAAATGCATGCGTCAAAGGAAAAATACAGTTAATTGAATTAGCTGCTGAGCAAATAGATACCAAGGCAACTTATATCACTGAGACAGGAAAATGCTTTTAAAAAGCTTAATATAACCAATTATCATCATTAACAAGTAAAAATATTGTATAATGTTTTCGACAAAGCTTATCAAACGCATTAGAGAAAAAATGATGTAATACATGACGTGTGATAGAATATAGCATGTTTATCAATCTTTATCAATATTAGAAATGTTGACTTTAATGTTTTAGCAAACGACTTTTCGCTGAGAAATTAGCGTAACGCACTGAAATTTATTCAGTCATAACCTATCCCCGACGGACAATACAACTCTGTTATGTTATTTTATGTGGTTTTCTGTTGGTGCCAAATTTTCTGAAGAGGAATAATTAGCTTTTTGCTGGCTTTTTTAGGCGGGGATGATTTGATTATGAGACACGAGCATTTTCTCTTTCAGACATTTCAAATTGGAGGCAGAGCTCGCAGAAATGAGCTGGCGAATCCGTTGGGAGGACATCATGTTTGCCCATCACGGTGGACCCAAGAGAGTTGGCAGCAGGATTAGTTTAACAAGGGTAAGAACTGCTACCTACGACAGTACCGGTGACAGTGACAACAGCACTCAAAAAACAAAAACGGAATCTATGTGGAAATCACTTCTCTCACTTCCTACGCGGTAGACACACTTCATATGGTGTATTCTTTCATACCATTAAAGATATCAAAACTTACAACAATATGGTAAAGTTATGCGCGATGTTGATAAGAGAAACAACCATGATTAGCCACCAGGAGAAATTGATACTAAATGAGTACCAAAATATCTGTGTGCAATGCGAAATAAGAGCTAGAACACGTATGCTTGGAGTGTTTAATGGCATATATCCTGTTTCGTGTAACAAAAGATATCACACATTTTGAAACATGCTTCTTGGAATGTTACAATGAAATTGACAAACAAACAGACAGACAGACAAACGAAAAGGGACTCAGTTTAAAAAAAGCATCAATTAACCCCGACGTCACAGGGACACTCCAAGCTATATCTTCTTTGATTTATGTGTTTAATGGTGCTTCAGCCACTCATAATGAGTCCTTCAGCCATTACGAACCCCGAGTTCTTCCGGCCTTACTTGCCTCGAGCCGTGGTTTGAGTATCACAGACAACGCGGACTTTTTTCAGACCTTCATATATTATATACGCGCTCACAATGTCAGGGGCGTGCTTCATGGAATCTTTTTTATGAAGATTTAAAAATGAAGAAGAGCATTGTCCACACGACCATGTTCAAAGTTGGAATGGCACAATTAATGGACAAAAACGAAATTTCAGCAATTAAAATACGAAGTGTATAATTTACTAGTACATTTTACATGGTAACGTTATTTGCACTGGCACCATACATTTGAGGAAGTTATTCCGTTCAATTAATAAAAACCATCCTTTCCTCTCCACCAGTTAAAATCATTTCAGGACACGTTTACAAAAATGATAACTTTTCCAATTAGATTCTAAAATTCACATGTAACTGAGAACTTAAGTGCCCAGATATCGCCTCAAATCACTCGCTATTGATCGAAACATGTCTGTGTTTCTACAACAGGGATATTGCCGACGCACCATATCACAGAAATACATGCACACAAGAGGGAACAAATGTTAAAAAGAACATCTGATCTAAAATTAACACATTCTATTGAAACGTATTCGATTTGTCTTGGCATCTAGTAGGGGGCATTTAGTGTATCGTTTTAAACACTTTTTGAATGTTCTGCATCGTGATATTGTCACGGGTGTGAAAATGTTAAATAAAAATAGACTCATATAGTATATGGTTGCGTGTGCACTGGGTGAGTGGGCGAAATGGGTTTAAGATGTTCATGTAACATTGTGTAGAGTGTTCCAATTAAGTCAGAGTTTTAAAAATTTCCACAACATATATTCTGTTTCAGTGATATATTTTATTCTTTCTTTGTCGAAAATGCGGTATCATGCTGACTGTGCACGATTACAAGGTCGTTTCATTTCCATTTCAGAGATACTCCAGCGCCAGTCAATACTCCGTAGATTCCATTGCAGTCCAGTTGAGCAACGTGGGCAACAAGCAAATGTTTACCACGACAGGATACTATAAGGTGCGCCCCATATGTGTTACAACTTCAGATATATTGCCTAATGGCAGGCAGTGCAGTATCATAGGCAAAGAAATTAGAAAATAAAACGCACGTGATATACGATGCAAATGTATTGGAAAGGTATTAACTTTGAGAAACGCCACCTGAAAACATTATGACATTTAAAAGCCATGTTCTTCCTCGCAGGCTGAAAGAACACCTCCCCTAAAGCGAAAGTGCTATTAGTCGATGTATACAAAAAAGAACGATTTGTTTTTGCTACGTGACTCCCGTTTCCTTTACCTGATACTGGCATATTGAATTGGCATAGTGTCTGCAGCCAAGTGTGACTGTTTTAGGGCCATGAGTTCCGGTCCCCATTTTTATTTGTTTCCAATATTTCCCCACGGTGTCGTGTTTTTTCTTTTACATTCCTGGTGGAGATAATTCTCTGTCTAGATCAATATTTGTTTTGACTGAAACAACCTCTAGATAAGTTATTTCCTTTCTGTTATTTTTTCGGAATGTTTATTTTGCAGGCCGCAGTGGTAGCAATTAAGAAGATCAACAAGCCAAGTATACAACTGTCAAAGCCAGTTCTTCTAGAGATTAAAAGGGTATTTCTTGATTTTTTACCATGCGCCACAAGCTTTTCAAACGTTGTAGTCACGTAATCCCAGACATTGGAACATTACATTGGGTTATTTTCATAAGAAGTATGGCGTATGGCATTCGAAGTATACTAACATACCTTGTACAGCTCGTATGTAAATGGTAATCTTAATGCAATTTTTGTGTTACTTTTTATCTATTTATTGCATTAGGCAATGCATTTGTGCGTGCATCTCGCTGATTAGTCCTATGCATTTGATTCATTGATTTTACAAAGCGTTACAATCGGACATACGATACACTATTTATCATCCTAGTTATTTTGCTATTTTTGATAGGATCTTTATTGTGATTTTAAAAACCAATTTTGCTTTCAAGATGATAAATTGAATGCTTATCTTCTTATAGATGCGCGATCTCCAGAATGACCACCTGGTGCGTTTTATAGGGGCGTGCATTGACATTCCAAATATGTGCATTTTGTCAGAATACTGCCCCAAGGGAAGTCTCCAGGTAAGTGCCCTTAAAATGGCTTCCTATTTTCTTGCCGTTCTGGAACCGTTGGTTGTAAAATCACAACGTTGTATAACACCATGGAATGGCATTATCTTCTTCCCCAGTACTGAAACTTATTCCGCATTATTACACACCGCGTTGACATTCTCCTTGTTACTCAGATCAGGACCTTTTTAGAAAACATCAGACGCAGAAGCTAGCGTTAACGTAGCGCTTAACGCACACAGTTTCCTCTTTTTTAACTGTTATGCGAACAAAGTCATGGCCTGTATTTTCACCCGTAGACGCGTAATGGGTGCAAATTACACCTGTATATTAGACTATTGGATTTTTCCAAGAGGGACACGAACGATAATAGGAATTTGTCACCTTAAACCCATATGTCGTTTTTTTAAACAATCATCCTCGTGACATTTCCATCTAGACTGGCACTCTTCCAACAATAAGCAAAAACTATCAGCTATCTTACGAGATCTCCTACAAGGAGAAAAACAGACAGACAGATAAATCTAAGCAACCACATTACTTTCTCCAATGGGAAAACTCCGAGATAGCCAAAGGTGAGGACTTCCTCACTGCGTTGCGTCATACGAGACATGGTAACTTATGAGAATCTGCCTGACTTGGGGTTAACATTTTAGCGACAAGGGTAAATTTCTATGCGCCCGGAACGTCTTCTTAGAAAGCAATACTTACAAAAATAACACCCAAAATTCAGTGGGTTCGTATTGTTAGGCAATAGACTGTAATTCGACAGAACGTAAGAGAAACAAGCAAAAAATACAATAAAATAAATTCAGTCTGCACCGCACTTGCTAAAGTGCCATTCTTTCTGAACCGATTCGTCTCCGAATTCCGTAAAATCTCGATTTACTTTATGCTTAGGGGCTAGACTGTTTGTTACCTACTATGATTCATATATGCTTAGGACAGAAGAATGGCATAAAAACATAATAAAGAGCAACTTACCTGTATGTGAACGAGGGATGAGTTTCTATAGCAATTCTTAGTTTATGTAGTAAATTATATAAACATATATAGAAGAGATGGATGTATTTGTGTGGGGAATAACGTATATTTGTATGTATCTTTTATGTTTTTTTTCCTCGAGTTATTCAGGAGAAAATAAGCAAATACAAGCCCAGACAACTAATATATAATATGTCATATATATGTCCATTTCCAGTGCAGATAAGCCAATATCAGAATTGCTGTTTTCGAAAATTGAGACGACGGAATGATATGATCTAATAACTTCTCACTGTATTTCAGGATGTCCTTGAGAACGAACAGATAAAGCTGGATTGGATGTTCCGCTATTCATTAATGCAAGATATAATACGGGTATGTGAATTACATTTGATAACACGGTATGAAATGACTTTTGCAAATTCTGAATAACATCACTAAAACTTTTATTCACTTTTCAATGGTAAATAATAGTGAAATCCTAGAAAACACATGTTACCAGAGACGTCTGAGTTAATTCAAATGTACTCAATTACCATTGATAATAACACAGTGCCGAGACTCGGCTAATAACGTTTGATAATATGTTTCACAGAAACGTCCTTTTTTGTCAGATTTACCCTAAATTGAGACAGCCAATTAAGACATTACGAACCTTGTCACTAGTGAGGTCCTGCTACTTCTAAGTTTAGTTTGGTGATTAACAAAGATTTAGTTCATTAGAATAATGGTGTTATAAAGTTTCATATAGGGACCCAGTGCTTTAGGCGTGTTTTTCATAAATTAGCATATGTCCTACTCTAGTGGTATCGTGTCAGACAATCGTAATAAAAGGAACGTACAATGTAATAGTGTTTGGTTAGACCGTGACGTGGCACACCTGTTTTTGTTTCAATTTTATGAATTTAAGATGATAACCATCACCAAGAATGACTTTTTTATATACCCTATACCTTCGGATACATCTAATAATAGTAATGACTGAGATTCATATTGCGAGTTTGAAGGGATGTATATGTAGAGTGCATATATTGCATATTCCTATCATTGTTTCAGGGAATGGCATATTTGCACTCCACTGAAATCCGTTCCCATGGCAACCTGAAGAGTTCCAACGCCGTGGTGGACAGTCGTTTCGTTTTGAAAATAACCGATTTCGGGCTCCATTCACTGCGTGGCACGCCTTACGAATCCGACGAAGATACGTATGCATTCTACAGACGTGAGTAAAGTTGCCTTTGTCACAAGTTCTATAGTAGTGTATATACATGTACACGCAACATTTTGAGATAAGCAGTTAATATAATGTATCCTCGAAGATTTACTTTCGCACAATTTGCCCAAAGTCAGCGGCTATCCATTGATATGGCTTTTACAGTCCGTAATCTTTTGTAAAAGAAGGAAAACAAAACAATTTTGTTAGGTGTACCTGTCATTAACATTGAATAATGCGTTTTTCTTTAGTATTAGGGTATATTTAGAATAATAGAAATATAGTCATTATGCATATGTGCCCATATTTTATATGTGTTTTATTTATATCATCACTCATCGTGCCCGAATGTCCAAGTCAAATCCAATGATTTAATTTTTATTTCTTCCAGGAAAGCTTTGGTCAGCCCCGGAGCTACTGCGCATGCACAACAGGCCTCCCGAGGGCACACAGAAGGGCGACGTCTACTCTTTTGCCGTGGTTTGCCAGGAGATCGTCTATCGCAACGGGCCTTTCTACCTGGAACACATGGAGATGAGTCCCCAGGGTAATAAGTTTATTTTTGATACCGGTGTCATAAGTAGATTTATGGAGGGCCACAGCGTTGAGGTGGCGCCCCAACGTTTACTCAGCTTCGCACGCATAGAGAGAGAGAGAGAGAGAGAGAGAGGTGGTATTTTCTGATGAATTCCTTGCAACATGTATGTCCATGCATATAGATGTGATAATAAAATGTTTTCTTCAGCTGTACCATTACTATGAAACCGATGCGTCTGTTAATTTTAACCTTATTTTTATTCTTTTTTTCCTTTAAATCGAGGTCATTTCCGCCGCAGTATCTATTATAAACTTATTTTCTAATATTATTCAGATATCTACATGAAGGTTAAAAATGGCCAGAAGCCGTTCTTCCGCCCGACACTAGGAGACGAGATGTGCCCGAATGACGAGCTGGCGCAGCTCATCCGCCGCTGCTGGGCCGAGGACCCAATCGAACGCCCAGATTTCCATAGCCTTAAAACTGCCATCAGGAAACTTAACAGGTAGTTAATGTTTGTTGAATCCCAGATGTGAACTGTAAAATGAAGTTTGGTATTTATCGCAAAAGTTGCATTATTTTAAAAAGTTTTTGACAAGATATATGTTTGTATGGGTTACAGCAATCCTTTGATATTGCAGAATTTTTATTTGGGAAGAGTTGAGGCCAAAACATGTGAATATCACAGTAACATTTGTTGTTGTTCGTTCTTGCAAGAATGTTACCGTTCTTGCACAGAAATTAGCAGATTTCTTGATGTTTTGTTATGTCACATTGACATAGCTGCTTGCAATAAGCAGCATGCAGATAAAAAAATCAATGTGTACTGCGCCCCTTCAACCCTATGCTATGTGGCGGTGTAAAAAGAGATTGTGGATTGATATTAATTAATTTCAAACAATTTATTTCACCTTATCTGACGTGTTATATAGTGACAGTGACATCACATATTTCAGTAGTTATCTTGCCAAGTTGTATATTATTGAGAAAACGTCCAAAACCAGCTTGCTTTACTTAACTTGGCATGTATGTGATGTAGGTGCTACCGGGTACATGCATCTGAAAAATGTACCTTAAAGGTATACTCTACGTGTTGTAAAAAAAGGCCTTTAATCATATGTCTATGTCCAAATATCCTTTTTCATCTTTCCTAATTCAGTCCATGAAATCAATAGAACTCTTCAAATTAAAGTAAAATGCCAGGAAGACATTGCATCACTATTCGTTAACACTTAAGTTATTGTATTGAAAACGGTAGAAAACATCGAATCTAAGTACAGGGAAGGGCGGTGCGATGATTCAAGAGCTGGAGAAATTTGCCTTTTTGTCTCGAGAAAAGTTGGATTTGTTGCGAAAATCCGGTATATACTACAACCGATTGCAATAAGTAAAAAAAAAATCGGTTAATGTAAATCTGCTCGCTAGCACCATTTTGTAACCGCAAGTAGCAATCAATAGCAAATAGACACTGACATTTATTTAAAAATAGTAGCCCCTTCCCATGGCGCCATATCTCTTCATCTTGACATCAGCCATGACAGACTTCCTTACCATTTCGAACGAGCTCTGTGACTGTGTGTAATGAAGTATCATCCATTTGGCAGATGGCTAACGAACTGTACTTGTTTATTGAAAATGGCTCGTCCTTTGCTACTGGTAGAAGAGACACTAGTACGGTGAACATGTACCCTGCTCAAATATTTCATGTAATAACGATTCTCTCTCTCTCTCTCTCTCTCTCTCTCTCTCATTTACATCTAGGCACCGTTTATACTGGGCTCCAAAAGTTACACCACCACGGCGATCGCGCCAAATTGGGTAACTATCACAAGTCTTTAGTTCTTTCCTTTGACCACCTAGTTACCTTTTAACGCCATTTATATCGGTGCCATATACGGGATGGCCCTCTGTAGGACACAGCCGGTTCCTTTTGATTTGTACAAGTGATCCCCTTGCAAGGCTTTGGCCTACTTGCGTCACGCTAAACCTAACCTATATGAATCTGTTACTCGGACCCTCGGTTACATTTCACATGCATGTGATCGCTTAGAGGACGACTTTTGGCCAGATCTCACCATCAGTCGCTGGGAATGGCCATGGAGTTACAAATTTGTGGCCAAGCGATCTCGATATTCTCCCAAAGCGGTCTCTCTTGGTCTCCATGCCAGCGGCCAGTGGTTAGACCAACATCGTTCTCTGTGCAGTCTTTAACGATGGTGTCACAGGTTAATGGTGTACTCGAGTGTTTTATAATACTAATTTAATTGGTGACTATCTTATTACCACGTGTGTACAAAGAAGTCGAGGATCAATGACAGAAAGCATGGCACAAACCTTTTCCACCTATGCGCCCAGAATGATCAATCCAATTTTCCAATCATCAGTGAACATATTCCCTATATCACCGCATATCAACGTTTCTTGCAGACCTGAGACACTTCAGTTTAGTCATGGAATTTGCTATTTGTAGTCTGCATAGGATCCCCTGATACCGCGCTAGTTTACTTAAAGCAACGTGCCGAGCGAACCGTTGTAACACTGAATAATCTAATAACTAGACATTAGACTGTCTCCCTAATTTCCCAAGGACATTAAAACCAAATTAGTTTCGATATTCCCATAGACTGTTTGGAAGGCTACTTTTTGAATATCTATTAAACTTCATTATCCGAACGTGGGAATAGTTTGTGGTTTCTAAAGCATTTTATGTATGATTTAACTAGATTTGATAACTAGAAGTGTCAAGCCATGCGGATTAATTGAAATAAATGAAACCGTCTGTACCTAGTCCTTTAAATCCAAGGAGTGTCATTTGCACGAAATATCGAAGCTTTGCTTTTGGTTTCTTTTGTTCAGATTAACGGACTGTTCATGTTAATTTTGATTTCAATCAATAAAATTTGTTCCTTTGTGGTATTATAATGGGGTGATCATTTCGTTGCGTTGATTTCCGCAAAAAAAAGGGGACTGGCGAGCACCTTACTCATGTTCCCCTCATATTGGAATATTTTCTGGGCCTTCATACAAATAATAGAAATATTTGGCCTATTTTCATTTCCAGTTTTCTTTCGTATTTCGGTGTCTCATTGCCTGATTTCTATTGCAGAGAGGGTGATAGCGGTAACATTTTAGACAACCTACTGTCCAGAATGGAACAATATGCCAACAATTTGGAGGCTCTGGTGGAAGAACGAACAGCTGATTATTTAGAACAAAAGAGAAAAGCCGAAGACTTGCTCTATTTAATGTTACCTAAGTACGTGATGTGACACACGCGCACACACACACACACATCTTAAAACATTTTGCACTTGATAAGGTTGAATATCATTCAAAAGACATATTATTCACGGACAACAGTGTCAGTATATTACAATATTACATTTTCTCTTTGCAGAGCAGTTTTTAAATGCAAACCCCTGACCTTTAGAATTGCACTTTTGTAAGCTCTATTCCGTACACGAACATGTCAGCAATGCATCTTTCTCGTCTTTTTTTCCCGAGGTTACCAGTCATCAATTCATCAATTGTAATCAATGGAAGTATCATTTCCGTCTTTTCCTTAAACAACCGTGTGTCCTACTTGGTTTATTGGAATGGGATTCCGTTTCCGACGGCGCAGACACTTCACCTTTTGATCAGTCTTGTCCTGTTTCAGATCAGTGGCCATGCAACTCATAAGGGGAGACCCCGTAGCGGCAGAGTGGTTCGATGAGACTACGATTTATTTTAGTGATATTTGCGGCTTCACGTCGCTGTCCTCTGAAAGCACGCCAATGGAGGTAGCCTATTTATTTTATTATATTTATTTATTTTTTTTTCTTTTTTATGTATTTAATTTTTGGTTGAGTTAAATGGTGAATGGTAATGGTTGAATTTAAATGTAAATGACAAACTTACATTATTTTTGTTATAAGTCCACACTTAAGTTATATTATGTCAAAGCATGCATAGGTTCCTTGAATACGATCTATATTCTGTATTCGGATGAAAAACTTGCTTTGGTTATAAGCTGTTTTAAATCAATACAACATTGCTCAACATCACTGTCCACAGTGTTTATAAATAAACAATAGATTGATTAATAAGTCCGATTCTTGGATTCACTTTTCAGAGCACTCATGCAGAACTGCCACTGTAAATAGAGTTTGATTGATCGACAATTTGATATGTATTCCTTGGAGAAAAAAACACTATTGAATATGCAATGTTTGTCCTCGTCGATAGTCATACATGGAATACTCAGCTCAGTTTCTCATTATATCCAATTTGCGTTTTCCCACATTTCAGGTTGTCGACCTCCTGAATGACCTTTACACAACATTCGATACTATCATAGAAAAGTACGACGTGTACAAAGTAAGCAGTTAAAACATTTATTATCATCTGCAGTAACGTTATCAACTACTGTTATGTTCATATAACACCGGAAATCCCACTCGAACACTTGTGAATCAATAAATAAATCAATATTCTCAGTATATTGCTTTTTATCTAGTTTAAGTCTTATGTGTTGATCTTATTACTACAACACCCTGTTAACATTTTTAAACTTAATTTTTGAAAACTTAGCTTCTAGAACATGCAATGGCATGGCTCCTTTCACAACGCTCCGCTTTGAAATGCTTGTGAAATATCTGATAAACACCATTATCTGTGCAGTTCGATATCACTTATGTCTCCAGTCTTACTGGTATCCCAAATCTGACACGTATATCTATCTAACGTGAAAACTTGCAGGTAGAAACAATTGGCGACGCCTACATGGTGGTGTCCGGTCTGCCCGTTAAGAACGGTAATCTCCACGCCCGGGAAATCGCCCGTATGTCCCTCTCCTTGCTAGAGGCCGTGCTGTCCTTCAAGATTCGACATCGGCCAGACATGCAACTGAAACTGAGGATAGGCATCCACTCAGGTGTGAGAGAGGGTGAAGTCAGAGAAAGAGGGGGTGGGTGGGTGGTACATGTAGGGGGGGGAGGGGGGGCGAGGGCGGATAAATAAGTGTCCATGGTAATTTCATTCAAGACGAATTGAAAAATTTAACTTCTAATTAGTCATATTAATCGTACCTTTTTACTCAATGTAACCTTTAGATTTTATGTTTTCTTCGCTTAAAAAAAAATTAAAAAGAACAACTACGCTCAAGACCCGCAATGCTACTGATACGACAACTCAGCGATGAACAAAAAAGCCTTTTCAAATAAAGCGTTTTTTAATTAAGATAAACAATACATGCATTAAAGTTTTGTAATTTTTTATTATTATTATTTCGTACAGGACCAGTATGCGCAGGCGTGGTTGGCCTGAAGATGCCTCGCTATTGCTTGTTTGGGGATACAGTAAATACAGCTTCTAGAATGGAATCAAATGGATTACGTAAGTGTGCTGCAACATTTTGCTATAAAGATTAAAATACTCAGTTCAAGACATTTGTAAAAGACGTGCTTTTGTAGTTTATGAAAATGTTTTGGTGTCCCATTCAGCGATTCGTATTTTATTTTATATTTTATACCCACGTTACCCACGTTAGAGGGGAAACGGAGTACAATCCGTACCTTCTGAAGCTAATAGGTGCACGCGGCCTACCTCTTCATTGTCACCTCATTGTCCCTTACATAATATAATGATTTGTCTTAATTTTTAGCTCTACGCATTCACGTCAGTCCCAAAACGAAGGAAATACTGGATAGCTTCGGTTCCTTCTACCTGGACCTCAGAGGGCCTGTGGAAATGAAGGTGAGCATGCACTGAAACACGACTTCTGCAGAATCCAATGATAGGAATATGGCTAGTTTGCAATCCATCTACAGCGTTTGCTACTTGTATATATCGGTGGATGATTTTGTAAAGATGTTTGAATAAGTAAAAGAAAATAAAGAGATATAAGAAGTTTTGCTAGTATATAAATTACTTGCAAATGACAACAGAATATATCTAAATAGACACTTTATGATAATCCAATTAATATACGAATAAAAGGTTATTAACGTTTATTTAAGTATACGACAGACAACTAGGCCTAATGCTAGTTTTTGATGAATAAATTAACACAGGGTTAAAACCGTTCACAGTCAGTTTAAAAGCGTGTCGTTCTTCATCTTTTTTTCTTAGGGGAAAGGTTCGGTGATAACTCACTGGCTGCGCGGAGAAAAGGGTCAGGAAGATCTCATGGAGACGCTGAGAGAAAGGATTGCTCAAATCGACTCCAATCACGAGAAAAAGACGTAGCCAGTAATCCCGAAATGGAGTCAAGAGATTTGAAAAAGTTTGAGATGCTGGCTCCCAACTAGAAGTTGTTTTCCTTGGAGGGGGAATTCCGGCCGACTGACATAAAATTGTAGGATATGGAGGAGTGTCAAGACGTGTTTATCTTCCTTGTTAGGTACGGGAACTGTGCCCGTTACCTGGTGATACTTTTTTCGAATATCCAGTGACATTCTATGAACAAACATTGCTCACCGCGCCCCACGCTAAATGGCTTCTTTCAAAGGGAGACGTGGACGAAAGGTTGGGTGAAAAGCGGGGTTTGAATCGAGAGAGCACCGTATATTGGAGATGACATTTCAGAAATGTTTACTTTTATTATTTCTGGCATTACGTTTCGATGTTAATCCGAATGCCAGTGTATGCCACAAGACAGACCCTGAATAAGACGAGGATAAAAAAATTGATGGCTGAAAAAGAAACGGGCTTTAGAGATAGTAAAGTTATATTCAGAAAGTGGTTTTATCGACCACTTACAATGTCGTTGTAACTCTGGGGACATGCGCACGACGTTGATCGTTGATGTGTGGGGTTCATGACGTATTAGAATTAGCACTTAAATAACATTTCTCCATGGATTTAGGGGGCATCATTTCGGTTGATGTATTCGGCAAAGTGCAATTTTTGAACAGAAACGTGTTGTCGTTGTTGTTGTTCTTTGTCTCTGAGGGACAAGGCAATTTATATTTAGGTACACTAGTGCACGAGTATAGTGTAACAACGACGTGTTTAAATGGCGGTATAGTATATTTAATGTTTACGATTTAACTTTATTACTATTTGTTTTTCAAAGGTCAGTTTGTGTTGTTTTTTATTCTCTATAGATAAAGTACCTTTTCTTATTTCTTCAGTCTGTTAACCGTTCAACGGTTCTTGTACAAGTCAATTGCCCGCCAAACATTGAATTAGAAAAACAAGGCGTTGTCTGTTTTTCTATTTTCATATGGGTTACAACACATATGACAACTTTTCCACCCTAACATGTCTCATAAAAGTGTTTAATTTTAAGCATTAACTATTTCAAAGAAGCATAGGGCAATTACCCCAACGGCCAAGACCAATTATATAAATATAGTGCATAGTTTATTTGGGAACAATGAGTCCAGCTCAATTAATCTTAAATGTATTAGTTGTATAACAGCATGATCATTGTGAATCGGTTTGTCGTGTCATTCATTTCATCCATTGCACTTCTGTGGCAGGTAATTAATCGATTTGAAAACGTTGTCTTTAGGATCATTGCGCTTTAAATGTAGTTTGCGTCACGTGATCTGATGATGACGTCATTTCGTCACGTGGACAGGGATATTATGCTGTCGTCTTTAACACTCTCATTTGTTGTCGACAGCAAAGCTGCTATCTTTTTTTCGTCAATAAAAGTATGTGTTTATGGGATATCTGGCGTTTACGTCCATACCTAATAACATACCTCTTGAAGAACCATATTTCAAATTTTTGCACAAAAAAAACATATTCCGACGTTATCGACTTCTTCAGAGCAAGCCTTTAATTACTCTTTCATTACTCTAACAAGATCTAAACATCAACTGTAGTAAAAGTTTCACAAACGGGATCAAAATCTGTTTACATTCAGACCCGTAGCCAGCAATTTCAAAAGGGGGGTTCTTTTTCTGAAAAAGTGGACCTTTTCCCATAAAAACTTCATGTACCTAGATCAAATTTTACCCAGAGTGGACCTTTTCCCAGCAAAAGGGGTGGTTCTTTCGAACCCACCGACCCCCCCCCCCCCTCGGCTACGGGCCTGTCTTTGTACATTTATAAATATTTCTTGAGCTGTAATTTTGCAGCAAGACATAAAATTGCATTATTTCTATATACGTTTATTTTCCCCTTCACATCTCCATTAATTACCGGAATATAGTTATGAGACCTACAACAAATATGGAAAGCGAACCACTTTTCTTGTATAACACGCACTATCGGGTGACTATTGCGATCTCAGCTATCACAATTCAGATCGTGTAGCGATTTACTTCTCAACTAACGCATTACTGTAACACACGATGTTATAGTGAATAATAACGACAACAGTCTGGAGCTTTCAAACGTTTATTCACCGACTCTCTTTTTCGCACAATGTCACAAGTATTTATACTCTATTTTCCAAAGAATTTTCCATTCTCATGTTGCAAACTGCCTTTCAATTTCCTTATTAGGTAATTTCTAATAGACTTGTTTTCACTTTAAAATATTATTCGAATTACTCATGCTTGGACCTTGTCCATCTAGAGTTTGCATGCGTTTTACAGGTGTTAGAAACGTGCAAATCTATTGAAAAATTAACCAATCAAATCAATCTATATGTGACTTTGAAATGTTCCATCCTTTCTTACTTCGAGAACAATCTTTACACTTGTTGACTCTTAAAGAAATTTAACTTGCTCTCAATCACTCCCTATCCTTTTACTCTTTTGATTCTGTTTTAATTGTTATCTGTAATTAATAAAAGTGTTAGTCATTTGCTTTACAACAAAGATATATCACAATTACGGTGTTGGTCTTTTCAGTGAAAATAATGGAATTCAATATGCATCTATATGGACCACTTGTTTGTTCCTTCCATTTCAAGTCAACACAGAAAAAAACAGTCGATTTGATGATATGCTTCGTTTAAACGCAATACATCATGGTTAAGAAACCATTTTGACCTCACTGGCATGTTCTCCTGACGATAGCACATAAAATAAATATATACAGTATAGTGATCAATGAATGAACCCATGAGTTATTTTCGTTTTTATACGTTAAGTAAACTTAAAAACCCGTTTTTTTTGTGTGTGTGTGTATGTGTGTGTTTGTGTTTTTCAAGTCTCAAACAATGGCCTTTTTATTATATTGTGGTTTCTAGCACCTTTGTAATTTGCTTGTTATATTGTTAATACGGTCGTTGACCCCGCTGGCAGAGTAAAAAGATTTAACAAGATTTACAAAGGAGACCCAGTCTACATCTAGGACAGACCAATAATCAATAATAATGCTACAAAAATAAACTGTGACGGCACATGTATCAAGTAGACAGTTTCGAGGCGACCCTGACGATTAGTGTAAACAGTTCCGAGTCCTTGGCAACCACCTGAGAACTTAGGCTCGGGTGGGACTGATTTTTTTCCGAGTTCACTCAAAGTGATAGAAGTTCCGTAAAAGTCCGTGCAGCTCAGTCCACGCAGAGGACACACGAAGCTTGAACGGGTCCACGGACAGGGTGCGCTGATACTGAACACTGAACCACAATGGGGAACTGTCAACAAGGCAGCGTCGTCTTTACCCATACGTTGTATGTTCACACAGGTGATATCAAAGGTGCCGGGACCGACGCTAATGTCATTGTAGTACTACAAGATGACCAGGGGAACAAATCAGCACCTACGAAGCTCGATCACATCCCAAGAAATGACTTAGAAAGAGGCTCAGTGAATAAATTTAATACCACGGTTAACCCCGCTCTTGGTAAAATTCAACAAATCGAGTTAACAATGGACGCAAAGGGAGTCGCGCCCGATTGGTTTGTGGACTTGATACGAGTTAAAGATCATCGAGTGAATCCACCCGAAACGTATGCATTTCCAATCCACCGCTGGATTAGACCCAAGTGTCATTACACGTTTGACATATATGATTGCATGCTGCCACAATGTGACAAGAATATAGAGCAGAGGAAAAAGGAATTAGAAGAGAAAAAGAAGACGTATGCATTCAGGCCAGAAAAGATAGGTTCTCCGATACAGGTAATGTCATATACATTTACATTACCAAAGAGGTAATAATAATAATAATAATAATAATAATAATAATAATAATAATAATAATTTATTAAGATTGCAACCCAGTGGGTTGAAGTTATACATAGAATGTTAAGAACATTATGATGATAATAAAATGTTATTTGCTTGAATGAAACTAAGTTAAAAGACTGCTACTTGAAGGTAAATATATGAATATGCGATTCGTCTTTTAAAGTTGATTTATTCTATTGCAAATCATTTTGAGCACGTGGGTTTATTGTTCTTGTATATCTCTTCACCAAAATTTTTTCACAAATTTTGCAAATGTAGACCATGGACCTGTATGTAACGACCGACCTTAAATTATACTTTTCGTAAAAATGCTCCTTCTCTTATCATTACCTATTCCTGTACTCCACACACATTGCAGTTTCAAATACAATTCAAATTAATCAAAAGTTTTTTTTTTAATTGTTACTGCAAAATGACGCAAATACTTGTAATACAGTCGTCCGTTACAACGTAAAAGGTAAATTAAGATTTAACTTGAATATAAATCATTTCCGTTATTTCAGTCCATATAGAATATTTTTCTCCTTATTATCTCACGTTCATATTTTTTAATGTATTTCTCGCCCCGAAATATTTCCTGTACTAATTTTAACTACCACGCTAAAAAATGCCATCCAAGTTGCCGTATATAAATCAAATTGCCTAATAACATTTTCTTCAGATTGTCACTTTTCCAATCTTTTATTTAGGTAAAGGATTTGCCAGCGGAAGAGGAATTTTCTCGTTCTTACATGGTAAATTCGCTAATCTATTCAATTGTTTGTAAAAAAAAAATACCATGCTTTTGCTAAGTTAAACATTTATCATAGATGTATTGTATATGCAGAAACATTCAAAACGTAGTTCACTATATTTATGTAATCATCAAAATTGCTTTAAAGGAAATAACAACAAAAATGTCCTATGGTCTCTAGTTTGTCAGTGTGTGACTGTGAGATGTCTGCCGTTGTCTGAAGTCTCTTGTTGACATTGGTTATTGGTTAAAAGGATAAACCCTGTTGATTTTCATTCGGTTCAGGATTTTTGCCTATATGTACATGTAAAAAGTTGAAATTAACTTGAGGGAAGCCCACTGACTTTTTTGAGTTTGTATTATTTTTCATTTTTGATGTAATCACTTTAAATTGAGTGAACTGAAACTAGGTCATGACTTCTCCAACTCCTCCAGAACCTATCAGGATTGGCAATAGTGTAGGGGTTTGAAAATCGAAAAATTTACTTCGAAAATACACACGTTCTTCATTAATTTAAGTATCATACTGAAAATATTCATGATATTTATGTTACCTTACATATTTTTTACTACTTTTGACGGTTTCGTCTAGATTCCATCAGATCTAGCCCCCCCTTTTTATATTACGATTATACATTAAGGAATATATTTGACGGGTGTCATGTTAAAAAATTATTATGTCGTAATTATGACGTAATATTTTTTAACATGACACCTGTCAGCTTCCATAAAATTGCACTTCAAGATTTTGCACAAAAAAATCGATAACGAACAACCATATTATTTGCGACGCGTGTCATTCATTTTGAACATATTTAGTTTTTAAATAATTTATGACCCATTTTAAGACGTGTCTGTATTTTTCTTTTCAGTGGGACTTAGTGTCGCGAGGCGCAAAAATTAAAGTCGAGTCTGGGTTGACCAAGATCGCAACACTTTTTGACAAGTGGGAGAGTTACGAAGATCTGAAACAGCTGTACTCAGGACCGTTTGCGATAGGAAAACCTGACGTAAGTACCTTTTTGGCTTATTTATTTATTAATTTATTTATTTATCTATTTATTAATTTATTTATTGCAATCCTTGGATTTTAATCTGGTTTCAAAACAGCTCATTAGACGTACCCTGTTGTACTTAATTCACTCTAGTAGAACGCACAGAACAGATTTGATTAATTATCGTAAACTGAATGTCGTGACCTAGCATTGTTGATACTTATTTCAGGAAGAAATGAAGAACTGGCAAGATGACGAATGGTTTGGTGCCCAACGTTTGGCCGGAGTGAACCCTTTACTCATAACATTGTGTACCAATATCCCAGAGAGGTGAGACAGAGAGGATTTACATAGATGCGGCTTGTTACATAAAAACATACTTTTCGATAAACTTAGCCAGAGGCGTTAGGAGCAGGCGTATAAGAAGTAATGCCTTCTATGATTTTAAAACTTCATTGGGTAAAGAATTAACGTATTATGGTCGATTTTTATTTTATATTTAGGTTATTAAAAGTGTTCACTTTTCCATATCTCACATAGGCCTATTAGCTATTTGTTATGATTTTTGGTTTTCGTCGTTTGAACAGTTAGTTTGATGTAGACACCCATGCAGTAATCAAGTTTTAACTAGAACAATCAACCCTAATAATCGTTTGTCAAGCATATTAACGATAAATAATTGGTTGATTTGACTGTAATATGGACCCACGGGTTTTCATATGTAACTAGGTTTGGGATGACAGAAGAAATGGTGGAGCCATTCCTCGAGGGCTACAGTCTAACACAGGCAATGGAGTCCAAGAGACTTTTCATAGTAGATCTAAAAATTCTGGAGGACATACCGCACAGACCGGAAGCTGAGGTACATGTAACGTCTGAACTTATGAACAGTGCTGCTATTTGGTGGTGTGTGTTTATGACTGTCTGTTAATGTGGGTGATGGGGGGAGGGGGTGCAGGGAAGAGAAGGAAGGCAACTGTTTTAGACCCCCCCGCCCCCAACTTAAAACTGCTTGCTACAGAACTGGATCACGTGTGCCACATCGTTTTATATGTATATATATATATATACAGACTTGACATTTAATATGGAATATTTCAGTTTCGAAGGTATGTCTAGGTAAAATGCGTTCTTTTTTTAAAAAAAACTCCGATCTCATATAAGATTTGTGAATGGAGAAGTGTGTAGTCAGGTGTATCGCTACCAATTAACTGACTTTCATGTCTGTTGCGCTGCTATATTATGTAATATGTAGTGATTAAATTGGGTAGTGTTCCTTTGGGCTGGTCAAAGCTTGGCTTAGGCAAAGCTTGGTTCTGTCAAAAAAGTACCCATATGTCGGCAACTACTGCATAGAAGAATTTGAAATTTTGCATGCAAGCGGTCAGTTTTGCAGTGCGTAAGATGAGTCAAGTAGTGCATTACAAATTTGTTAATCTATGGCAGAATGGCACGAAAAAGACAGACATTACCAGACAGATCATAGCGCCAAACGGAACGGTCCCCACAGTTTTATAGAGTAATGCCCAGACTGATGCACCTACACAGAGGTCACCCCCAATGTATCAAAATCTTACCTACAGGGTACAGGACCCACTGTCTTTCGGGATACGCTGCTGCAACTAAACAAAAAACACTTAGTCCGTTCAGAACGAGGGGTAAATTGCCACCAAAATGCGTTTTTCAAAGCCTTTAGCAAACACCAAACTGGTTTTAGCAGGTAAGAACATCAAACGACCTCCGAGGCACCCACTGTAAACAACAAAACATCGTCGTCTGTTTCTCTAATGAATTGGGGGCCATGGCCGTTTCTGGGTAGAACACTGAAACTGCGTTGCTTTCTTTATTGAGGTCAGATTTCACCTGTACCGCCCAATTAGTCAAAACAGAGTTTACAGTTATCCAGAAGAGACCTACGACGAAGCATATGCCGGGTCTAAAGTGACAAGGGTGATTGACAGCGTCAGTATTTGGAGTGGATACCACATTGGTGCCAAAACACCAATGGTAGTCATCGACGAAAACCTGAACCAGATCAAATTAAGGAATAATCTCGGATCCACTTGACTATCATTTGATAGGGGGCACCTTAGGAACGATTTTAGGTTGCACGGTGAGGTTGCCGGTTCACACGGAGCACTTTTAATAGCAGATAACTTACAGAACCAAGGGAATGAGCAGCTACCCTGGTCATCAAAATCGCCACATTTGAACCACATAGACAATATTTTGGTAGGCCATTACTCGCCGAATCAACTGCCTACATGTCCTACAACAAAACTGGACCAAATTGGACAATTTTAGACCGATGCCTAGAATATTATTCCCGATTGAACTCTAAAAACCTACCCCAAGAAATGCCTTGCCGCTTGAGAGCGCAGGCAACAGCCAGAAGAGGCCAAGCGTAACAGCGACCATTACTGTAACTAGCAACTGACATGAGGGTCTTTTATGGAGCGTATAACTCTTTTACAGAAGATAATTTGGAAAATATGGAGATCCAAAATATCTCTTTTAATGGAAGTCGTATGACAAAAAATAGGCAATGTGTTTTTGTTTGCTTCTCTGGCGAATTCCATTAATGAATTGATGACCCAGTGACATCAAAGCGATAATTTAAAGTTATTAAAACACGATTTTAATCCTTATTTTCATTTATCAGTCAGCAAAATAGGAAAAATCCGATAAAAACATTACTTGGAAAAAATATTCCATATTAAATGTCAAGTCTATATATATATATATATATATATATATATATATATATATATATATATATATATATATATATATATATATAACTGTCTGTAATCGATAGTTTACTTATGAAAGATAAGATTTATAAAGGGAATATAAGGGAAGCACCTGAACCAACACGAGAATTCGCATATATGCACATAGTATCCGTCTTTTACGTAACTGTGATATTAATGCATATACTAATAAATGGTGACCTCTATGTTTTCCCTTTAACAATTTCCAGGTATGTTCACCGTTGGCGTTGTTCTTTCAAAAAGGAAATGGAAGTTTGGTGCCAGTAGCGATCCAGCTGTACCAAGAGAAGGGTCCAAATAACCCGGTTAGTACTTCCACCACAGTCCCCTACAACCGTATCTGTAGGCGTCTCTCTCTCTCTCTCTCTCTCTCTCCTTATACCATCTCTTATACCATCTTAAATTGGCAGATCAACTATTGACGAACCAGCTAGTTCCCTTAAAACATGTAGTTTCAATGTCGAAAGAAAATTCGAAGCCATTTAATAGTAAAGATAATATGTAAGTTTGCATGCATGGATGCATGTTATATGTGTTTCTCACGCTTCTCTCTTTAGCAACTGACACAGATGTGTCGTCTGAATGTTGCATGGGTGATTTTTCTTTTCGCAGGTGTTTTTGCCCAGCGACCACCCCGAGACCTGGCTCTTCGCAAAGATGTGGTATAACAATGCTGACGCCACCTACCACCAATCCGTCTCTCATCTTGGTAAGTTACCCGTTTTGCAAACGAATTATATTAATATAAGCCCGAAAATTGGTCTAAACACAGTACTCTAGTAATAGAGAGGTACAGTACATGTGCTGTTAAAGGACGATCAAAATCTAGTCAAAGTCTGCTGGGTTCACTCAGCCTATATTTGTCTACTTTAAGTAACATATTGACTCACCTTTTTTAAGAAAAAGGAAAGGAAACAACCACCAGATTTATCTGCATGGGGGTAGACCTAAGTACTAGTAAATGCTTAGGTGCAATTCTATATACATACGAAACAATCGAAAACACACAGACACGTAAACAAACATTTGCCATATTTCCTAAATCACCAAATAATTTTGCTGTCCATGTCTCACTTTTTCATTATTATTATTATTATTTTTATTATTATTATTATACTGTAAGGGTTCACGCATCTTTTGATCGAGGGTTTTGCACTTGCAAGCCACAGAAACCTGTCCACCTCGCATCCCGTCTTCAGACTGCTTGGACCTCACTTTCTGGACGTCATGGCAATTAACAAGTGAGATTTTCGAAAATACAAGGTGTAAATATAAAAAATGACCACACAAAAAAAAATGAGACGAGACTTCTCAGCGTTTTGCTTCAAGAAGTAATAGAATAACATCATTTTTATTTATGCAGTTGAGACCAAAAGCTAGTTAATTTTTATAATTTGATTTGAATGTTTTTACTTCAGAATCATGGTAGAAAAACATAAAAGTACATTTAATTGTTGGTGTATTTCGAATAAACATGAACTAGGTAAATACAGAGTAGGGTTTTATAATCCACAGATTACAGTATTTATAACATACATATAATACCTTTTTTAGGTTGGCGGTTAATTTTCTGGTCGAACCAGGCGGCTGGGTAGATAAAACCATGAGCTGCGGACGGGATGGCATGCTTCAGCTAATTTGGAAAGAGTAAGTCTATCAGTTTCAACTATGTTTCAACTGCAGTCGAAAACAAAAACAAGAACTCCATGTTCTATACCCATAATGTGGGTTGGAACACATATACATGTGTAGAATTAATAATAAATAAAAAAACTGGAAATTTTCAACAACTTTCCCTTTATAACCAAAGTGTCTTATCAAAAACCGTTGAAAAATTACGATCAATAAGTTCTTTTTCGAGCTCCCAGTGAAGGAAATTGATCTGTCCCGAAATAGGAAAAAAGCTGGAAAAAAAAGCTCACTATTTTGTCTACTGTTTTGGATATGGTATACCGTGATCATGTATATGTGCTGAAATACCCAGGGGAATCAATTTTATTAATTTTAAGGATTAACTCTCATATTATGATTTTCACGGTATTCTGAAATGAAATATTGTATTTCACAGGTTTGCCAACTGGAGATTGGATGTCAATGGAACACTACCGAACTTTCTGAAGGAACGTGGGGTAAATAAAAAATGACTTATATATTTGCTTCATAGCTTCCTAATATATTGACCTTTGACCAGTTACACGCATATGCATACCCCCCTCTCCACGCACACACTCAACAAACACATGTAGATAATGGTGCACGCACGCACGGGTCGCATCTTTACAATGAATTCACTTTCGATATATTTCATTGATAGTTATCTAACCATCATGTTTCTTTTCCTTTTTGTTGCACAGCTGTTGGATGAAGAAGTCCTTCCAAACTATTACTACCGCGAGGATGCCCTGCCTTTGTATTGGATTATCAAGAAATACGTCAGCACTATAATTAACCATCATTATGGTAGGTCTCAAAACATATGCAATTATGCCATACACTGTTCTTTCCAGAGCATCTATATAAAACAACTGACGAGAACATGTTAATCTTTTTCTAATTCTTCTATTTTTCCTCTAATACTTTCTATTTTTTCTAATTTATTTTGAGGGGGTGGGGGGAGAGGAGGAAAGGCAGTCACTCCCGAACCTATGGGAACCATTATACAATAAAAATATTTTAAAATGACCAGCCAAAAAGATATTGTAGGATAACCAGCTGTTGCAAAATGTTTTCTCCATGTTTTTATTTATAGAGACGCCACAGAAACTAGCTGATGACTACGAACTTAAAGACTGGAGACAAGAGTTGGAACTGGAACAAGAGAAGGGAGGAATGGGGGTCAAGGTGCGTCACAAGGGTGCTCTTAAACACCTTAAACTTTGTACACGAAGACTTTTTTCATGCAGATTCTCAAACCTCTGCTTCCCTTGAATACCGACTCGGAAGAATTACATTCCGACTAGTGTGTGTGTGTGTGTGTGTGTGTGTGTGTGTGTGTGTGTGTGTGTGTGTTTGAGTGAGTCCGCCCGATTTTTTATCCACGGCATAAGGTGTCATTTGTTTAAAACAATTTAAAGGACGATAAATATTCTTCATAACGAGATAATGGACTTCATAATGAAATTCGAATGGTCAGTATTAATTGATTTTTGGACATTATTTTTAGGGAATACCTGGTGACGGGGTGTTCAGCAGCAATGAAGAACTGATCGTGACCTGCACCTCTGTCATTTTTATCTCCAGTGTGGTGCATGCGTCCGTGAACTTTGGACAGTTCGCGTCGTACGGTTTCCCGCCAAACTACCCGGCCTACTTGAATGGCATGCCGCCGACGGACAAGGTAAGCCTGGGTGAATTTATATTTCGGCGAAAATACATAATTTTAGTTTTTGGAATGTGTATGCTCTGAGTGTGAGCATGTCATGATCAGGAATTAAAATTACAACAGATTTCAAACCTTCCTCGACGAGATGGAAATCCAAAAACGAGTATATTAAGTCCTATGCAAAAATATTGACTACTGTACTGATATTCTTCGATTTTCAAATACAGATCACCAGAAATGCTGTGCGACTTTTTTGTACGATATCAGAGAGAAAAGTTTACATATAGCTTCTGTCGGTCAGGATAAATCTATCAAACAAATCTTTAATTCAATTTTTCAACAATTCAAACGGGTAAAGCTGGGTTAATATACTCGTATTTTTTCCTGACGCATAAAAGTTCGTAAAAGTTGTTTTGAAATGAGACATAGAATCCAAAGAATGTGTTATTTCTCCTTATATACTTGGCAATCAATATTTTTTTGTAATTTTAATTAAGTAGGCCTAAAGTGATTTTAAAAAGCCAACAAACACATACCAATTCACAGACTCGCTAGTTTAAAATTCTGCAGTAACTTGTGTTTATGCGAATCAAATACAAAAGCATAGCTGTAAATTACAATCTAAAAATTCTTTTTTCAAAGACCGTTCAGTGTTCTTTATTATTACTCTATCGCAACCTTATTCTGAGTTGAGGTAATAATCGATGTTTTTCTTAACAGAATCCGGTGTCTGAGTCAGATATCATGAAAGCCCTGCCAGACAAGTCCCAAACCTTGGAAATTATGGTGATCACAAAACTTCTTTCTGAAAAGGGCACAAACAGTTTGGGGGATTTTGAAGTCCAATATTTGTTCGATCCTGTCTCCGTCGAAGCCGCTGATACGTAAGTGACAATGTTTTCGGTGACGAACATAGAAAAATGAATTGTATTATAATCCTATAGATTTAAAGATGCATACAAAGTCAATTTTTTGTCACAAAAAACAACCAAATGCCAGCATATAGTTTCAAGTAGTATAACTAAGAGAATTACCAAAAGGCATTGTTTAATTTTACCCGAAAATGATGTTTGAACGGATTCTTCTGCTGGCATTCTAAGCTGTATGTCAATGGGGCAGGAAAGTAGGTCACGAAAGTAGGTTAAATTTACAACCAAAAATTTAAAGAAAGGAGCAGTCTAAAGGTCTTTTATGGCTGATCTATTCAGTTTATCCCTTGGCATGTCGAATTTATTTGAGTCATATAAGAATCTAGTAGAAGTGGTTTGCATGTGTTACTGGGAATCCACGCTCCACCGATGCTCGGTTCGTATGTACCTTTAAACACTTTTGGTGCACATTTTTATGTGCCCATTCGTACAATATAATCACATCCATAACCACGATCGTATGTCATAAACCCTTTTCAAGTATACTGTTTGATGTAAAAATGACCCAAGAGATAACAATCCATCCTGTTTCATACGTGTCCACTGTGTACCCCTCTCTATTTGTAATTTCAGATTTAGGCTAGAACTGGCGGAGCTGGGCAAACAAATCGCAGAAAAAAACAAGAGCCGCTTCCCGTCTTATCTCTACCTGGACCCTACATTTATTCCAAACTCTATCAGCATATGACCCTGTGATGTAAAATGGATACTTCACTGAATTATGGCCGCATTGTTACACAATAGACATACTCAGATGGCATGTCTTTAAGTTTTCCATCCATTAATGGTTTCTTGCTTAAAAAATGCATATTGTATTGATACTAGGTCTTTTCGAACATTATTTCTGTGGTGATTACTATACTGCCGTATATAATTTTTCATAATGACTATTTAACTTAATACACAATTACCGGTGGATCCAGAATTTTGCACAAGGATAAAAAATTGCCACGCTTAACAAGCAAATGTAAAACAGTAGATGGCATTTTTTCCATTCCACCCTCCGGGAGATGCTTCCGTCTTGCTCTACACCCTTTAGGACCATCATCCGACTGAAAAAAATCTATTGCAAAAATTCAAATCGAGAAAAAATAGAAAATGCATGTCTTTTACCTAAAGATTTTTTTATTCTTTTTTTAATTTCAATCTATTCGTGACATTCACCACATATATCAAATTGCATTTTGTGTAAGATACTTATCATTTTATTTTATCACTCAGACTTGAATGACTTTTCACCAAAAACCAATATACCGGGAAGAGTGGCAATTGAGGTCACAGGCATGCTCATAAAAATATTTAGTGCACAGATAACAAACTATGTTTGATTATTTTAGGGTCCTACATGAACAAGTTTGTGTCAACGTTTCACTCTCCTGGAACCATGAAAAAAATTTTCATCGTCTAACCCCAAAATGGAACATACATTCCTGTCACAAATGTAAAACTTCTAGCTGTGCTAACGTTTTACTCACTTTGAAAATCCAATCATCACTGGTTTTGTTCGTTAATTTATGTCCTACAAGTATAACGTTTAAAATTATGATAATCTTCTGTATAGAGCGCTTATTTATTTATTTATTTATTTATTTATTTATTTATTTTTGAGCGACTTTAGTTTACTTATTTGAATATTATCAAAGGGGGAAAATACACCCTACTGACAGTAAAATAAGCATCAGTTAAACTACATATTTTTCACTCGTGGTCCAAATATTTTATCAGAAATGCCAAACTATCATGGAGTCACAATATATTTTTCAGTCAGCAACAGAAAATCCTGTTTTATTGCAACAAGTGCTTGGGCAAGATGAAACTTTCTGACAATTTTTCTGAGTAGCAAAAGTTACGCAGTATCACCTTTGAGTTACAGTTGAATAATTTACAAAAATATCCTTACCTCATTTATAATTTGCCATGTCTGAATCACTACAAAATATATCAAAACGCAATATAAAAATTAAAATTATATGGCCCGGAACATACGTTACTGGAACATAAGTTACAATTTAGGCTCCTTACATAATGTATAGACATTGTAAATGTAGATGTAAAATTGAGACGGCCGCAGATTTTTTTCTACATGTATACACATATATGATTTAAAAAATTGAATTCAACTTTGAATTCATTCAATTTTATTTTTGGTACTTCAGAATGTGAAATGCACCTCTATATTGGGTTTGGGTGTTTTACCAGTGTCTTCTGATAGTCTCTATAGGCCTTACGCTTGAAATATTGGGTGGGTGGGACAGAAAATCTACATTCTCTGCGTTCATGATGCAAGTACACTAAAGAGCCTTCAAATGACCTACATATACGCTTAAAACTTGTTGTACTTAATCACCTTTTATTTTTGGCAACTACTGACTAATCACGTAACGATATCACACAAGTACTCTACACATACTGAACAGTTCACATAATATAATGCAACGCCTGTCTTCGTACCCACAATTGGCGTGGAGGTGAACTTCTCTCACATCTTGTGGCCATTGTTTTGCTCTTTGCCAACTTTTTGCTCCATTGTATGGGGGCTGTATGGGTGATCAATTTTAATTGAAATTTGATGTTGTCACAATCCCCCCATCTTGTGACTTCGTATTATATTTCGTCATTTTAATAAACGACAAATTTCAGTCATGGGAACTCCTTTCATTTTGAGCAAAAACCCGGAGCTTCGTTGTGTTTGTGTTACATAAATAAATAAATATATGTACGTTAGTTTGGTTAGAGAGGCCTGACGGCGCAGTATATCCTATACACATGCACGAATGCGGTTCTAGGACACTAACATGACTATAACCGCGAACATGACATTGTTACGCTGACGGTAGTACTATACATGTATATATATTCTCAGTCGAAGGACGTCCTGGCTCCTGGTCAAGAATAGTCTTTAAACTGGTCAAAGAAAAGGTAGGCTGGGCCTTGTTTTTAGATCATAATTATGTGGTGAATTGTATTAACTTAGATCTAAGTATTATAAGTAATGGTGTATATATTCCGTTTCTTATCAAAAACCCATAAACATGCAATCCAGTATATAGGAATGAAGGATCTTTGTAATCCCAAGCAGACTTGGTGTAGAAATGAAAATGAAAATAAAATATGGTAAAGTCCGGAACTTCCTGTGTGATAAGAGTCTGTTGAACAGTGGGAGCGAAACAGCGGTTTACATGCTTTTACATTTGTGTACAACTTGACACGTGCGTGGACTCTACGAAAAAGAGAAAAAGATATAAGACGTTTTTGGGTGGTAAAGGTATAGGACGGGCAATATCTCCAAATCCCCGGACAACTTAAGGTAATTCATACGCTTCGATAAATATAAAATTTTATTTGTCTAAGTGTGTTTCTGTATTTTACCCCCCCCCCCAACTTAATTTTTTACCTGAGCTATTTTGGCCGTCTATTCACTGTACAATATTGGCCTACATTCGAAGGTGAAGCGCAGCAATATTTATGACACCTCAACGTGCGGCTCAGGTGAAATAACAATGACCTGGTTACTGTCATTGTGGATCAACACAATGGTTACAAGGTTTGTTTAGAGGGTCCTTTCGGCGATTTCTTTTAAAATCAAGGCGGTCTCCCGTGACTCTACGTGTATAAATGCAAGCTCTGGAATAGTATCAACCACAGGTGTGATATTGCAGTGTCATCGGACACAATTGTATGCGGACCGAGAGACATTAAGGTGAGCTCGGGACACCTACGATAATTTACATATCACTGACAAGTGATGTATCGTGTACTTTTATACAAAGCAGGGATGCACATTCGGGCTCACATACATCTGCCGAGGTAAGTTATACCTAGGATCCAACATAATGTTGATAAAGTTGTAAAAGGCACCAGCAGTTTTTTAGCTTGTTGCTGTTGCCCTGTCGTTTCAATGAAATAGATGTTTATTATCGTTCAAATATGGAACGTTTGCTATATTGTGCTATTTCTCGTATACGCTATTCATATCTTAACAGTGTTTGGTTACCTGTGATGAAATAAGTATACCAATGGGGGTAGACATACTGGTGGTTAACAATATTTATGATGAAATATTAAAAAGCACTTTATATGTTTTGGCATAAACTTGGGATTAGTACAACATGAATTACACCAAGAAGTCAACGGAGAAAGGGAAAAAAGATAACATGTTAAATTATACATGCACATTGAGGTGTACGAAAAGAAACTAAGCCGGAGTACATTGTATATGCAATGGGAAATATTCATCGACCCAGTCTTGAATCGCCACCTGTATTACAAAATATATCAACAAGTCATATATAACAAAGACTAAAATGAATATAAGATTTTAATTCTAATGTTTTAACTGCATACGGCTTTTGTTTAAAGCGTTTATTTAATTGATATAATTTTGTATTGGATACGAAGGAATGGGCATTAATGGTCTTCAAGAACGGTTTAGAATTAAATGACCATAGCGCTATCAAGTTCCGAAATGACCAATTCTTTGTTAAGATGTTTTAAGATATCTTTTTCTTTATTCGGCTTAAACCGCACGAACAATCATGTGAATTCCTTACACTTTCACTTTCGTAAAATTGCAGTTTTAGATTTAAAATACCACTTCTAAGAAAGAATATCACGCTCTTGAACTCCTCAAAATAGATGAAGAGATTTAATTAAAAGGACCTCGATTTTTTTTTAATCGCTAAAATTATTCTGTTTAAATACCTATCTAAAACAAAGACGAACCACCACCACCCCCCTCAAAAAAAAAAAAAAAAAAAAAAAAAAAAAGAAAAGTATAAATAAGAAGGGAGGGTAAAACCTGGTATGCAACCCACAGAACCAAATTCCGCCATATTTCAATATATATATATATATATATATATGTGTGTGTGTGTGTGTATACATTCTAATCACTTCTACAAGAAGGAGAAATGAGATATTTACCCAACCCCACCTTTTTCCTTGAATATCCTGGACCACTAGCGTCGATACTTAAACAATCTCAAACAGATGGTGCTACTTATACCCCCTTTACACTGAACGGCGTCCTTTCTGCGTCCTTTCTGCGACCATGAAATTTGGCATCGCTGTGGTCTTAATAAGGAGGCACGAGCATTGATTTTGTATCAGAATGAATGCTCAATGATTGGGCAGTTGTCGGCACGTAAAGTATTATAATTTTTTAACTTTCAAATGGGGCCGTACTGCTGGACGCAGAAAGGACGCCGTCCAGTGTAAAGGGGGCTTTACCGAGTAAATAGCATGCACGTGTAATTTGATCATTCCATCCACTGCACGCATATTATCACGTAGTTTTAGAAGTATTCACCACGTTTTCTCGCTCACACAGACCAAACAGTTTTCGTCTTCCTTTTTGTTGTGATCTACTAGAATAGTCTGGAGCGGATGCCTTTGAAAGAGCTAGGTACATGTAAGTATGAAGCCAAAATTTTATAACTAAGGGACAAGCTGTTATCAGCAGAGTTACAAGTGTTATCGTTTGATATTCTAAAGCTTAAGGGTATTGTTTACCCTCGACTAGGTACGAGTACCCCCGTCAGATCAGTGGTATGAAAATAGGGACGCTCTGTTGAATGCATGGCTGCCGATTTGTAAAGTTGATGACTGGGATAAGGTGAATATAGTCGCGTATAAACCCTAGTTATCTTCGTGACTTTTTTTCCTTTTTTTCGTAGATAAATACAGCTCACTACCAATACAGTAAGACATATAGGACTATATACAGTACGGATACTATACCAGTACCTCAGTAGTAGAATAGCACGCCGCTATGGGGGGTATGTGGTCCAGTGGGTATGCACTGCCAACCCAGCCACCTCCCCCTGCCGACCTAGACGCCGAAGTGAACAAAACTGACTACGCAGATCTCGCCAAGTACGACTGGCCATTTGAAAACTTGGTTCTGGAAGGCGGCGGCACTAAGGGGACTGCATACCCTGGGGCTTTACAGGTAGGCATTGGATGTTAGCTTTGGTTTATTTATCATAACTGATAAAGAATAAAAACAAATCGTAAACTAAAGTGACCTCCGTTCACTTTGTTGTCCTTACCATCAAAAGCGGTATCAACCGTGAAACTTTCAATGAATCATGGGTATTTATTATCCGTAATTTGTGTGCGCTGTGACAGATGATACCTAAGATGTTTTTGTTATAAATATATGATTGATAGTATGTTGAAATCGAGAAAAGAACACGGGCGTCTAAGGTGAAATGATTTTGCAAATATGCCTTTTGAGACGTCATCGGTCGGTGTTCTAACCTGAACATTAACTATTTTCTTCTAAGTCGGTGGAAAACTTCTTTTGTGAGTTTTTGTTGACCGCAAAGCACATTATTGTTTGTATTGTTAGCAAGAAATGTGCTTTTAAGGTGTCCAAACAACTTTACTGAAAACTTGTTATTAACGCTGTGAATAACAACATTATTATCGTCCATAGGTTGGTTTAGAAACTTTGCCAACGCTTTAGGTTTGTGGAAAGGAAATCATATTGAAAGACAAAAAAAGACATAACTGAACACAATATTATGGCGAAAGTGTTGGGCTATGTGGTTTGATTTCAATCCAACGTTGTGGAAAAAACGCATGTTTACCTGTTCCATATCCAATCTGTGAATACAACTGCATTTTTAACGCGTCGTGTCGCTGAGGTTTTTTCAACATGCACATATTTTGTGATCGGTGAGCTATTAATAAATTTTCTCGTTTTAAGCCTCAAGCTTAGATCCACAGGTATTGTTGCGTGTATACTGGTGTGTTAGAAAAGCTTACCGAAATACGGAATACGTGTGAATTTGTCTTTTTGCCGATATCCCCTGCACCTTACTGCTCCCATACACCGCCTATCTGAGATACGTTCACTCTCTAAATCAAGGCAGAGCAGAAATTTACTAAATATTTTTTATATATATTATATATATGGCATATAACTGTATATACCACGGAGCATAGACAACAATGTCTGAACTGGATGGAAAAAGTTTTAGCCGCTTTGGCGCTGTCTGTGGATAGTTTATTTCTACAATCACAATAACTCCACCAATGACATTAATGACTTACCTCCCTAATAAATCAATTATATATATATATATATATATATATATATATATATATATATATATATATATATATATATATATATATATATATATATATATATATATAAGTACCGAGTTCACCTGAGTTCACACTTGCTAAACGTGTACTTAGTTCACCTGCTTCGGCATCTGTTTATCTCGTCTCGTTTATTTTTTTGCGAGCCCATAAATGAAAAAGCCATTCCGGTATTTAATTTACCATTTAATGTATGTTTATAACGGCCAGTGACTAATTTTGTGTGTAGATATGTGTTCAACCGGCATACGGACCAGAAGACGTATGCATTAACAGGTTAAGGACTCATTCCCACTGACACTATCGGTCTACGTAAACTGATCCAACTCCGCGGGGACTCTCGCTAAATGCAATCAGTTTAACAGATTAACACACCTCCTCTTGTTTTCAACGTAGTTGTTTTATCATCATCTTTTCTACATTCTATTCAACGCCCGGAGGAGGCGTGTCATTCAGTTAATCCGATTGTATTCAGCAATGGTCCCCACGGAGTTGGATCGATCCACGTAGACCGACAATGACAATGGGAAAGAGACCTAATTTATCAATTTGTCAATGAGTCAACTAGTTCTTGCTCATACATTGCACTTAATGCCTCCTTTATAACATTATTTTGCTTTTTGAACATCAGTGGTGTGTTTTTAGTACTCAAAGTTGACTGCTTGACAGGCTTCTTTACACAAATTTCAGCCTACTGGTTTGAAGAGGGATCTGTGAAGAGTTGGTACACAGCCTAAAATATTCCTCAAGCAATCCTTAAAATGTTCTACTTTCTTCAAAGGGTTAATCAGGGTTAAATCAGCGAAAACTTTTTTCACTCCAGATCTGACACACACTACCCCAAGGTCGGTTTTCTCCCTACGCCGCAGTTTTTGAAAGGGTTTATCAAGGTTGAATCAATGACAACATTTCACTCCACGCCTTACCTTTACCAGGGCCTCAGATTAATTATGTTACGCTTTTCGCCAGCGCGACAAAGAATCTTGTCATGAATTAGTCAGACACATCTTATCTAGTGAAAATTCCATCTGTGTCTCTGGTAAAGGTGTACGTACGTTGTCCCCGCGTTTGAGGCTTGGGTCCATTGTACTAGTACGTGTGCAAGTTTGGGGAAAGTAATCGAGTAATGCGAAAATCCATGTTGTCATTAGAAGAGAATGTCGGCACTAATTTTTCATTGATTGACATCATATACTTATCACATAAAAAAACTGTTCATTCTTGACAACTGACGGTGTGTCTTATTGATTGCAGATGAGCAATACATTAATTGCAATGCCGTTTCAACATCTGTTCTGGGTAATCTCACGCAATATTTTATATGGTGCGCTGGATAATGAGTACACAAAAACAGCATTAAATCGTTTCCAGTTTTTAAACATAGCACGAAGTGCCCGTTTTGCCGCCCTAAAATGCTTTTAAATGCTAGTGTACCGCTGCTATTTGTTTAAAGTTATAAAAACTACGACATGTAAACTGATCGACTGAAACACGGTAATTTATCTTCTCTGTTCATTTGGCACTTTGCACTTGAATTTATTATGAGTCTTTCCTTAACCTTGCATACAACGGGGCTGTTTTTTTTAGTATTTATTTGTGGAGTCTACTGTACTATTTCATGTAAACTTCTTTTCAGTCTTTGTAACACTGATATAAGGTGAGTAAATACTGTAGCAGACCTCACATGGTTGTGATCAACGGAGTCGTCACGGCTGAGCAATGAGTTAATGGTTTACGCCGTGATACGGGGAATGCAAATATTATTTACCAGGTTGCACAGGAGGCAAATTTGAGAAGGGAGGGGGGTCTACACACACACACACACACACACACACACATTTTAGTGAGTTTGATGTAATATTTCAAAGACATCTTCAACTATTCATTCGCCTCAAAGAATTTTATAGGGCCCCTAAGCTATATGCACAGCTTCCTACGCCTATGACTGACTGTTAGACCCCATTCCCACAGATTTTAGATCGATCTATCCTTGTGGGGAGTCTCACTAGATTACTGTCAGCTTAGCCGGCTTAAATGTCTGTCCCGCCTACTAAAAGCTGTAAGGGGGTAATTAACTACCGTGCGCGTTCGGCTGACAGCAATTTAGCGTGAACCCCCAGGGAGTTAGGTCGATCTAGGTGGATCGATCTAAATCTATGAGAATGCAGTCAGTCTGTCTAGAAACGCAATATTTTTTTAAAGGTGAATATAATGAATGGGTTCTAAATTTGGACACCCTTCAAAACGGTTCTTATTTTCCTGTTGGACAACGCCTAAGACAAAGTATTCAAACGGTGTTAATCCTTTAGTTAACGACATAACATGATAATGCTAAACCACGTAGAATTTTAAAAAGTTATTAGAAAACTAGTCACGAAGAATTACGTGAATAACAGGCCACAAACACACTGAAAATAAATAACGTACATTTATCATTAAAGAATTTATGTACAATCACGTCTCCGATTACGTCTCCAATAAGACGTGTTTGAAAAGTGGGGCTTAAGCTTTTTGAAATGTATTGTAACTCAATCGCAAACTTTTCAAAACATAATAAAGCTCCATTCCTTGTCGACCAAAAAAGAAAATACACACACTGCTAACGGACTATAAACTCATATTAAAGAAATTACGTAATGAATCTTTAAAGAAACTATCTAAAATTATTGAATAACATGTTTCCAATTAAATGCCTCTAACATGACGTGTTTGAAAATAGAGTGAACATTTTCACGCACTCAAAAAAACAAGTAAACCCTCTTATGTGAAGAGAGTTTTTATTGGAAGCGGAGAAGGGAATAGACAAAAAGAAACTGCTCACTATTTTTCATATTCTGAATCCTAATATTATTATTATTATTATTATTATTATTATTATCTTGTGAATATGAAGGAAATGAATTGATTTATTTCGGAAAGTGCTTGCAACTTTGAAAATGCAAAATTATTATTAATATTTTACCTTAATACTTTGTTCATTTGTCACTCTTCATTCCAATTACCTAAATTTTGTTTCGCTTTGAAGACGTTTTTTTTTTTTGTGTGTGTTTTCTAAATCTTAGTAAGTAGAATATAAATCTTTCAAATTAAATATTCCCCAGGTTTTAGAAGATGTCGGTATACTACAGAGTATCAAGAGATTTGGTGGGGCTAGCGCAGGGGCGTGCGTCGCAGGTCTACTCAGTCTTGGATATAAACCGGGAGACATCGCCGCCCTGCTGAATCTGGACCAGAAGTCTATAACTGACGGTGAGTCGTTGCCATACGTTTTCTAATAAATTATGGAATACAAAATAAACTGTGTTCAGATTTCTAAGATATGGGAGCCTACAATATCATCTCTTGTGTATTTTCTATTAAATGTGTTTAATTACATTTTTTCATTTAAATTGTACTGCATGTAAATGTATATTTTCTGATATACTAATATATACTAGTATAGCCTTTCATTATTTTGCACAACAGCACGTATTCACCATGTTTTGTGTATTACTTTCGTATTTCTTTCTAAGTCGACATTCCTGGCGCATATAGAGTTTCACCCTGGCTGCTAAGTTATAAGCCCTACATCATGCGGATTCTCGAACATTTCTACTCGAAAGATTTCCATCTCTCTCTCTCTCTCTCTCTCTCTCTCTCTCTCTCTGTGTGTGTGTGTGTGTGTGTGTGTGTGTGTGTGTTAGAAGTTGGCAGGGTTTGGTTAATGCCCTTCGCCATGTACCCAAATAACGACTTAAATCATTTTTTTCAGATGCCTGGGGAGGTTATCTCTCATTGTTGCCGAATTTTTTGCGTATGTTTGGCTGGAACCCTGGAGAGAAATACCTGAGCGTACTGAAAATGTATGTAGAACATAAAACAGGAAACCCAGACTACACGTTCAAACAGGTAGGAAGATGCCCCAATATGCAAAAGGGAAATTGATATTTACGTTGTGTATACAGTTGTTTATCAGAAATTTGCCTTGACACAGAAATAGTCTGAATGTTTTTTTTTCTTAGTTCCTGGTGTCATACTGATTATAACAGATGTTTGGAATCTTTCATTTTAGTTATATGACGATAAGAAAGTTGAATTGTGTATTATCTGCGCCAATGTCAGTAAAAAGGGCATTGAATATTTCCACCCTAAGACAACACCGGATGTTCCCATTGCGCTTGCGATGCGCATGTCAGCAAGTATTCCAGGTGATTTTTTTTTTTTTTTTTTTTTTTGTAGAATATCATATGAATTTCAGTCCTTGGTCATTTATGACAAACTTAATTGCAATATCACCGGATAGGTGAGTCAGTCGAAATATTTCTCAATATCAGCATACTTTTAAAGATGAGTTAAAAACATCAATTTGGGGGAATTTCTTTCATTTTTGATTATCTCAATTGCAATTGGTTTTATGTGACAATTTCGCTGTTTTTATCTAGCATCTAAATCTTTCTTAAAATATTTTCTCGTACAGCCTTTTTTACGCTGCATTAAAACCTTATCCTTAAGCATTTGGTTAATGGATGGCAACAGCATATTTGGTATTTAATATGTTTGAATTCAGGCTACTTCCAACCAAAAGTCATAGAGATAAAGGGACGTAAACATTACTACGTTGACGGAGGAATGCTCTGTAACTATCCCATCCATGCCTTCGACGGTGAGTCTGAAACCTCTTTTTACATTGATTCGGTTTTTGGCCCCTCTTCATTTCGCTTTTCACTTCTTGAATCTGCACAGAATGGTTAGGAAATCTATGTCAAGACCTTAATTTTTCTGACGAAGTGAACTTTTTTTCTAAAAGAAAAGACAACAAGAGAGCAAATTTTCATCATGTACATTTAAACCTAGGTTGGTTTCTGTCTCTAAGACCAAAAGATACATTCTTCAAAAAATTGGGAACAGAGGAGGATCCCTTTGACAGGCCGACTGGAGAGCCATCTGGTGACCCGAACGTGAGGCACAGACATGAGACAATAGGAATGGTGCTGGTAAGAGATAGACAGTGCATGGTTAGAGCAATTAGATAAAGAATATATACAAGTATATATTTGTATTTATCATGCGAAATCGTATTCTTCTACATGAAAAATTATTTTACTATTATTATTTATCTATAGACTGCTCTTATCGCTATGATTGAATGCGCTCACGACAAGATGTGATTTTAGATAATCCTTTTGTTTTTGATAATGAAAAAAATAAAACCGACAGGTTTCTCACAAGAATTATTTTCTCTGTAGTATTCCACAGATGAACTTGATTTGATGAAAGTGGGAACAAACACACGAGATCTCGCGGAGAAAGCCACAAGGCAGAGACCGGACACTCCCCTGGCAAAGTACGTAATTTCAGGGAGTTAGGACTCCTTGGTAATGTACAGAATTGCTGTTGTTTGGTTGGCTCGTGATCTTATAAGATAACTTTCCTGTTTATATAGGAAAAGAAGCTTATATGCATCAGCAGCCAGACAGAAATGTATATCCAAAAGAAGCATTTCTGTGGAACGTGCATGTAGTCACAAGTTTTCTGTTTGTGCTAGTTTGCGTCACTTAATTGGTGCAAAAGTTGAAAAAATGACATTTCGTTGATATGGCATTAAAAATTGAGTAATGTTACCATAACGACCGGAAACGGTCTTAGAAACGTTGGAAACGACAAAAGCTCTCAAGGAAAAAACAAAAGACTTGCTCATCAAATGTAAACTCAAAAACTAATTTAAAAAAGGTGTTCAAATAATTAAAATATTTACAAATATAAATTTATATCTCCTGTTTACCACAAGGCTTCGAGGACAAATGATGGACGAAGTAAAATCCGAAGTGGACAGGAAATCTCAAGTCATCCATGCCGCTCAGTCTTTGTTTCGGTCATTTGCTGAAAACGACTTAAACCGAGATGGGAGAATCAGTCTAACTGAATACCAACGGGCTATGAAAGAGGTAAAACAGGCATACATAAAATCATTCTAACAGCACTCACGCCAAAGATTGTCAGTCTTTTCCCTTGGATTTTTAGGCACTGTTCTATTCGTTATGAAAGGGAGGAAAAACTGTAGCGTAATTCCATGTTAGGATCAATCTGTGTGTACTAGTACAGACTGAATGACCGCATTCAGATTCAGACATCGCACAGCTGGATCGATCTAACTCTGTGGGAGATTCTCGTTAAAGTGCAATCTATGTAATCAGCTTAATTGTCTCCTCGAGCAGCTAGAGGGTAATTATATTTTGTGTACGCGGCTTAATTACCCCTTGGCTGCTTTATTTATTTATTTATTTATTTATTTATTTATTTATTTATTTACTTTTGACTTGAACCCGCCGTTCTGAACACTGACATTCCATTTCAGCTCCAGAGCCGGGATCCAACGTCAGTTCGTGTTCTGTTTGGCGATTCGTTTGATATGGATGCCTCATTTACCGAGCTAGATTATAACGAAGACAAAATGGTAAAATGACGACACAAAATCCAGTTGGTGTAACTTTGTATTATTTTTAGCTTTCATTTTAGAGTTTAATCGAAAGAAGGTAAGTTATTTTGTCAGTTGTTTAGTTATGTTTTGGGCTTATTGTCTGTCTGTTTGTCTGTCCTTCCGTTCTTCTGTCTCCTGTTTAATGATTTTGTATTTTCCCTGGTTGCAGGTAACGGCCACTGAATTCATGACATTTTTGGAGAATAAAGGCGTTGTCAGTCCTCTGGAATATATCCTTGACGTCTCCAACACGCCCATCCAGTCTCTGCAGGACTACATAGGAGCTTTATTGTCCACATACGACGTCTCGTCGCAAAGGCAATATGTTAAGGTGCGTATGATAGGCCTACAAGCCAGAGATTCAGAGCCTACGCGGACCAACTTCTTTGTTTTTAAATTTTCATGTCCCCTTGTCAAGTCTGAAATTTAGCGGCGTTTGACTGTTCAAAAGATTACAGTGCCTAGCTATCACAAATGTTAGACGTGTCTGTGTACCATCGGATGACTTCTGGGGAACTACAGAACTCAGATGACTGGGTACTCGTTTCTGAGTGTTGTGTATGGTTTAAACTTAACCTGTCCTATAACCGTTCGTTTTTGGAGATTTGAAAATTAAGAAGTTGGCAGGCATCGGACCTGAAGCTTAGGCTAGATGCATATGTATTATCAGTGTTAACAAACGCATCATTCACATCCCGGACATATTTGTGCAGCGTTGTAGCACTTCGTGGTGAAACTTGCTCTTACAGAAAATGAATGTTTATGGTACTATTATATATTTTCTAGGCTTCCGATTCTGAGCGTACAATAGGTATCTGCACAGACTATATTAGTACGCTAGACATGGACATGGAGGAACAAGACAAAATTTTCCTGCGAAAGGTATGTGATTCTCACCCACCCCACCCCCTCCCCCCACCTCCGACACACAGTATACAGTATGCCTTAAATATACATGTACCTTGGTGCCTTTCCAAAGAAAATCCTAACTTTCACAGTGTGCGGATATTTTCATAATTCAAACTTGTGTACTCTTTGAAATTTTTTTCTAAAAGTTATTTATTTTTTCCTTCAATCGTTTGTGATATATTGATTAAAGCAGCCAAAAGTAAGAGTTTTCAGATATTGGCAATTAAATGTTGGGATTAAATGTTCAGATGGACCCAACCCAATTTTATATCACATTTAAATTTTTCCTTTTCCTTCCTTTTGTAGCAAGGGCGATCCGGAACTACGGCATTTTTAAGGGAATATGCCAAAAAGTGTAATATCCCACTGAAAACTGAGGAGTGATTCTGCACTCTGGACATGTTACCGGCAGCAGCCGACAAACCACGTGCTTGTGCTGCCTACCATAGGCCATCCGCGCGATGACGTCGTTTTTGTTAAAAAAATTTGCTTCAGCAAAGAAGTGTGCACATAATACTATCCAGAAAATATCTGTCAATATCTGTTCAAATATTTTCCCTGTGACCCTGGTAGAGGGTTATGTGCTTGGATAATATATTATAATTTATTCTCATTGTGCTATTCTATCTGGGTCGTGGTTTGCGTCCAAAAGATAACTCTTAGATTGAAATGCTGGGTTACAGTTAGAGCTGGGTTACCATAAAGAGTATATTTTATCATGCACATCACAGAACGTTGAAGAGAGAAGAATAACGTGTGGAATGGAAACTCGTCCAGATAAATATCATGAGCTTATGTTAATAAGCAGTAGTCATGTTCATTAACGGGCTAAGTGTTGGGGTTTTTTTCGTTTGGTCGTTTACACTTAGATGCATAATAGAAAAGACCGAGAATAGGAATGAGTTTTATGACTATGCAAAACGATTCCAGTGAGTTGTAATGGTGAATGAGTGACAAAACAATCGGAACATATACCTTTGTTACACCAATTATAGAAAATAAAGTATGAAAATGAACTATCCATGCATGGCGATTTAATGTTCCAGTGGTTAGGATGTCTTTTTAGATTTCTTTTTTTTTTTTTTTTTGTTTTCAGTCATCAGAGTCGTCATCCTAAGAATTGTGTTAGGTAAAAAAAGAAAACGAAAACTGAACTGAATTCCATTTTTTCACAAAATGCAGGATGCAAAGCATGCGATGAAAACACAGAATTTAACGGACATGTTGTGTCATCAGTGGGTATTATGGCTGCTGGAGGTTAGAAATATGTCATCAAATATTTAGACACAGTTTTGATCTTCATATGCTCCACAGAATGTTCATAGCGATATCTGGATTGGACAACCAGTTTTGCTTTTAAAGAACTGATGACGTTGTTAAAAAGTACAATAATATATTATCTATTAGAATGGTCGTTGTTCCAAGGATTTCTATTTGATAACGTTATATATAATGATAATACTCACTTTGGAACAAAGCATTACCACCCCAAGTGACAATTGTTTACAGGTCTACCAACAAACACCCAACGGCCTGTTGGCATTCAGCTATATGATGCTCTTGTGACAAAAGCGAAACGTAGCTTTTTCTTAAATATTCTGTTCCAAAATAAATGATTGTCATCACAAAATGTTCTTAGATATAATAATCATTTTATATTCAGTTACGTTATAGCGTTAACTGATCAATTATCTACAGTCACGTTTAACTTGAACGGTATATTTTGTTTAAGAACATACATGTGTGTCCCTAGTGCGGCCTTAGGTTAAAGAACTGTGCAGAGCTGTGTAACAGTGATGCCATTTATCCTAATTTATATTACCGAGAACAATTTAAAATGCTTGTGTTTAGCTTGCCTGTAATGATCACATAGTGATATCAACTCATCTTTGAATGGAGAATAAATAAAGTTAATACTAGTTAAAAATAAAAAAGCAGATTTAAAGAAGAAATATTGGTGTGTGTTTGTTATTTTTTAAGCGTATGTATTATATAATTTTACACGAATGGCCCTTTTCAAATGTGCATCAACATGCAATATCTGCACACTTTTGATAGAAAAGATATGTGACGCTGACACAATGCTGTTCTGGTTGATTTTATTAAGTACATCGAGACCTGCACGCCACTGGTTGGCTTAAAACTTAGTATTCCAAACTAGAATTTATACTTATAAGATGTGTGCCATGCTGTTGTCGCTCTATTCCAATAAAGAAAACCACATAGACATTTCAGAGATGAATGAACGAAATTCACATTCTATGGCCCAAGGCTGGATATTAAAATATCATGAGGAATATTTGGTCTAGTGGCTTTGTACTGCCAACCCAACCGCCGCTTATGAATTAGAAAACAAACCAGCGCACACCCAATGGAGGTGAATTACCCTGGGTTTAGAGTTTCTTTGAAGCTCGGTACCTGTGTTGTGTGCTGAATCAGCTCTAAGTAAAATCATGTCCCACCCGATCTTTCTTCCTTAAAGGTAATCCTTAACACATTCACCCCATATTACTGGCGTTGTAAAGTGTAATGCATACCACTGCGTTTGCGCTCCGATCCAAAAAGACGGGTTACACCAATGAATCCACGATTTGCTTTAATAATATAATTAAGCCCTACTTGTCCCAATACACTTGTCACCCAAAATGTAAGTACTCAACGGTATGTTGGGCATAGTTAGGTATGAAAAAAACGCTTGGTTTTTTTTTTTTTTTTTTTTTTTTTTTTTTTGGGGGGGGGGGTGTCGAGATGGAGGAACTTTGGAATCTAAGAAGGGTACACGTACCCACTGTGCGACCCCGTGGGTCTGCCACGGAGGCTGTTGTCTTGTATATCCCAACAAAGTGACGCAGTTATCATTACCTGATGTGGCCTGTGAAAGTAGGGCAATACTGCGCGGTTGATGAAACTTCTACTATTTGTATGCTGCCTTCTGTCAGGGCGTCAAAATATTTCAGCAGACTATACCCATAAACGGGCTATTCTGTGATAAATATTTCACGCATGTGTTAGTGAGTGAAAACACGATAAGATGGAAGATGTTTCATAGGGCGGTCTTTCCTGTTAGGACCGGCTGTCATTAGACAAAAGTGAACTATCCGACTTACGGACTATTGCTCAATATCAACGACGGAGAATGCATACACTGTAGCTGTAGCCTAATTTGTGTGCAGCATGTGCCCTGGATGCGGCCTGTGCTTGCTATTTATATATAAATACGGCACATAAACCGCAAAGATGGATTCATTGAACCTACTTGATTATTCATGATGTCACCTCATTAAATGATTCAAATAAAGGCCAGAATTTTACGGACAGCGCAGGGAGAATCGTTCATTTGAATAGCAGGTGCCCGTGCACCTATTAAACCATGGGAATAACTTGGCCTATACGCTACAAACTCCCGCATGAACCGCCGCCAGCTCTCGATTTATCCACCGAGGTGAATAGAGATGTGTATATCGACCTCGCCAGGTACGACTGGCCCTTTGAAAACCTCGTTCTGGAAGGCGGCGGTACGAAGGGGACTGCATACCCTGGCGCAATTCAGGTATGGGCCGGTACGGGGATCGTATATAGTGTTGCCATGGCAACGGTTATTAAAATGTGATGATAGAATGTTTTATTTGACGAGAAATACTAGAATGACTCATCAAAATAAAGGAAATTCTTTGTCATAATGGTAGACCTTCACAACAATAAGTTAAACATAAGTTTATCCCTTTGAAGGTCATACTGTGTGTGAGGCAAACCATAAATAATAGCACCCATAACTAACATGTACCGTGCCAGCAGGCTTTATAAATATAACAGTGTAGAAACGTATTTCAAGACATTGAGGAGAATTATCTGAGCGAGATACTCCACTAGAACGTGTTTTTTCTTTATTGCCAAAATCTACTTTGCCTTCCCCATGCATCCCATGGCATTTAAGCCAACGGACTTATTAATTTTTATTTTTGTATTTTAGGTTCTGGAAGATGTGGGAATACTTCAAAGAATTAAGCGGTTTGGTGGTACCAGTTCGGGGGCCAGTGCGGCCGGTTTGCTCAGCGTGGGGTTTAAATCAGGAGAGATCGCCGCGTTGTTAGACATGGACCAGAGAGTAATCTTAAAAGGTAGATTCTTGATTCTTGATCCAATTAATGATTATTTGGTACATACCAATAGAGTTACGGAATGATAGAATGATTCAGGGGATTTTCATATAATTATTTTTGTTTTGGTGCAGCATACAGTATACAAAATGTCATATTTTATTTTATTATACGTTATTTTATTTTATAATAATGGCATTCTTATTCTTGCAACTAAAAATCGGATTGCTCACCAACTATTAGAGTGTTACATGTAGAAGTAACTTAAACGTTATATTGGTCTAAACATCAAGACCCATGCGATTGTTTTCTTACTTTTAAAAAAGGACTATCTTTGACAGTAGACCAAACGAATCGTTATCACCTAGAGTATGACGTCACAAATTAAGATCTACAGCCAAAGGACTTGCTAGATCATACTAATGCCAAAACACAGTGACTTAAAATTGGATGTAGCAATGCTTCGTATAAAAAAAAAACACTCTCATTTGTTTATAATATAAGTAAGCGACTGGTAGTCTGGCAGATATTTACTTTCACGTGTTTTAGGATAATGGTAAAACTCGCATTACTTTATACTTTACCCGTTTCAGACGCTAGAGGAGGGTATTTCTCGTTAGTGCCAAACTTTCTACGCCTATTTGGCTGGAATCCAGGCGACAGATATCTCAACTTGCTGAAAATGTGTATGAGACACAAGACCGGGAATCCAGACTACACATTCAGACAGGTGACGCTACTCATCAACAACAAATCTTTTTTTATATTTCTCATTCATTTTGCACTTGGAATTTCAGAAAGAGAAATAGTTGACAAACGAATCCGTTGGCTTCAAGACTTTATGATTTGAAGATTGTGATTGGCAGTTTGTAACGTAGATTGTTTAGATCTAAATGTTTTTTCTTCAGTTATATGACGACAAGGGGATTGAACTGTGTATTGTTTGCGCCAATGTCAGTAAAAAGAACATTGAATATTTCCACCCAAAGACGACACCGGATGTACCCATTGCGCTTGCAATGCGCATGTCTGCAAGTATTCCAGGTGAGTGAGTGCCAATCAAAAAACACTTAAATGTCCGACACTGCCAATAACATGTCAAACCATGCAACATTGTAGGATATATATATATATATATATATATATATATATATATATATATATATATATATATATATCCCTAACGTATTTATACTGAAAGTATCTTGAATATATCTCTTGCCTTAGTGTTTTTTCAGCCTAAAAGTCTAGAAAAGACAGGGAACAAGCATTATCTTGTTGATGGTGGCTTAATTTGTCCTTATCCTATCCATGTCTTTGATGGTAAGTGTAATCATCTTTGCTATGTTTATCGTACTATTATATAAGCGTTCTGAGCTGCTTTCTTTCTCATATGGTTTCCTGTTTTACATTTTTGCGTTTATCTTGTTTGTGTTCCCGAAGGTGAAAAAACGTGTTTGTATGATTTCTGGTGTTAAATTGTGCTATATGAAATTGCAGATTGGAAAATTTTAAGAAGGTCCCTTACGTTCAAAATCGATATTTTTGTACAATTCTGTATTTTAGTGAAAACCGAATTGCCGGGGGTACATTTTTTTCTTGAATTTAGAAAAAATCGAAAATCATCTTTGCGTTTTCCATATCGGTACATTAAACAATCGCCTCTTGTACGGTATCTTACCTCACCTACTCCAAAGTAAAATTACAAAATGTTTAAAAAAATACACCTGTTTATTGGCTAACTCGCATTCTGTTCTATTCTGACAAGAAACCAAACCATTTTCCACCAATTAAATGTATTGCGTTTAAACTCAGGTTGGTTTCTATCAATGCGGCCAGAGGATTCGTTTTTTAAGAAGCTAGGTACGGAGGAAGATCCGTTTGAGAGGCCGATGGGAGAGTTTTCAAATTGCCAAAATAGCAGACACAAACATGAGACAATAGGAATAGTGTTGGTAAGTTGTAGTCATTAAGTGAATCATGACTAAATGTTGAAAAGATGAAACGTTTCAACTTTTGGTACATCTAACAATGTGCTTGTAATTCAAACATGCGTTTAGTTCGAATGTTTCGATTGTTTTAAGGATTGAAAAACACCAAAATAGTGAACTCCCTGTTCTATGCTTCTAATCTCCGCCCCTTATGTACGTGACTTAAAAAGTTATGTAAGATATTTTTTCTGGAAATTTTCGAAGCTTAATGAGGTTAATAAATAGAATGTTTGTTTTAACTCCTCTAGCTTATAAATGTAGAAATTGTATTTTACTTCGAACTGCGTTTTAGTATGCTACGGATGAGCTAGACCTGATGAGGGTGGGGACAAATTCACGTGACCTACGGGAAAAAGCATCATCACAAAGACCAGACACGCCGCTGGCTAGGTATGTTAACACAGTTAAAGCTAGCATCGCTTTACTGCTTATATCTTAATGGCATGACCAGTTTAAAGATTCCAATACACAATCTCTGTGTGTTTGTGTGTACGGTGTCGGAACTTACATGCAGCAATTTATTCGTCGGGGGCGCGAACTAACTGTGTAACTTTAAGTCTTTTTAGTGTGATTAAAAAGTAATTATAGATTTCAGAGTGCGCAACCAATCTAAGATGCAGAGTTTTAAATTGACATTTGTAATAATTTTAACCCATGTTATTTGCTAAGGCTGCGTGGACAACACATGGATAAAGTGAAAGCAGACGAAGACAAGAAATTACAGATTTCAAGCGCTGCGAAGACCGTGTTCAGAGCATTTCATGACAAGGTCAGTGACCAGGAGGGAGACATCAGCCTAGGCGAATATCGAGAGGTCATGGAAGAGGTAAATTTTTGTATAGAACACATCCATTTTGGCAACAAATTGGATGAATTGAAAAACGTTTGTATTTTGCTGAATTTGGTCACTTATGGTTTATTATTATTTTTTTTAAACCAAAGTTGGCTTTTTGGCCCTTCGTGACGTCAAGTGCGTGTGGTGTCTATTTGCGGTTGCAGTTTTACATTTGTCCAGTAGTGTTTTTTTTTTTTTTTACCATATTATGTTGGGATTATTTATACAATAAAAAAAAACGTTTGCACAACCCCGCCTGCCACATAACCAACATTTGAGGTCGTATAACATTTTTACCTGCATTTCAGCTCGAAACCCGAGATTCCGAATCTCTTCGAATTTTATTTGGGGATAATTTCGACATTGACTCCACGTTTAGAGAGCTGGATAATCAACAAGACAAACAAGTATGTGTTCTCAAGTTAATTTATTTTTCTGCAGTTCATTGCAACGTAAAATGTCAGTACTTATCACTATAGAACATTCCAATTTTCTTTTGGGTTGGAAGTAAAAAAAAAAACAAAGTGAAAAACCTATCTAGCGGGTCATTTATTTTAAGCATATATTTTTCTCAGTGCGTGCATCGTCCAAATACTATACAAAGCTACACAATTACGGTTCAGTTTTCACGAAAAGATCTCAGTTTATTTATTTATCTATTTATACTTTTCATTTCTATTTTCATGGAAACGAAATTCACATTCACTGCTCTTTTATTACGAAATTTAAACACACAATTTATGCACTTTCAAAATCAGAAATAGAAAATCCCATGATTGTCTCTTTTTTATTTTACAAGATAACAGCAGTAGAGTTTTTTGCCCTCCTGGAGAAAAAAGGTGTTATAAGCCCGCTTGAGAGCACGCTTGGATTTGCCACTTCGCCCATTCTATCGGTGAAAGACTATTTTAGTGCATTATTAGCTACTGTCCACGTCTCGTCACAGAAACAATATATAACGGTAAGTTGTGACCAAAAATAAAAGAGACAGCAATTTTCTTTAAAAAAATAACACCGAAGAAAAATAGCATTTTAAATTAGTTAATTTAAAAGAAACGCTAGAAAATGAATTTAGAAAGCGAAATCATATTTCACTTACACATGCGAGCGTTTTATCGACAATATGTGGGTAGTGGGGGTAAGTCCAAGGGCTGTCAATATGGAAATAAACGGTATGTGTATTAATCAATAAGCATTTTCATTGCGACATAAAATGAGAACTTGCGATTGGTATGAAATCTCATATCATCGTTCCAGAAAGGTCGGAATCTGTAAAAGCGAAGCACACAGCGTGAGATTAGAATACGTTCTGCGTCAGACACAAGTTAAGGCTCCTTGTGTTAAATATACCCACTGAAATATGTGTATTGCCGACTTGTTTTGAAAGCAGGGAAACTGCAGTTGTGTCCGTATAAATGTTACCAGCACTGTATAATGCTATTTTCAATTTCAGGCCTCAGATGTGGAGCGTACCATTGGCGTGTGCACGGACTATATACGAATACTGGATTTAAATATGGAAGCAGAAGACAAACTTTTTCTGCGGCAGGTAGGCAATTTTATTCATAAATTTGTTTAAGGACAAGATTCCCAAAATGGTGTAAGTTTATGTAATGTTCACAATATAAGTTTACAATTAATTTTTAATTATTTAGTTCAATGATTTACTTCTGTTTTATAATAGGCGGAGGTCTGTGCTTTTGAGATGTTCTTTTTTACAATATAAAGGAAAATTACATAAATCTATGATTACAGTATGCGACGTGGTGATCATACAAAATATTTCGGTCTTTCCTTGTGCGAATCATAATTTTAGTGAAGTTTAACCCGGTAGTATAGAATCTTTTTAGGCTCATATCCTGTCTCTTTGTAAAAGTAAACCTTTTTAAACCAAAGGTTTTTTCAGTTTAAATATTGGAAAATTAGTTATGAAAAATAAAACTTTAAGGAAAAAATGCAATTATTTAAGACACTCATGTGGTTTTATTTTTACTGGGTATAGCTACAGAACATTATTCTTTTTTCACGTTTCAGCAAGGACGCCTCGGAACCGTTTCCTTTTTGAGGGGATATCTACAAAAGAATTCGATTCCTCTGAAAAAATGAAAACCCTGTCCAATGGCCTGGGGTCGCATAATTACACTTTTCTTTCAATCGGGATATCCCTGAGGGTTTCAATAAATTATCAAAATTATTATTATTATTATTATTAATTTAGTTTGACAAGATATATGTACACCCTACGCACGTGTTTACATTAGGTAAATGTAAGTGGTATACATGTAAATGTTTATAGAAGTATATTAATGTTCCAAGATAGTAAATGAAATAATTTTTCGAAAATAAGATAACAAAATAAACATAAAATTAGGCAGATAAATTTAATCTCACAGTTGTAGGCAACTGTGGTGTACGTAGCGTACGTAAGACTTTCTTTGCGGTAGATAACGCTGAGTCGGAGAGTTTTTAATAAGTTGACACGGACAGATTTTTGTTCTAATTCTTTGCGCTGAAAGAAAGCCTTTGATTACAATTTTATTATTTTCATCATTCCACTAATTTGCCATTCAATTTTGCATGTCTGAATTTTGTACGAATTTAGAACGTACGCGAGGAAAAAAACACAAAAAGATAAGTATTAATATTATGCTAACCTCTGTAGTTGATGGAAACTTTTTTCTTTCTGATACGAACCACTGAAAACTATAAGGTCATTTATATCGTTGATGAAAGTTTTTAATGAAGAATAAAAACTCTATATAAAAATACAACGTGAGACTTATAATACAATCACAGATGTTGTCATACATGTGAGAAATTCTACCCATTACTGAGATTAACTGATATGAGTATTGAACGTACATTAATCATTTACTTCAGTTTGATCGCACATTCCACAGCATTACATTCGAACAGCAATCTGAATAAGGTAAGTTAAGAACCAGTGTCGACGCACAATTTAAAGTCCTGCGCGACAACCTAAAAATGTAGCGAGCCTATGTACATGTAGCATGAACTAATCTGTGAAAGCCTCCTTCCAAATTTCAAACATGCAAGCGGCGCTGTGAAATCGGAAGAAAATCACCATCGGCATGGAAATGTGCGATATGATGCACCAACCCAAACCGTGATAGAGTAGCAATGAAACGGGGGAAGTTTGCGGACACTTCACCTCAAACGTGCTAAGAATCCAAAGAGACACGTTGCAAACGAGCAAGAACGTAATGAACTGACGACCCTGCTTAACTGTATTTGAAACCCGCTTTGGGCCAGGGCGCCTGCGCAATCCGTCTAAGATGCACGCGGTTTGCATCATTGCCTCCAAGATTTGAAACACCGCGATGGTGAAAGTTAAGTGAAAGGGGGCGATGTCTGTCCCCTCGTCCTCATCTTCGAAAAGTTTTTTTGAAGGGGAGGCGTCCGTGTCAAATGCAACGGCAGATATCGCGTTAAAGATGGCCAGGGCAAACAATCCCGTCAGCGACACAATTAGCAGGGTGCGGTCTAACGCAATGTCCTTCTGCCTGTCAAAGTCCAGCCTTCTGAGGAAGAGGAACATCGCCCCAAGCGCCACGCACATCAAAGCTGAGGTAACCACATGCATCGTCTGATAAAAAAGCAGAGCGAAGTGCCGCATCTTGTAGTCCAGGGTCTTGTCTTCGTCATACGCCATAAAAAACACGATGGCCGCCACGCCGTAGATCAGTATCACGATGCCCAGGAGGAACCCGATGGTACTGTTGGAGCAATCGATGCGTTCAAACACACCAGCACGCGTGTGATGGGCGTGGTCTTCATTTTGCGCGGTGCCATGTTGATGTGACTTCCCGACCGAGCGCCATATAATGTACAGGAAACCTGAAAAACGGCTTGTTTTATGATGAATGGTAAAAGCATTGCTCCTCGGGTCGTAAGGCGAACTGATTTGACTTTTCTTTTTTCTACTTTGATTTAACTGGCTATGCAAATGGCTGTTCATGAACATGTTCCAACATAGAAGGTGTTGGAATTCATTTAGTACTCTCTGCAATACTAATCAAAATGTCTTGTTTCTTTTCTTTTGATTTTTTTAAAGGGGACATGCAAATCACTTTTTATTTATAATTTTGAAAATGTTTTTTTTTTTTAAACTTCGTAGCGTTGTCTGCGGTGACTTACCTGCTACTATGAGATTGAACTCCACTGCGCAAGGATACAAGAATGGGGTTGCTTGCTCTGCCAGCTGCTCAAATATCCCATTTGTTGGTTCTTCTTTGGTTGGCATTACTTCCGTTACTTGTGTAGAGGGCGATACATTTCCTGAAATGTAGCAACACTATAAGCCCTACGTTTACTCGAACATCTGTGCGTTTTTGAGCATGCTTGTGCTTTCTCGACCTATTTCAATAATAAATGATAAACATCATCATTCTACGGCGATGCAAACTTAACCTAGCTGTTTAAAACGGGATGCAACTACTTTGCGACACACAGGGCGCTCACAATCATTTTTATTTATTTATTTATTTATTTACCCGAAATGACAAAACCATCGATAGAATGGACCCATTCAGGATTCAACCACATGGTAACCGTCTTTTCGCGCTTCTTCACGCCCTTCAAGTCTTCCGCAGTTTCATAGATCAGTACATCTGCCCATGCGCACAAACTGGTGGCCACGAGGTGCATGACGGACAGGTTGACCAACCACTTGTGTTCAAGGTACACAGTCTGCAATGTGAAAAATAAATTTATCAGTTTAACTGTTAAACTTCTGTTAAACACTAGGCACATTACACTAGAATTGCTTCTGTTAATAAAAACGAAAGAAAGTTAATTGAAATAATATTCGAATTGCTGTATATTCTATTTGCTGTTTCTGGATCGTTCGATAAGTGCAGGAAAGGAATACATTTCAGAATAAGAATTCTCAAATTTGACCGACACGTTAAGTACATAACTTACACGTTCCATGACATATAACATCACCCCGTAAGCGTAGGTGTTAACAGTATTTAAATGATCATCCTAATAACAATTAAACCGAAGAGAATAAAATTTACATTGACGTAGTTGAGCAGATATCCGATCAAGATGATAATTAACAGGAAGCGCAGAACAGGCTCCACCACGCCGACCCCACTCTTCTCTTTCCAGTCATGAGCAAGGAAATCTATGACGGCGTCCATCGCGAAGCCAAGCCCGAACACTTAAAAATAAAATGATAATAATTAAAACATGAATTGAGAATAATTTACATTTGTAAAGTATTTTTAAAAATGACTAAAAAAACCTTCAATCCATTGATCTTTGTGTGAGAGCGGATGTGAGAGTGTGCCTGACGATATGTTTGTGTGCGTCTTCATTTTGATGTTTAGATTGCGATGAATAAAAACGCCACGAATTTGCACAATCATCATGATATGAAAACAAAACACTCACAAGTGGCTCCAAATTTGAGGTACAGACTGCCGGCATGGAGATTCCTTTCCACTTTGGTCTTTGTGGAAAGCGTGATGAGGGCGAACAAACAAAAGATACCAACACTCGATAAATAGACATTGAACCACTGAAGCAGACCAAAAAAAAAAAGTAATGAATAAATACATAAATTAATAAATACCTAAATAATGAATATATCAACCAATAAATGAATAATAAAGGCCTATAGTCTCCGCCTTACGGAAAAAAAACGATATGAAGTCCACAAAAGTATGTGCGTGTGTCACCAGGGTTGTGAAATCCAGCAGGAAATAATTCTTCAACTTTTCATTCTCCCCTCCCCAACCCTACTTGTTAACCCCTTTTCCTGTATCTGCCATTGTTATTCAAGTCACATCACAGACAACGAGTCATGATTCAAGACCTCTAGAAAAGAGGATCTCTTTTCGTTGACATTTATCCTGCATGTACATCATTGTATTGTAAGTATTCCTTTCGTGATACATGTACTTTCACTTTTGAATTAGCGCTAACGACAGACCAGGAAGTATTTGCACATATTAAGTAATCCTCACGTGCTCAAGTAATCCTCACGTGCTCTGACGTCATATGCGGTACTTTCCCAGGCACGTAAAATTACAGAACAGAACATTTAATAATCATAATATTGATATGATGATGATATAAAATGAGGCTACTCACATTTTTGTTTGCAGTTGTCACCTGTTCGGTGTAAATCTGGGAGACTGATATAACGACTCCTGTCACAGTCAAAAACAGGGCGTATAAACCAGCGCACACCTTTCCAGCGTTCCCCTCTCGTCTAAAAGAAAAGCAATTCGGTTATTAAATTCAGATAATAGAGATTCCTTAAAGATAAAACACATTTTCAATTACTAAAATAAACAAAAACTCTTTATCATCATCACATCGTCTACCAGTACATTAGCTCTCTTGCCACGGCAACAGACTTTTACAAAAATAAATAAATAAATACATACATAAATAAATAAATAAATGCGGAAGAAAATAAGAAATCGATAGTAAGATATTAGTTACCGTGGTCTTTTAAAATCCACATCATCGTCCTCATCAATTGGGATCAAGCGTTGCTGGTCATCCCAAGCATCGTAAAATTCATCGCCATCAGGGTCACCGTCAACCAGACCGACTAAGTTGACCTCTGCTGCGTCCATTTTTAGCTAAAAAGAGAAACAAATCGACAGCATTTCATCTCTCCGTCTGGCGCCAAGGCACTGGTGTATCTCAGAATCTCATACAGAAAATACGTAACACAATACCTAGCTATAACCACGTTGTGCACACCAACCTTTCCTAAATCTAAACTTTTGTTCTCTGCATGAAAGTCAACACGAAACTGCTACGTCCTGGAAAAGTCCCGTGGTATTTACATAGACCAGTTCTTGACGATGGGAAACATTATTACATCATAGATAATTTTGGAAAGTGCTGGAAAACAAGATAATGCATTGTGAGATGCTTACTAGGGAATGTGTGATCTTGACACAAATTCGTACCTTCTATATGCATGTACATGTAATACAGTGCAAGGTACGGCGTCTAGGTGGGCTATGCAGTTTATGATTTATAACACTGGGGAACAGTTTTAATGCTGTACGACACTTGATGCAGGGGCGGATCCAGGATTATTTGAAGGGGGGGGTCCACGGATACGAAGCCTCCCCCTCCTCCCCCCGCTGAAGGGCCCCGAGAAATGTTGGTATTTTAGAGGTCGAACGGTACCATTTGGTACGGTTTAGAACTATAATTCAGCTAGTCAAAAATTCTAATTTCAAGAGGGGACCATCGGTGTGATTTTTTTTCAGAAATCGAAGAGGGGGGGGGGTCAAGACCCCCCTGACCCCCCCCCCCTCTAAATCCGCCTCTGTGATGCATGTTCCTTGCCAGTGGCTCGGCCGTTGTGCAAACTTCTGTTGTGTACCTGCCATGTGACCATGCACACGAGGCGGGCATAGGTACAAAACAAGACCGCAACACATACTTGTTACATAGTTTACATGTACGGCATATGCTTATATTTGACCAAATAAAACGATCCCTTTGAAGAGGGGGGAGCACAGCTTATTTAGCGTCCAGCAAATAAATAAAGTTGTTTTTAAAAAGTTTCGAAATAAAGTCAACAGTTTGGTTGTAATATCAGATCAAACTGCGACACAAAGGACATCTAGTGACGTCTGTGCAGACTGAAGATGTCAGTTTGACATTGAAACGTAGCTGGGAGCATCCCACACCCACATCCAAAATATAATGAAAAATGATATTAAAAATAATTATAATTTAATCCGTGGCAAAAAATTAAACTGATTTTTAAAGAAGGGAACCTTATTAAAGAAAGAAAGCTGTATTGTTAATATAAATTTGTTAGTTTGAAATTGAAAGCGAAAAACGATGAAATAATGTGGTTGTGCACTAGAACTTCCCAAGACTGACGCAGACAAGCCGTAATGATGCGTCAGGGGGGCTTGTGTCAAGTGTCAAGTGACCCTCGCCCCCCCCCCCCCCCCACCCTTTGGCTTGGGATTCGGGGCCCCCTGAAAGACCCCCAAAATTGTTGGTATTTTAGAGAGCGAACGGTGCCATTTTGTACGGTTTAGAGCTACGGTTACAGGTAGTCAAAATTCTTATTCCAAGAGGGGACCATTGGTGTGATTTTTTCAGAAATTGAAAGGGGGTCAGGCTCCCCCTGACCTCCATTCCTAAAGCCGCCACTGCAATTTGCCCACTTTTCTCCTATTGCAGCTATCCAACACAGTGCATGATATTGTCTTCAAAATGATTATTTTCCAGCTTCTCTGTTTTGTAAAGATTTACAAAAATCGATTGAAATTCGTGTCAGCTAATGATTTACCTATTTAAAGTTAATCTATGCGCCATTTCCCCACCAAAACGAATTTTCCTCGAGACGAAGGCAATTGTCTCCTACTCTCACAAAACATTGCTCGACTCGTCCTTGCACTAAGATTCGATGTTCGATGTTTTGTTCAATTTTATTTTATGAATTAAAATTTAGCTCTAAATGATTGTCATTTAGGACGACGTCTGATTTCCTGAACACGGGCACGGTTTCGTTGCCCTTCATAACATAATGCGGTGTTTTGTATCGCGGTCTTGTGTCATATTCAAAAAAGACGTTACGAACTGTCACGGTGACATGAGAAGGCTGCAGAGAAGATAAGAACAACACCAGATATGTTTCAGATAAACTTAAGTCTGCATTGAGAAACATATAAGAAGCTTTGCGTGATAAAATTATGACCATTGGGCATTTTCCATCTCTTGAAGACCACCTTGAACCAAGTAGATTCAGCTGTTATTTACATGTCGATAAAGTCATTCTCGGCAGGAACAAATCATTTTAACTCAATTTTATTCTATATTGCGCCCAAACCATACACTATATGACACACAAAATTCAATGCACAATACCTGAAGTTTTAGATAGACTTCCGCACAAATATTACCTTCAGTGGGAATTACCGTTGGCTCATATATATAAGATTCGCTACGTATAGCCTATATCTGACGTGTATCTGCTGGAAAGCCTAATATGAGCTCCAAAAGCGCTTAAAATGAATTATTTAAGTTATAAAGTTATGCGTTGCTAGCCATCCACAGACATGTACTAGGGCATAAATTAATCACGGTGGTTAATTAACATATAAAATAAAATACAAAGGGTTTTAGTATAATATGCATGCAGCAGGGTACACGGAATCACTTCAATCAGGTTTTATTTTATTTTATTATATTTTTTTTCTCAACTAGAATGTGTACGAAATTTAGCGCGAAAATACTACCATCACCGAATTAGACCTTGTTTCAACTAATAATTATCGGCAACTTGCCGACAAAAACACTATCTAGAACCTAACGTTTGAGATAAAGGGGGCATAAGTACACGATACTCTGAGTGGGAATAAAAAAGGTAAGTCACATCAAAATTCTGCGTACCGATCATTTCATCTGCCAATGGATTTCATGTTAATGGAACAGTCAATAGATACGTTGTTGGACAAAATGACATCATCTTATTCATAAATGAATGGGTGGCTATTTACGAACATTGATAAAATTTATTGATATAAAAGGAAACATTAAAATTTAAAAATAAAATAGATATATAAAAAAATTAATCCATAGTTAATGCATATTACATTTTCAAAAGTTCAAAAGACTTTTACCCCCACCCCCAAACATCAGTGTAATTCGCATGTAGAAGTATTAATAGGCGTCATAGACAAAAAGGCAAATAATGCACCCCACACGCACAAGTAGGGCCTACTAGTAGGCCTACGCCCTTCTCGCCGCTTACCAAATAATTGATTTTTAATTGGCAGTGCACTAGTGACTCAAGACTTTAAAATCATAGCAACTTCAGTCCTTATTACACTGTAGTACATGTGATCAAAAGTCAGACGCGGCACGCGTGCCCTGTAATTGTGACTACAAGTGAGTTTGATTTCTCGGCGTGTAGGCCACGAATTATGCATCGGTTGTCGAAATATTATGGGAATCACCGACAGATCGAAGCCCTGCCTCCTTGACCCTGGCTCGCAAGGCCAAATGCACGAGAATACACCAGCCCCTCTGATAGGACCTACATATTAGGACCTACAAGTATCTCCACCCATTCCTTTTCAAGAACGCTTGATTTATTGGCTTCTTTACCAGCCAACCCATCATTATAGATGCCACGGTCACCAAACCCATATCGTGACGCATATGCATTATGACACGCATGCAGTTGATTTGAGCGTAAGGTTATCGCCCACTTTGAATCCCCCTCACTAAAATTAATCCCGTTTTGAAATATTACCAAAGCTAGATGGTCCCAACCCTTTATTTGACGATTTTTCGTTAGGCCCTCCTTACTGTTAACGTTGTAAAATACCGCAATTTATCGATTTCTACGCGGTAATTGTGCCTACACGTCTGACCCCCACAGTGAAGCGTGCGATATCGGTGCCTTTGATGCTTGGAGAGAACTGTCAATCAATGCCGTATCACTCCAAGCCGGCGTGATGCCAACCGCCCCTACGCATAGTACTATTTTTTCTATTGTAGTTAATTACGATCAATCCAAGTACATTTCTTGTTTGAAATCGATTTTTCGTAAGTCATACGCTGAATATTTTATCTTTGAATATGCATTTATGATATAACCTTGATGAAAATATGATTTTTAGACAAAGGGGTGGAGAAACATTATAGCGTATGAATATGTTAATGGGTCTTTGTTAGGTGGTGGTTAATGTGCAGCTGTGTGTTTCCATCTCATAAATTCACTCCCATATCGGCCGTAATTTTGACCTCGTAAAGGAAGAGGACGAATTTTTCCAATGAGTACGATCACAGTTCGACGTTCCCAACAGGAGTATGTTGTACCTACTAGTAGCACACAGGTGAGCATTGTCATATTTGTAATCATTGCGCATTTTGAATGAAATTTCGGGGGAGGGTGGTTCATTTTCCACGTTAATTCACACCCCTTTTCGTAACCCCGCCTTTTGTAGGATCCCCAGCCGTCCCCCTTAGCTCTACTCGCCGCAACATGCAGCAAGATTGGAGCTCCAGCGAGCAACCCTGGCGGTGCACAAACCGTCAATCAGGCCCAGGGGACAGCGAACCAAGTACAAGGAACCCCGACTGAACTAGTAGCCGGCCACAACATCGTCCAGATCGTCGACTCCGGGGCCAAGCATCAGCAGGCCGGCCAGATCACAGCCTTCCCCACTGGCGGCCTGCAGCTTCTTCAGCAGCAGCCTGGCCAAGTGATCGCCACTCCCACAGGGGGAGGAAATTTCACCTACAGCCTCATGCCCCAGGCCCAGACAGTCATGGTGGACGGTCAAGAGGCCCTGTTCATCCCCACTACTCCCACAACACCGACCATGGTCCCGGCCGGACAGACATACGTCACCGGTTCTGGGCAGATCATACGCCCTCAGTCCACTCCTACAACTCCCTCAAATCATGTACTTCAGAATGCCAATTTTGCTGCAGGTGGGGGTATGACACTCACCAACTTTGGGGGTAATCTTGTTAATGTTGCTGTTCGCCCTAATGTTGCTCAAACAGTTCAGATGCCCATACAGTTACAGCAAGTTGGACTGCAGCCACAGATTATTCAAATACCGGTGTCTACTGCCAATGGCCAGACTGTATTACAGACCATTCAAATCAACACCCCAGTGCAGACTGTTCAGAATGCATACCAATCTCCCATGCAGCTCACCCCAGTCTATCAGTTTGCCTCATCTGCTGCATCAACAACCACACCATCACCATCAACGGTTACAGTAGCAAACACGACATCAGCAGTGGCAATGACATCTGCAGCAACCATGGTTACCCAGGCTACAACCAAAGCAACACAAAAGTCAAAATCAACACCCACAAAAAATGCCACTGTGCACACTACAGCACCAACTGTTGCCCCTATTCAAAATATTGTCGTGCCGACTCATGTTGTACCTCAAACATTGTCAGTAGTCGCAACACAGACAACGCCAACAGTCACGGGATCAACAGCGACAACTGTTGTCAGTTCTTGCTCTCCAGCAACATCCGTAATATCGCTTCAAAATTCTTTTGTCACGACGCCAAGTTTGACCAACAACGCTGTTGCAATGTCTTCAGTGGACTCTCAGAATACTTTTACATTTTTGTCTCCGCAAGGGGCTGTTTTGTCTCCTAATATGTTGCAGAATTTCGCTATACCAAACATCCAGCTGTCTGGCCAGCCTCAACTGGTGCAGCAGGGGCCCTTCATACAGGCCGTCATGCCAAATAATGTCATACGCACCACTAACAACCTACAAGGTATTCAAATACAAGGACTGCAAGGGGTGCAAAATATTCAGACTCTTCAGAATATGCAGACCCTTGGTAACCAACCACAAATTTTAACAGCTGCTGGTCAGCCAGTGGGTGGACTGACCATCATGCAGGGGTCAGGAGCGTCAACACCAACCCCTGCTGGACTGACTGTAGCGCAGGTGTCGCAAATAGCACCACAGGTTCAGCCCATACAGAACATAAACAATGGAGATAGCAGCCAAGGCAGTGAAGGAGGAACTCAGATACTGAGTAAGTTGGATTTGTAATTTTTAAAAGACACATTTTAAAGAATTTTCAGGTGTGCCATCACTTTGATTCTCACTTTTTTACAAGGTAAAATATTAAATATAGGTATTAGTATGGTTTTCAGCTTTTTATCAGATAAAAAGCTGCAAATCATAATAAAACCTACTTGTATGTATAAAATACTTTGGATCCCAAGATGATAAATGCAAAATGGGGAAAAAGTCTTCCATACAATTGCCAGCCATGCTCTTAATTTTAAGCAAAGATTGAAATTTGTCAGAATTTATCTTGATTCAATCAGAAAATGTTTATTTGATCAGAAAAATCTCCTTTTGTCGAATCACAAAGACTCTTAAGCAGGGTATTAATTGAACAAAAAAAAAACTAATAGACTAGCACAATATTTAAAAAGTTTAATTTCATGAAAATAATTCATTGCATTACATTATCTGAAAATGTTTGAAAATTATATTAGAGAATATTTTGTTTTAATAGTAGATATATTTGAATTAGAATTAAGTTGTCAAATGTGGCTGAAATGCATTTTTATGGCTGGAAGAATCATAGTGAGCCATTTTAAAGCTTTGTTTCCTATGTGTATGTTGGTATAGCTGTCATGAAAAAGTAAGAGGTTCTTAGAAATATTGTAAGATTGATAGCACTCAGCGCCTCATACGGCAGCGGGGCTGTATCCTCCCCAGGGAGGCGAGATTGTACACAGCGTGTTTTGACCAGTTGTATACTTGTTATATGTATGTACATATTTGTAAAGTCTAACGAACATATTCATATGGAGTTTAGACTTAAAATAAATATATTATTATTATTATTATTATTATTATTATTATTAGTATATAATCTAAGTTATAAACATACAAGATGATTAAATTTGAATGAATTACCCAGGAAAACTATAAAAAATCCACAAATATGTAATGCAAATTAAAAAAGAAACATAGAGGAAAATACATCACAAACCTTAGGCTGTTGTATGAGGCAAAAACATACAGCAAAGCTTTGATTGACAAGGTCCAACATCAAAATGTTGTTAATGACTAGATCCAGATTGATTGTCTAGAAAAATATAGCTGCTAGTTATTCTTTTATAGTGTCACTCGCTGATACCAAACATGTCATTTCAAAGAGAATAAACATGCAATCCGTAGGCCCTGTAGCAATTATTTCTCTCTCTATATAAACCCACAGACCTTTACATTAATGTCATATCAACAAACATTTTCCAACATGTATACACAGATATTTTAACAAAGGAGACACAAGTCTGTCCAAGTCATTCAACAATACATTTATAAGGCCAGTCATTGTTATTTTGTTTAAAAAAATGAAAATAATATAATCTGATAGGCACTTTTTGAAAGACAGTATGTAAGTATTTTTCATAACATCCACATTTTCATACAAAAGATATGTATATTTCATTTTCACATGCTCTTAATATTTCTAGGCCAAGCCCTAGACCAGGACCCTAATGGACCAATTAAATGGCAGGTGATGAACTCCGCCCCCTCAGATCCCCTCAGCCCCACCCAGTCTGCTATAAACATTCACATGGAGCCCAGTCCAGGAAGGAGGCTCAGAAGAATTGCATGCACTTGTCCCAATTGCAAGGATACGGATAACAAGTGAGTTTAGACAAGACGATATTTAAAGAAAATGTATGTATATATTTATATGTGTATAAAGAGTGTCCAGAAAATACTTTGTGCCTCTAAAAGCAGTGTTTAAGGACACTATAAATTCAAAACCTTTTCTTACATCACTTGTGTTTCAAAAAAAAAAAAAAAAAAAAGAATTAAACATGGTAGCTTTGAATGCTTCAGTGAACAGTACCTCATTGAATCGATATAAGCTACATCTAAAGTCACAAAATACCAGAGAGAGTCGGCTGTTTACAATTCTTTTGTTTGTATTTAGGGGCTAGGGCAGATCACAACTAAACCTGGGCATCCCGCTAAAGTAGGCGGGTCACCCAGGGGCGACCTGTACCCCCTCAGAAATTCTTCCTGGAAGCTTAAGCCAGGGAGCCTAGCTCTCACCAGGCTCGTTATTTTCCTTACTCATTAGTTTAAGGCATAAAGATTTCAGTACATGGTAGATTTTTATCTTTAGGGCGGCAGCCATCTTTAAATGTGACCAGGAGTGGTTGACTATTTCTTGGGTTTAAGAGGCTTATAAATTCCCGTATTAAGTTTAGATATATTTGATTTGCTATTTTGCATAAAAAGGCATTCCTTTGGTTTTTTGATTATGATAAGAATGATAATTATGGTAAGTCTTAGATTATAAATTGATATGTTTGTAAACATGAAATGTAGGTCAGTGTATTGTATACTGCTCAAGAAACTGTGGTGCCCCTTTCGGACATATATGTATTTCTTGGGCTACGTGCACTTTGTATGCTCATTGTTATACTTTCTATAATGATATATATATTGCCTGTTACTTATATTATGTTTTAGATTAACAAAGAGAATAATTAAAGCATATTATATCCTTTGTCTACCCTATATAGTTCCTTCTCCCATATCATGTGTTTGGAAATAATTGCTTACACTTCATACAGATTTTTCCATCTGGTCTTTCAAGGAAAATTTAAAAAATTAGATTCAAACTTTCAAAGGAATGCATTTTAATTACTTATTGTATTTAATATCAGCTAATTTTTGATAATATCATGTGTTCAAAATAGTCAGTTGCAGGCTGTGTGATGGATATATAATAGATACTAAATGACTAATGCATATAGTTTTAACATGGTACTATAACATGTTAAGGCTGTTGAGGATTGTTAACTTGTGTCATTTTCAATATTCAATTAACTCTTAAACTGTTCTTTGATATTCCAGAAATGTAACCGGGGACAACAAGAAAAAGCAGCACATTTGTCACTTTGAAGGTTGTAACAAAGTGTACGGCAAGACCTCTCACCTGAGGGCACACTTGAGGTGATTTTCAGTTGAAATAATGCCATATCTAATTGGGGGGGGGATAATGTATGTAATGTTACAAATAAGGATATGGCTGATTTGGTGGTGTTGGTGGGGGTTGAGGAGGGGGGGGGCAAGGTGTTAGGTGTTCATGGTGTTATGTATTTATTGTAGGTAATGCATTTATACCTTGTTGAGGTAGTGGGTTGTAATGGCTAGTTCTTATCGTCAGTTTTAGTTAGATGAACTACTGAGTTTTTCATTTCCAGGTGGCATTCGGGAGAGAGACCATTTGTGTGTAGCTGGTTGTTCTGTGGCAAGAGATTCACACGGTCAGATGAACTGCAGAGGCATAGGAGGACACACACAGGTAGATATATATATATACGTGTGTTCATGCACATGCTGCCTATGTCAAAATTCTTTAGCCTACTGGCCCTCCATTGAGCCATCAAAATGTAAGAATCTATTGGTTGAAAGCAGAAATGATCAGTAAGTGAACAAACTTACAAAAACTTTGCTGTCATTTGGGGTGGTGCCAGAGGTGTCCTTGTGGACTTCATGTGTGTGTGCTTGTGTGCATGCTGCTTGAGTGCATGTGTGTCAGAGATAGGGCAGACACTTGCACAATTACATCTTTGAAAAATAAAAAAAAATGGAATTTTGCTGTTTGCAGTAAAAAAACAGACACATGAGAAAAGAAAGAAAGAAAAATAAATGAAGAAAAAAAATTTAAATGGACATTATTCATATCATTATATAAACTTTAAATTAATTGGTCTCTGTAGGAGAAAAGAGGTTTGTGTGTCCACAGTGTTCCAAGAGATTCATGCGAAGTGACCATCTGTCCAAGCATATCAAGACACACCAGACAAAGTCAGCGCAGAAACCAGGTGAGGGTATATTAGTCTTTATATTATGTTAAAAAAAATTAATTACTTCACAGTAATGTATGGACTTTCTTGTCCAAAGAATTCATTGCTATTTTCATGGGTGAAAGTTTTCATGATTATGTCTGATTTCAGGGTTTTCAGTCTTTATCTTGTTTTTTTCCATGTGGTCAAAATGCTATGAGAAATTGCAAGCTACTTTTTCACGATTTTCAGTTTCTTGTTTTTACCAAAGATTGTTTCTTGGGAAGACATTTACATTTCCTTATTTATCATGTACAACAAATTATATGTAAACACATTTACGTTGACTTTCATATTGGTTATTTTGGTTTAGCAAAATATCTGAAAATTCTGTTTCATAAGCGAATGTGTAAACAATCCTGTTTGTTCAATTCATGGCCAAAATAAGACATCGGCAAGTTTGACTGTTCAGTCAATCTATCATATGCGATCATTTTCCATACATCGATGACATTTTTTCCCTTTATTCTAGATGTTGAAGATGATAACAGTCTGGACATTGAAGCCTTTGCAGCGGGAGAGACTGAGGCGCCAAATCTTAACGTGTCAGACTCCTCACTACCAGGGTCAGACTAAGTCCCCAAGGTCTTGTTAATGGGTCAGAAATTTGAGAAGACAAGGGAAAAGATGGGTTAACCCGGTGTGTCCAAACTACACTTCTCTTACACTGGTTTCCGGTTCTCAAAAAAAATGAACACGGAAAATGTATTCGGTGCTTTGTCAACACATGCTTTGAAATCTTGCAGAGATCAGTGAGTGCAGTTTGCTGCATTGGTTAAACTCCTTGGCTTGTACCAGGTGCTGGCACTTACACAGTAATTATAATAACAATAATGTTTAAAATATGTATTCTTAACAGTTAAAGAGGAATAATTATATTTTACGTGCATTTTAAAAGAGGCAGGTCTTTCTCTTGAACTATTAAATGCACAGTGTTAAGGTTAGCATTTTGCTGAAAGGGGGTTTGAGGAAAGAGGATGAAAAAGATTTTTCCTTTTTCAATTTATGATAACTTTACAACCATGACATTATTTTTAATAAATTGTTACTCAGTTTAGGGTATGTGAAGCTTTTTATATGGTAATAGCTAGTAAAGAAGGCACCAGCTGTTGTGTACACATTAAAGTTTGTAACAAGATTCTCTCATTTTGTTTACAGCTCTGGTGACGATTTTGGAAATGTGCGTAGTCGAAACTTACATACTTTTTCTAGTCCTTCTTTTTCAACATTACAATAATATTTAAGTTGCTGGACCAGTGTTGTTTTTGTAATATCTTTGTATTCTACTTTACAAGAGAGTTATTATTATTATTATTATTGTTTTTTTTTTTTTGTTTGTTTTTTTTAAAGTTATCTGCATCTAAATGCAGTATGTCATGTGAAATGTAGATAATTTATGATGATTTACTCAACAGTGTATTGTTGAGGATCATTGAAAAACATAAGATAATTCCAGGAAGTGTTTGTAAATATTTTGAAAATTTTAAATGTCTATAGTAAGTAGAGTTGAGAAAGATACTAAATATTGTACATGATAATGGGACATCAAAATGTTACATGAAGAAAATGTTTATAAATTGATATGCTGCAGCAGAGTTTTGAAGTTGGTAACACATTTCTTTCATATTACTTTTATTACTGTAAAACATAAATACTAAAAGTTAAATGTGTTGCAAGTCAATAAAGAAAATGATTGTAGAAATATGGATGGAATTGACAATTCAAAATACCTATCACAGTTTTTTTTTTCTTATGGCCTTCTGGCGATAAGGACATCAGTGTTTTTACTTAAATAATAACTGAGAAGACAAACCAATCTTGTACAAATTGTCTAGAGGGGTTTGTTTAGTTTCTTGTTATATAAGTGTTTTCATCACTCTGCATTGCTGCCTGATTTTCAATCCTGCTTCTGTACTATGGTCAGTTTCATGTAATGTCTCTTCTTGGAAACACAGAAGTCATTTTCAGAGGGAAAGTAAAAATGTTCTAACATTTAGCAACATGGGAGACTGTCGCTGGTGGTATTTTTTTATATGAACAATTTCCTTGATGCACTTATTATTTCCAATGGAAATGTAAAATTTTCATTTGTTACTTTAAGATTATTCCAATAGGACAGCATTCAAACACTGTAAACAGGTGTCAAAATGGGCTGTGGTGGTGGTGCCCTCTTTTGGTCATTCTCTTGCTAGATGTCTCATTCTTTTGGAGCTTCACCTACAAGTATGAATGAAATTTTTAATCAGAACAAATTGCTTCAAAGCGCAACCCACTTGTAGGCAAAATAAAATAGAATGAATAAAATACATTAATAATCTAAATACAAAAATGAAATACTGAGTCCTACAAATAATTTGGGTTCTGAGTTGTAATTTATTATAATAATAACGCTACGCTGATTTTTTGTGTTGTACAGGCTACTCGAATCAGGCAAAGCAATTATCTAGCTAATATTCAGCTGCATACCTTCCTCTTTCTTCTCTTCTGCTGCAGGTGCTGCTGACTCGGCTGAACAGAAAAAAAAAATTTTTTTTAGAATTCAGCATGGTACACATTTAAATATAAAATAAAGCCACTATGGTTTTCAAAGTAATTGATTCCAGGATTCTAAAACATTGATTATTCTTTTCAATAAGAGAGTAAAACAGTTACATAGCACCCAATGTTTATTTTTGAAAGAAAATATCTGCAGTACATACGTACAAAAACATGGGCATTTCTAATATCATCTTTAAAATTTCTTACTTACAAGATACTAAATTAAATGTTATACCCTTAAAAACAAAGAGGGAAATGTGTATCTGCGTTGAAACAATATGCAATGCTATTCATTATTACTATTTAAGTACCTATACAGTAATCATTGCATGCATATAAGTTTTAAGTTTTTCACAGAAAATTATTGATGAGACCTTGAAAACGTGAGAGGGTAATGAATTGATAATTTTGGTATGATTAAATTTGTTTTTTGGATATTCAATCGACACCAAAGAAAAATGCATAAAAAAGATGAGACATGATCCAAAATGCAAAATTTATAGAAAAACAAAATTTCAAAAAGACAGATTACTCTTCAGATTTTGTCTGCTACCTGGCTTGTCTGCAGCCGCTTCATCTGAGGCAGCAACAGCGGGAGTCACAGTCTCTTGCTGAGATTCATCACCTGCATCGGCAGCAGGTGTCTCTTTCTCTGTCTCGCCTATAGTAGTTACACAGCACACAATGACACATATTAGCAAAGCCTCAGCAGCACAGGTGACACACATCACAAACATTTCCAATTTTTGCCAAAAGAAAATTGTAAAACTCGCTAATGTATTTTGTACATTTAAAGGGATAATAACTCTTCGTATGAGATCTATATTTCACAATAAAAACATTGTGAATAACTCATAGAAATATAATATATTCTGTTTTACCACAAGAACAGCAGTTATAGCTATTATTCTGATATCTGAGCTTGTCTTTAGACCACGTGACCTCCATTGATGGCTATACTCTGTTAAAATCTCTTAAGAGATTTTAACAAAAAACCAAACTTTTTAGAAAAAAACCAGGGACTAACTTTGAATATAAAAATGGATTCATTAACCATTGGGAAGTATGGGAAAATTGTTGTTTACTCCAGGAAAATTCATTTTTTGGCAGAAACGAAGAGTTATTATCCCTTTAATTAGGATACAGTGTTTTATATTTCTACTTTTCACTCAAAGTTACAAGAATGCACATAATGCAGATATATGTATGCAGAATTGTTTTCTGACAAACCATATTTTTAAATTCATTTCATTTGTGGGATTTTTTTTTTTCAGTTTCACTTGTGCTGCTCTCGTGTATACAATTGAATGTGAGAATTTCCAAGAAATTATTAACTTTTTACCAAATATCAATCAAAATTTCTGATTGCTATAATTCTTTTATATTTGGAAATTCAAACACCAATTTGTTAAAAAATGCTGCCAGCAAAAACAAATGTAAAATTAACACAAGTTCAAAATATCAGCAATTAACACAAATCTAAGCAGAGCCACATTGAACATACAAATACACAAACATACAACAAAGAATCCAATACTGAGAAAATTAAATGTTCTCAAAGCTATGACAAAACAAACAACTTATTATGTTGGAAAGTTTCATCTGATTCAGCTATGTAGTTTCAGTAGAGATTCTTTTGTCAAAAGCTTGAGAAATAAACTGGCACCTCACTAGCCAATATTCCATCTGCTTACACGTACAGTCAAACAACATCACAGAAAAGAGTTGTGATTTATGTGACCCCACCCTCTCTCCTTTGTCATCATTTTGACAGATGCAGCCTAACTGTTAGCAGACAATATTTGATGGAAAAGGATTGGTTTACCATTCAAGTTATTACCAAGAGAACAACTACATTTTTAATCATCAAAAAACATGTTATAACAATAATTGATAGATTTGCCAAATTAAACACGGACAAAAATGAGCTGAAATATGCTACACATCTAAGCATGCAAGTTAGGCCAGCAAAAAAAAAAAATGCAAAAATCCGGAACAGATGGGAAGCATTTTACTTCCCCTGAGCAATTGTCTCACCTGCTGGTGTTTCAGTTGCCTCTGTGGAAGGTGTTTCTGTTTCTTCTGCAGGTGCCTGCTCCTCTGAAGCAGGTGCCTGCTCCTCTGAAGCAGGTGCCTGCTCCTCTGCTGCGGGTGCCTGCTCCTCTGAAGCAGGTGCCTGCTCTTCTGCTGCAGGTGCCTGTTCCTCAGTTGCTGGTGCCTGCTCCTCTGCAGCAGGTGCCTGTTCCTCGCCTTCTGCAGGTGCCTGCTCCTCTGCTGCAGGTGCCTGTTCCTCGCCTTCTGCCGGTGCCTGCTCCTCACCTTCTGCAGGCTTTTGTTCAGAGTCCTCAGCAGGGGCTTGTTCCCCGCCTTCTGCAGGTTGATCACCCTCTGCTGGTGCCTGTTCTTCACCTCCCTCTGCTGGTGCTTGCTCTCCTGTTGGAAAAATATTAGAGGTGATCTTTAATGTACACCACAACTACTCCTACTATTGCTAAAACAACAACTACTACTACATGATGGTATGTGATGACAATATTACAAATGTTTTTAAACAGCAATATTGGAGCTGTCTGTGAAGTTTGAAACATTTGAATAAGGGAATTTTTTTATAAAAGGAGGCACCTGGTTTCAATACATGATACAATGTTATGTGAATAAGCAGACTATTCTGTATCTCACAGTAGTGTCTATATCTAGTTACACCATGTGTTAACAGCTTTCGCATCTCAGGCAAAATGCAAATAAATTAATCAACACCCACAGAAAATGATAAAGTAATTTAATGTCATATTAATTATTTAAGTTTAGTATAACAATAAGAAGCATATGTGTACAAATATCACTTTGTAATTACTACATAATAAAAGGTATTCAGAATAGGATTCCAATTAAGAGTAAGAGTAGGAACATATACAAATATTACTTTGAAATAGTTTTTAAAAGGTGTTCAGGAAGCATCTGTTGCTAGCAGCGTTCAGACATATATGTGTCTATATATTGCTAAATGAAATTTCATAACTGATAGAAAGGAATGGTGGCATTTCACTGTGCAGAATATAAAAATGGATGATAAGAAATAAAGACAAGATAATATGCCATACAATTTGGGACAAAACTAGAGAGTTTTTAAATTGCAATTTGGTTGATTTCTATTCAATAAGACAGAACTGATGCTGAGAAGTTCAACAAACTACCAAGCTACATTGAAAGTCTGATAAAAGAAATCAAGGGACTCAAAGTCGCTGTAGCTCATTATTAGATTTTTTTTAACTGCCTGCCAATCTAAAGCCAGTGGAAGAAAAAAGGGAAAACTCCTTATATGGCTAAATGTGTAACCCATAGAAAACATATTTAAAAAGAAGACAGGTCTGAAACAATTAGCCAGTCAAAAATCTGTGACAGATTCTGAAGGATTCTAATAGTATATTATGGGATTTTGCAGTGGAGGGTTTAAGCATTTTTCTACTTCACTGCAGTACTAGCCTTCGGTCTCTTTTTCTTCTTCCTCATTTGAAGAGCGAGGCTTTTCCTCTGGCTGCTCAGTGTTAGACTGCTCTGTGTTGCTGTCTGAATATGGCCAAACATATATTTTTATTTCCCTCAGAATCTACTTAACATTATGCTTATGAATGGCTCCATTCACACAGTAACTTACTGCTTCCATAGGTATATAACTCATCAGATTTAAATTATAGATTTATGGATTGCAACACTATCATTTTGATTTCATGTATCATGTTCTAAATTAGATAATAAGGCAGTTATTTCTTGAATAATCTTCCTCAAATATGGCAGTCATAAAGGCTGGAATAAACTTGATGTGGCACACTTCCAGGATAAAAACAAAGATGTCATATAAAGTCATATATATGTAATATTTGGGGAAAAATAACCTTCACCACTAAAAATGTTAAATGGAGAAAAACATGCATGCATTGGTAATAATGGATCCAAAGGGAAAACTAAATGAAGCTCCTGAAAGAAAAAACATCTTTAATAGCAGCAAACTTGAACAAGGATCTGCCATATACATGCAAGATAAGGTTGTCAAAGGTTAGTAAATTAATGCTAAGAACCTGGGATTAAAAATCAATACTAATAAGTACCTGGGATTTAGATGAATGCTAAGTACTGGGGATTAGGGAGGACAGTGCACTTGTGGGTTTTTAATAGCTGTTCAAAAATTCATATTGACACTGATAACAAAGAGGAGTTCCCAACAAATTCAAGGTGCAGTTTGTAACTATCTCCTGGACAAAATTCTTTCAGTGATGGCAAAAAGTGAAAAATAAAATGAAATTTCAAAATTCATTTCATTTGATAAATATTTTTTAACATCAGAGCTTCAACACATTTCATTCATAATATTTTATATAATTTTGGGATCCACGTTACATTAAGAGAGACATATTCATATCCAAGTTATATTAATATTTTTTAGTTTTGCCCTCAGTGAAGGAAATTTTAAGTACATTTCACATATGAAAAAGGATGGAGGGTGGACGAGGGAAAGGTGTGGGGGGGGGGGGGGGGGGGGGGTCACAATGTTAGTACTAGCCTTCAGTGCCAGCCTCAGCACCGACATTCTCTCTCAGCTCAGCATCATGTTCACTTTGAGTAGTAGATGGGGAAACAATGGTCTGAGAGTCAGCCCTTTTATCAGGAAAATTCCCTTCATTCCCTGGTTCATTGCTGTTAGTATTATCCCCACTGTTTTTATTATCATCTTTGGTCTCAGGATTTGGGGAATCAACAGGAGTACCTTTAGACTGATTTTCCTTTTCACCGCTAGATTCCTCTATCTCGTTATCAATTTTATCTTCTTTTTGAGCACTTTCACCCCCCTCAGATATTGATACCCTGCCACTAACTTCTTTTTCATTTTGGACAGAAGTAGTTTCAGCTTCACTTCCCCCAGACCCATCTGCCTCTTTGCTAGCTTTATCTCCTCTGTCTGTAGAATCAGATCCACTCACCTCAGATTTACCTATTTCCTCACTAACCTCATCTCTTTTCAGTATAGTTTCAGATTTGTACCCATCAGACCCATTCCCTTCCCCTTCATTGTTACTCTCTATCTTTACTGAACCAGTTTCACTTTCATTTTCCTTAAGCTTAGCAGTTTCTTCAACAGTTTTGCTCTCTTTCTGCTCAGAACCTGTAACCTCCTCGCTATCATGACCATCTTTAACAGCTAAGCTGGTAGTTGTATCATTTTCTCCAGACCCACTTGTTTTATCAAATTCTTTCTGTTCAGCAGCACTTTCAATTTCCTCAGATTGATTATCATTCTCAGTTTTATCAACCTCCACTTTGCCTGAACCAGTTTCAGTTTCCTTAACTATGGGCTCATCATTATCAAGGTTAGTTTGAGATTCTATCTGGTCAGATGTTGCTTCATTTTCACTTTTCCCAGGCCCAGTACTATCTTTGCTATTTTCAGCTTCTTTTAAACCAGTATCTGCATCAGTTTTGTTTTCCTCAGATTCATTCTTAACAGACTCATTTTCATCAGCTTCAAAATCATTATCATACTCTTGCTCCCCATTTTCTGATGTAGTTGCAGGTCCCCCCACCTTGTGATCAATTTCAGTTTCACTTTCATTTTCAGCCACCTTATCAGGGGATTTGACCTCAGACCTTTGACTGACCCCAATACTACTCTCTTCTGTAGCAGCTGGAACAAGATGCTCTTCAGTAGTAGGGGGCACAGGACTATCTTCATCTAGAAGTCAACAGCACAATTAGTAAAAACAAATTATAAATACAACTAAATTAATATCTTCTAACAAAATCCATACAAGAGAACTCAAGTTTTCATAGCAAAAATTAAGACAACATTCTAGTTAGGCATCTTAATGAAATATTACCAGAAAAATACTAACAGGCTAAAACTACTGCAAATCATAATTTTCTACTGTAATGAGTTACCATGCTAATGTTACCATAGACTGGATATATTATATCAATAATAAAATAAGTATGACAATACAAGCAATGATCAAATGAGCAACAACACAAATGCTTCCAAAAGAAGACACATAAAGCACATTTCTCTAAATGAAAAATCAAGAACACATATCTAGGGACTACTGTTTCAACATGTACTACACATTTATTGACAGTGTCAAGGCAATCCCAAGAAAATTAGTATATAGTATTTTACTCAGTTGGATTACTGTGTGTGTGTGTGTGTGTGTGTGTGTGTGTGTCTTTTTGATGAGTAGCCGTATTAAAAAACACCACATCACTGAGAAAATTTGCCTGACATAGCCATCTGAGAGGTGCTATTATAAATATATATGGAGCAAATACAGTATATTAGCACAAGACAACCATACAGTCACTTGCATGCATAGGATGTTATTGCTGTATTGTTAATATCAGATGAGGCATTTGTGAAAATACTCAGTCTGGTAATCATATTAACACATTCATATTACTGCACTGAGACTTGATCACATACTGCAACACCAGTATTTCATAGTAAACAGGCCGTTACTAAAGCTTCACTTGCTGTGCATATGATGATACATTATATTCACTGTAAACAAAAACATGCAATTCTTGATCACTGTTATAAGCATTGAACAAGTAGTATAAGTTACAGTCAACATCAATGATAATTCAGTTAAATTTTAGAACTAATTATTCCATTGGCACCCTGGGTGTCAGAGACAAGAAATAATTTAGACCATGCAAGCATACTGCTGTTTTCACCCATTATCACCTGACACTCAGGGTTCTTGACTGGGAAACATTGTATAGTGAGGAAGCAATGATGTGCTGGTGTATAGTACACATTGACTTGGGGAAGGATGCACAGAACATGTATATATGTACTAGCCTGTATCAAACACATCACTGTCATACTCTGCCTCGGTGTCTGGTCCTGCTGTTAAAATGACGTTATTTTAATATTGACTGTCTCAGTGTTTTTTCTTGATCATCAAAAATTGATGGATTGTTAGTTTTTTTTAATAACCTAGACATTGTTGATGATTTTCTTGTACTTTGCATAGTTGGTCATCACTTTATTAACTACCAAATTGTTATATACCCTTTATAATAAAGTATACAATTAAATGCTAAAATCTCCCTCATCTCATCTCATCAAAAGGAAAGGGATCAAAATAATATCACTGTCACATCTCCCTGGAAGCCAGAAATCTGAAATCAATCTCAGCATAGGGGATCATTTTTGTTGAAAACCTGTGGTCTAAAGAGAAGTAAAGACATTTCATATCCCAATCAGATTGTATTCCGAGTTCCAAAGTTCGACATGAAAAAAATACCATTGTGCTCTCCATACTGGAAACATAAACAGCAATCTTGAGAAAAATGTGAACTCTTAGCAGAGCAGAGATTAACTCTTTGTTGGGATATTTGGCTTTGGGCAGATACACTGCATTCAGAGGAGAGATATTGACTAATGGACAGACAATTCATATCCTAGATATTTGAGTTGACCACATGACATTATTCTACTCTCAACCTACCTTCCCCAGATTCCTCTGCAGGTTTGGCTTCTCCCTCTTCTGCAGCTGGGGCCCCTTCTTCTGCTGCTAAAATTCAGACAAGCTTACATTACCATAAGTGGCCAACATACAACTAATTTGAGCCTTTAAAGGCACCCAAGATCACTTTTTATCACCCATTTAAAAATCATTATTATCCAGAAACTGTTCACTTTAAATTACTGTCCTGGGGGTTAATCTATTTACTAAGTTCCTAAACATTTATATTGTTACTTAAGCTACCAAAAAGAAAAATGAGGAAAATTCTTGGAAAATGTAAAAAAAAAAAAAAAAAAAAAAAAAAACAGATCCATGTGGTAAAGAAGGAAATAATATCATTAATTTATTTCTTTTGGCATATTTTATCATAGTACTCTTGTCCTGTTGCCTTTTCATGTTAAAGTTAAATCAAATGAATAAAACACTTTGTGAAATCTTCATCCTTGGAAGCCTCACCTTTCTCTTGTCCTGTTGCCTCTTCTTCACCTTCTAATGGTATTTCCTCACCTAGCAAAACAAAAATTTCACAAAGTCAAAATAAAGCCCTATTCATTTTGGTGATATGATTGCTTTTCAAACTGGGGAACATGTATTTAACATGTAATATCATTCTGGGATAATTGTAGATATGTTTGAGTAAAATGAAATTGTAAGAGTGTTCAAATGTTAAAAATGTGGCTGAAGTATACATAAATCATCATGATGTCTAGTCATTAACTTTGAGTTAAAATTTTAACAGTTTGGAATAATATCAATTTTTTCCAGGATTATTACAAATAAAATTTAAATCATAACATAATTACTTAAATATTATTTGGAATCATTTAAACTAAAAATACAACCATCAAGTATAACTGTTAAATAATATATTCAAGACCTCAGGGACATATTTTAAAAAGTTGATATTGATATTATCAATGCACTTTGGTGTGAGAAAAGCTACCCTTAGCTATTAATTTAGCTGAAAGAATATGGCTCTCCTGATTATGTACTAGTAGAGCAAGTAACTGTCAAACATTTTGAATACCCATGCTATATAGCTAACAGAGCACAAGTTTGAATATCATAATAGGCATAGCTTCGCATCTGCAACTCAATATATATGTTCCATATGTAAATGGACATTTTTCTAAACCTAAGATACATAACCTTACAGAGGTTTTTCGCTTTTCCAAAGCATGCGTCACCTTAGTGTGTGCTTCACTCACATGTCTGTTACTATAAAGCACTAATTTCTTTTGGACAGAATAGCCTGAGCTTTAAGTCTGACCTGTTCCAACTATTTCATTTTCAAACCATCAGGTTTATCATGTCTCTCATAAGGGTGCACTGAGTCATCTGGATTTTGTGGTTTTTCATAAAAGCACCAGTGGCAAAATTCAATTTAATATTCTATGTAACATTTATGATACAGGTGTGGTGAGCTTCAATCAAATGCTGCCGGAATTAAGAAGCAACAAGCGGGCATGTATCAAAAATGTTGAAAATGAAGAAGCTGGCCCAGGTCTTTTCAGCTCTGAAGCTGTGGCGAACACAGAGAAGATACATGTTGATTCCTTGACAACTCTGCAATTTCAGACACATTAAAAAAAATCTTTCTACTTCAACAATCTTTTACCTTGTAATCAGTTTGATATTTTTTTTTTTTTTTTTTTTTTACATCTGGTCTTTTCATAAACCATTTTTTTTGTCTGTGCATTCTTCTCTGTCCTTTGCTTGCTTATGCTACTTACACTTGGAACTTTTGAACCGACTGTCAAACAGTGATAAGCCATGACATGTTCAAAATAAGCCAGGTAAGCTTGTCTCACAACAAAGCACTAACTCTCTCTACTACACACATAGAAAACATCCCAAACACTTTGCAACAAAATGCAGCAGCAGCAATGTATTTAATTTGCACAAATAGCTGCCTCACTGTATCAACAAAATAATAAATAACAGAGAACAGAAAGCAGATATGAAGGTGGCACTAAATAATGATATAATTTCATGGTGCGTGCAAAAAGCAAACTTAGAGAAGCAAGCATGTTATCATTTATTGTCCCTGATCACAGTCTAGTATCATGAGGAAAACTGGCCTTTTTGTATCATTTTTTTTTTTTTTTTGTTTATCAGTTTTGAGATTGCTTAACATATCATGAAATTGACATTGGGCAATTAATTGCACAGCATTTTGTCCCAAGAGTTTAACAATCATATAATATTTGGAATTAACAGAAATTGCCCAAATCTTAAACTTCCAGCTCAACTTCACCAGAGTGCTGAATATCAAGCTGACATTTTGTAATTGACATACAGACCGTCAATTTTTCTTCAGATGATACTAGTCAGTGATGGTCTTATAATTAAAGCTATTGGGTGACAGGTTAGTAGTAAAGCAGCAAAGCATAGTAAACATAGATAGAAAATCCCCAAATTCCCCACATGGCATCAGAACAAACAGCATGCTCACTAATCACGTGAAAAGTTGTTGCCCTTGAGTTGACTGAAAGTTTTAACTGTTGCAATGTACTCTATTATACCACAGTTTTTTTTACTCATTGATTAAAAAAAATTGACAGTTTACACTTTGTTATACATAGGAAGTATAGAACACACTATGAAGTACTGTGTTGTGCCCACTGAGGCACTTTAAGAAGCCAACATGAAGAAAGCAGTATATACCTACATAATGCAGGATCATTTCTGTTCAGGATCTGGGAAAACAAGCTGCTCTAAGGGTATTGAATATTATCAAATACATGAACATAGCAGACTCTGCAGGGTAAACACATATATGGCCTACAAAATGCAGGATCAGTCTTTGCTGGGAAAACAACCTGTCTGGGTTTTTAGAGGGCTCTACACTGAAGCACTTGCTACAGTTATTTATAAGCGTATGGACTGATAATACAGCAACTGTTATCAAATGCAATACACTATAAGAAAATATACTGAATATGCATATCAAGTTTTTCATGAAGGAGGGGTGGGGGGGGGGACTCAACACGAACTTTTGTCAGCAACTAGTTGAAATGATGCAATAATTCTTATGGTGGAGCATTCTTGAAGCACAGTGTGTTAGCAGCACATGCATTTATTGAAGCTTCATGGATATTAATTAGCAGAAAGTATATAAACTCCCCTCCCCCCATATACAGTTATCAAACACAAAAATACAAAAGCCAAGGCACTTTCATTATCATCAGCTTATGTGAATGCTAAAGCAATAATCTCCAGACTGACATTTATAGTGCTTCCGATACTAGACTAATAAGTACCTTTCAAAGCACATTTTTGTTTAAAATGTCATGGAATATATTGTGGCTGTTACAGTAAAATAGCAGTGGGGTATACAGACATACTGTGATAACTTCATGTTAATCTTGCAAGATTATTTGCTATAACAATGATTACTTAGTATCTATATTTGGATGGACCAGTCACCGTTTGATTAATATTTTATAAGCTATGAGTGTTTTGGATTTTAGAAAGTACTCATTTTCCCATCATGTTTTGTAAAATCTACAGAAGTAAAGGGTCATCATGCAGAATTGTTTTAAATATAATAGTCACTAAAATAAAACATTTATCAGCATTTATTTGTATATTACACTATTATATCTGAATAGTTTTTCCCAGAGACTTTATGACCCTCCCTTATTTCCACCACATTTACTTTTTATTACTTTCTGACAACTGTATGTAATTGCAAAGAACAAAATATAATAAATTTTTGGGATGCAAACTTTTCTTGATGCCAGGGGCAGTGGCTGTATTCCATTCTACTTTCCGGCAAATACAGCTCAACTTCATACTTCTAACTGATTTTTCTTCTTTCGTGTGCACTTATTACAATAATGCTTATCAGGTTCAAAATTGCAGGTATTATGTACAGCTTTAAATAAAAAAAAAACAAATTCAAACAAATGAACCATCAAGGCAGTATTGTTATAAATTCTGTGCTCCAAACATGACTGAAAAATCAGTTATAATGTACAAATTCAGGGATAAAATAAGGCAAAAGCAAGCACAACCTTTAAGGGTACCATCTTTTTCAAACACAAGGTCACCGAATATTGCTGTAATGGCCTCCTTTGCATGTTCCACATCAGAACTTCCATGGACAGCATTGGCCTTCACATCACTACCAAACTGGGCACGGATGCTGGAAATATATAATTATATTATTTCTACATTACCTCCCTTTCTCTTCTTTAAGATGTACATAACCATATAAGTTAGCCCTTGCATAGCAAGATAATAATAATAGTAAATAATAATTTTACTACATCTTGGGTATTTCAGCAATTTTCCCTTTTTAAGAGTGTGTGTGTGTGTGTGTGCTATACACTGGCATTTATATTACTATAATTGCAAAAACTGTATTAAAATTTATATTATACAAAGTAATCTTACGAGTCTGGTGCCTCCTCCTTGGCTTTAGCGGGGTCTGTTGGTCCAATGATACCCCTCCATCCTTCTACAGCATTCTCTTTGGACAGCACCATGAACAGTGTTGGACCACTGAAATCACACATCAATACATACATATATGTATATCATTTATTATTACAAAACTCATCAAATACAAAAATCACTGTCTAATGTTATGTTTAATGTCTGACATCACATCATATTATATGTGCATTATAGCCTGCCATCCCTCTCTCTCCCTCTCTCTCTCTCTCTCTGTGCATTCTCTCTCTATCTCTCTCTCTCTCTCTCTCCTACCTAGTCATATGTTCTACTAAATCTCCATAGTACTCCTTTCCCTCGTGCTCTTTATACAACTGCTGCACTATATCAGGAGTGAGTTCTGTTTCTTTCCTGGCTGCTATGTGGAAGCCAGCCTCCTTGATCAATTCCATTATTTCATCTAAAAAAAAAATAATCATAAAATAAATCATAAAAACCTGTTCATGCACATAAACTGTTTGGTTCTTCATGCAGATTACCAGTTACCTAATCTGCTGAGTCTAAATCATATATTAAGGTAATATTTAAATAAAGTCTGAAGCTGACAGAATTTTAACTCACAAGATATATAATTTTTTCTTACATGTTTGGGTTAAAAATCTTGACTTTTGCAAAAGAAATTTCATAAAGAAACTACTGAGTAGAAAATGTTTTGACTGCAAACCACATTTTATCCCTTTCCATTCACTTGAGTCTGTGAATAGTGCTTTATGTTACCTTTAGTCTTGTAAGCATCTGGCTTGACAACAGCCAATGTCTGCTGCATGGGGAAGAAGTATTCTAGTTCTTGTTGAGCTGTTGTTGGAGAATCTGAACCGTGTACAGGGTTTATCTCAACACCTTCCACTGCAAACTGAGCTCTCAAGCTGAAATATATTGAACAATGAGAACATGAAGTATTGTGGGTTTCTGAAAGTGACAATAAATAATAAAACTAAATCAAATGCTAAAACATCTTCATTGAGCCTGTAATTTTTAGTGTAGTAAATAAGAGAAATAATCACTATCACTTCCTGTACCCCTATCAATCACTAATTGTTTTTAAGCACCATCCTTCGCCCACTCCCTACCTTTCTGGGGCCTCCTCCTTGGCCTTGTCCACTTCTTTAGGTCCCAGCATACCTCTCCACGCGTCCACTGCATCATCTCGGGCCAAGGACAGGGCCAACAGAGGACCACTAATAATAATAAAAATATATTCAGCTAATGTGTCATCAGAAAATATACATTAGCTTTGTTTTACACAAGCTTTAAAATGTGCAAATAAGATTTAAGTACACTTGAATAAACTACATGTAAGACAAATTATATTGAAAGGCACTTGGGTAGCTTAAAATGAAAAACTGCAATTGGGAACAGAATGTTAATCTATACAAGCCTTGCTTTTAATGAAAAATGGTTATGAAAGGTACCAAACCCTAAATCCTGGTAAACTTTTTAAAGACTGGTTATTAAAATTAATGTTTAGTTTGACTAAAACTTTTATACACTTGGTCAGGCAGGGAAAGTAAAAATGTTCACATCAAAATGAGATCTGAATGTCTACCCCAAATGTGCAATGGAAGTATGTATGGGCTTACCAAGACATTCTATTTGTGAGCTCTTCAAAGTAAGGCTGATCTTTGTGTTCTTTGTAAAACTCTTCTGCTTGCTCCTTTGTGAGTTGTACTTCTTTTTGCATTGCAATTGTGAAGCCAGCTTCTTGGATCTTTTCAAGGATGGCATCTGTAGTAGGAAATTGCCCCACAGTTAATGCATAATATTAAGCTATATCAAAAGGTTTCAAACAAAATTTATGTATTGTAGCGAAGCTGTATAATTATAACTAAAGCACCTTAAAATCTGGTCTGCCTACCAGTGTAGTAAATGATTTCATCTGCAGAACTTTATTAACTAGCTTGTCTTGCTGTATACTGCCACCTACCTTTGTGTTCTGTGAGAGCATCTGGCCTGATGAGTGCCAGTGTTCTCTGTACTTGGGGTTTAGCTGCAGATTTGGCAGCTGGTGATCCAGGCATAACAAAGTTAGGGAAGAAAAAGGCAAGTTCTCTGAAAAAAAAAAAAAAACGAATAAAATAATTAACATGGTTTTTCAATCTACAATTAAAAACAAATTTAGGGGAATGGCCATGCACTTGTCTCATTTTTAGTGTAAATTTCATTTTTAATATTTTTGTTAGAAAAGAACCAATGATAAATAAAACTTACAACGTGGAGAAAAAAATGTCATACCTTGTAGCTGTATCCTGTGAGTCACTACCATGGAGGGCATTGAAGTATTTTTCAGAACCAAACTTGGCACGTAAACTGGAAAAATATCACAACATATAAATATCAATATCATATTTTGTAATATCAAAATATGAGATAACTTTTCTTGTATCCCATTCTGCAATTCCAACAATAATTCATCAATTGTGAGTAAAATTAAGTCTGATCTTGTAAAATATTGCTGTTTTCCTACACTGACTTTGTTAAGTAAGGGAAACTACACTTTGAAGCAAAAGTCAACAACAGCCTTTTCATCCTTCATACTTCGTCATTTCCACTGTCTTCCTAATGTCTCACCTGTCAGGAGCTTGCTCCTTGGCCTCTTCCACACTTGTAGGACCAAGGAGATCCCTCCATTCCTGGATAATACCCTCTCCAGAACCTTTGGTCAGTACCAACACATGGCTTGGACCACTGGACATAAAACTGACCAGATCTTCAAAGTGTTCCTGTTGAGAAACAAAAGCATGAGTTTACAGAGCCTGAAAATGTATTTAACTTAGTGCAGCTTGCAAATGTCTATGTTACTGCAGTCTTGTTTTCCTGTACTGAGAAAGATATCTTAATACAAAAAAATTGGACAAATATAAAATTAAACCTAGCAAATATGAAAAGTCAGTTTTCAACATATTAAGACATTTTGAAAATTTTTTGAATATATATTTTTGCTGCATTCCTTAATTTTTTCAATCATTGTAACGTTTATAATCTAAAGAACAATATCCCTTTATTTGCAAATCCTTTCCTTCTACATTATTTACAAACATGTGGTTTCTATGCAAACAGAGCAGTTTTCACAAACATCTTATCATCTATCTTGTATTTTATCATTAAACACAAAAAGAACAACACTACACACTTTCATTTTTATCTTGTACTTCAAAACTGTCTAATATTCAGTCCTGAGTATATCACAAGATATCATTCTTGATTTAAATAAATCTACAGTACAGCTTCTACTCCTGGACGAATACTAACATACAAATAATAAGACTATCTGCATGGTTACAAATTACAATGAACTAACTCTACCTATGAATTACAAGGTTTCTAAACAGTAATGGGGCATCATGGTATCTAATACCATATTGACATTTAGTCATCTGCCCAAAATCATTCTATGACACCAGATTCACAAAGTCTCCACATCTTCATTAATTTATCAACATCTCCTTTCTTAAACATTTGACTTCTTTATTTTAAAAATTTTCCAATTCAAGACATCCACAAAAATGTACTTTCTGGCAAAAAGCCATCTAACTTTTATATCAACATATCAGTATTGTTAACAAATTGTTCTCCTTATAAGAAAGGGTGTGGTTTAATTGATTCAAATTGTTCAAGAGTAATTACCATAATTCTGTCAGTAAAGAGGTGAGCATTCACATCGAGAAGAGCCGAGGTCTAGCAAGGCCGAGACTTAAATATGGCGGCCATGTAATACTTTAATGGTCTCTCAATGACATTCATTGAGAGACTATTTAAGGATTATGTGGTTTCCTTTCATGTAGGTCTGCCATATTTAGGTCTCGGCCTTGCTAGACCTCGGCTCTTCTCGATGTGAATGCTCTCAAAGACAAATGCTCTATGTAAATCTAAAGCAATTGTTGCAGCAATCAGTGATTTAGGAACAAAAACTTTGTGAAACTAGGTCCAGTACAAAAACTAATTATTAATTTCAACAAGAAGGTTATGTTTTAACATCTCTACTTCTATGGTTTTAATTACCGTTTGTGGGTTTGTCTGTGCACAGCATTATGAAAAGTCGTGGACAGATTTTATGAAATTTTCAGGATAGGTCAAATATGGGCCAAGATAGAAATTATTAGATTTTGGTGATAACTCAATGAGTCATTAATTAATTGATAAACTTTTAATTTACTGGATACTTCACAAATGGGCCAAGGAGGAAATGATTAAATTCTGGTTATGATTAATCAATTATAAAAAAGAATTGGCACCATCACATCAACACACGTGCATGCAGTCAATCCACTCTACCAGGTCAATCCACTTCATTGAAAAATGCCAGCCATATTTTATATTTTGTCTGAAATTTTAAATAATTTGGTAGGCAGTCACTGAGTGGATACCACAAACTTTATGTAGTTTTTGTCCCTAAAATCATGCCATATTTAAGGTATAACTCTTTTGATGATTTTTAATATGGCTGGCACCTTATGCTGAAGGGGGGAATACATACAATTACCTTAAACTGTAAAAAGCAAATAAAAAAACAAAACATGCAGGTCAGTAACTGTACAAGTTTAATTTCAATTAATTCCACTTAAGCAAGACTGGTTATGAAACAGTAACTGTTACTGCAATAAATTTGTTACTAACAAGCAGTCCAGTGCAAAGAATTAAACAACAGTTAAAACAAATAAAAATCTTGTGCAACAGTAATTTTATGCAGTATTTCTATTCATGCAATACTCAACACTAGGTTCAATATTAATACCACTCGCATTTGCTGTTTATTAACTTGGAAAGGGCAAACATTGACAACAACAGATATCCAAAATCAGAACATACAATGCCAACTTTTGATATAATACCTCCATGAGTTAAGAATAATTATATACTTAAAATCTAAAAAAAAAAAAAAAAAAAAAAAAAAAAAAAACAGTCCTTAGAGACTACAGAATGTGAGTGGTGCATGTCATGTCAAATGTGTAAAAGTATCATTATCCAATGTATAGGACACATACCTGGTCTTGCTGTGCACTGTAAAACTCTCTAGCCTCCTCGTCTGTCAGCTGCCTCTCCTCTTGTGCTAGAACCTCTATGCCTGCTTCTTTCATCTATAATAATAGTATACCAGACATCAAGTATGGTACATACACACAGACATTTTAATTTTAGTTGAAGGTTTCTTTAAATTCCCTCATTTAAAAATTTAAAAATGAGGGAATTTAAAGAAACCTTCAACTATGTCTAGGCAATATGGATAAAGAGATGAAAATTCTTCTCAAAACTTTCAACAATTTTCATGTTTTAGTAACAGTGTCTTTATATATAATGATAATGGAAAGTGGTCAAAACAATATTTAATGACAAGCCCCATCTCCAGTAAGTTGTCCAGTTTTGTTCACCTGTTCTAGGATCTCTTCCACCTTGCCTGCCTTCACAGCATCTGGTTTGATGATGGCCACTGTCACCTCCTTCTTTGGAGCTGAAATGATTTTTAAAAAAAACATGAACTAATAAAATATTTCTTTTTTGTTGGAATTGTAGCACACAATTAGGTCCATCACAATAAATGCATGTATGTGCTTTATAATTATACAGGCATGCTTAAGACTTTATATTATATTCATTTGAAAAGGAGTTCTGGAAATTAATTAAAAGTTAAAATAATATTATATAACTGCTTTAATGTGCATATGTAAATTTTACTTCGTTTTCCTTGTAACAGTTCACTTAAAAAGTCAGTTACATGTGCATCATGGAAATTTCAGGGTGCAAATCTATGCTAGGTGGAGGTGTGTCTGCTTTTGTGTAAGTGTGCACATGAGGTTTATCATATTCACAACGAAGTTTAGGTAAAAATGACATGCTGGCCACAGTTTAACTAATAAACAATTATAATGATTTTGTAATTTTATACAATATACATTCATGGTTCAGAAAGGAGAACACAACTCAAGTTTAAAGGTGAATAGAATGTTGAATACATTTGATCAATGGGACAAGGGAACTTGTATAACATACCATCACCAAAAAAAATATATATACATATTTATATCAATCATGCAATGTAAAATTGATTAAAAAACAACACATATAATAAAGAAGCACATGCAACGTACAAAATAATGTTCAATGTTATGTGCATACTCAATTATGTGTGTATATCATGCAATAGGAACTGTGGTTGTATTCCAAGGGCCAACAAAGACAAAGATTTTCAGACAGAAGCTACATGTATATTAACAGGTTGTTCAAAACCAAGACTTACGAAGGCTAGTATTAACCCCCTCCTTATCAGTACTAGTGACTGACAGGCGGGACATAAGTTGTATTCTCTCTCCATTGAAATGAAAATCATCACTTGATTCTGAGACAAAAGCAGTGTTAGAGGGAAAAAATGAGAATTTTAATCCTGATTTTACAGAATTGTATTACATGTATATATTGCAAAGCTGCATCACTTACAAAAGCGTCAGATATGTTAATTGTGTTAATAGAGCACTACATTCATGCATTATTCTGGTGCATATATTTGGTATTTAGCATTTTAAAATGATAATAAAAGAATTTTAACTTATCAGATTTTGACTTTGTTTCATATTAGTCTTCAGCAATAATATTGAGCACTGACAAATACATGTCAAAAATTGAAAAAAAAAAAAGCCCAGGGTAGGAGGGAAAAAAGAGAATAAAAATCTTAGATGTATTCATCTCAAATTATAACTACTGCATAATATTATTGAATGAAGTATGTAAAATATAATTTGGAGTATTATTTTTTGCTTGCTTCTTTCAGATGCTGTATAATGTTTTCTCTTAAAACAAATGTCACCTCAAACTTCTTAGTGTGTCACTATTTGATCATTGTGCAGCTATGACATTCCAGGTGAACTATTTTGGGCTTTGAAAATTGGTTTAAATTTCTTTAACTAAGATGAATTTCTCGCATAACTTTTATATGATACATGCATGTTAGCTATAACAAGAAAACCTTTCAGAGAATCATTTTTGGGAAGATGGGGAAGGAATCCCATAACAAATTCAATGCAAGAAGAGCCACTTCCAAATGAATTATACTGAACAACCTTCCTGTCAAGTCATCATATTATGTCTACAATTTGTTGTGAAAAGCAGCACTCACCCTCTTCCTTTTCAGTCTCTTCCTCATCCAGACCGCCTTTCTCTTTCTCTTCCTCTCCAAGTGCTGGATCCCGAATCTAACGAGAAAGTGAATAACAAAAATCTATAAAATTATGTTTTATACCAAATTACATTAAGTAATTGTTGACTTTTAAATGATACGTAAATAATATCATCCATATAAACATATGGCAAATAAACAATATTAATGCCCAAGTGACTAATTCATTTGTGCATAAATAAGCAAATGAATGAAAATTGAGTAAAACCAGCCTGTGGAAAAAAGTGGAAAAGATACTCTAAAATTTGTAGCACTGATCGAATCATTTAAAATAGCAGAATCTACATCATACCTCTTTCCTTTCTGCTATGCCCTCCATAACCTTGTGTTCCTGAGCCAGCTGATCCTTCAGAGTTCTCTCTATCACTGGGGCATTAGCACCTCGCACCACTGCAACCAGGCAACCACCCTAATTTCAAGATTGAAAAAAATTTTAAAATGAATATCATCTTAAGGAAAGGATTATTTGACAATAAATATGTTAAAACAATGCATGCATTTGGCCCAAAAGAGAAATTATCTCTATAACTTTAAATAACAAAACTGAACAGGTAAACACAGGTTAACTCAGGAAGCAAGGTGCTTGCTGGACTGAAATGATAAAGGGATGCTTAATTAGCCTATTGTATTGCAAATCAAAGGCTTTTTCTTAGTCTACAGCTTATTGGTTCGACACCATCAAACTACTTACAGCAAAGAAAAGAAAGCATGGCTGGCATTTTCCTCTGTATTTCTCCAATGCATCTATTGTGTCTGCTTTTGCCTGAAATGAAAAGATCAATTTCTTAGTTTATCACAGAAACTGGCATGCTTTGGATCATTCAACAAACTGTGATGTGCTGGAATTTTCATCTACTGGAGCCTACTTCACAAAATAGTTTTTTAGACAAGACACTTTAGACAGAAAATGTTGTTTTTTTTTTTTAAGTCAGAATAAATTTGTGTCACCCTGCTTTATTAATGTGACTATTCAAATACTGACAGAAATTCTACCAATTCAGTTGCTGTGTACATGCTAAGGCTTTCTATTGGGCATTTTGTTGAAGTCTGAAATCAAATGCCAGGGTGCAATGGGTAAGACTTCTCATAGAGGATGCTGATTTTGTAATACATGTGAAAATGTCTGTCTCTGTACTCACTGTGGCAAAGTGCAGATAATCATCACTTAGTTCCATCTTCAACTTTCTCAAATTGGTGACCATAGCTTTGCATGGTCCGCTCCATTCCTGGTACACATCAACCACTACAAAGAGCAAAATTAATGTTCATAAGAGTGTGGTAGATGTGACCTGAAACATGCACCAAATGTGACTGGTTGTGAATATGTTGGAAACCATGCTGCTTGGAATTTGGCTCCTGGTTTGCATTGAAAATGAATTCTTGACAAATCGGATTAAAAGCAGAAAAAAAAAAATTAACCCATTCCCTCTGGCTAAAATTATAATAATCTAATATTTGATAATGAAAATAAAAACTGGTGCATGCTATCTAGTCTATAAGTGCAGTTTAAAATAAAAATAATAAGGTGCTTTAATTTTTTCATATGTTCTAAGAAAGCAACAAATTGTTTCAATAAATGTGTGCAAAGCTAAGCTAAAAATAAATTTAATTACTACTATCCTCACATTAAGCAAAAAATTGTGTAACTATTATGAATTTTTTTTACCGTGAATGTGCAATTTTCTAAAAAAAGATGCATCATGCAATATAAAATCTGCAAGTGCTTATTTTAAAACAAATACACATACAGGCATTATGTGCTCCCAATTACGTTATATTATTACACATCAATTATTCTAAATTATGTTAATTCTTAGTAAACACTTATTTAGGTGTATTAACATGTCAAAGAACTATAATCAAAGAAAGAAAGAATGGGGTTAATCACCTACTCAATACACAAAAATGTTTAATGCTAAGTATCTGTAAATAAATCACAACATTCCAGCAAACAATGACCCACAAACAAATATGCAAAATTAAAAGATCGGGAGAAAATTGTGTGAAAGTAAATTGAGCTTTCTACCAACATATCAACACACATTATTTTAGCAAGTGGGAGGATCACTCTAAAACATTATGACAACTATATGATTTCCTTTTCAATTTTTTTTTTTATTTCAGTAGCAAATATCTTATCAAAATCAAGATCATTTTGCAAAACTAACCTTAAACCAATCGATTATCATTTGAATATGTGCCATCAAATATCTTTTTCTTCCAAGATATAATTGTCTTGAAAATTTGGCATTAATTTCTTAACTGAATCCAGTATTTAATATTCATTTTATCTTTTTATATCTATCATTTTTTCTTTAAGCAATCCTCCCACAAGCCATATGCACGTATTATGAAATGAAAGAATAAATGATGAATCATGTCAACTTTGTGCTTCCAAATTAAAAAAAAGAAAGTTAAGGTTAACACATGTACAGGTATGTAAAGCAGCTCTGTAATATTAAACATGGAAACACCCAATACTAAAACAAAGATGTCAACATAAAAATATCAGATCATTATTCTGAATCAGGTGGGTTTCACTGACCAATGCCCAGTATGTGGCTATCTTAATAGTCAGTAAGGAGGTTGAAAGACAGGCATGAAGTTTATAAGGTACAACCACAAGAGTTTCTCATGATTAAATCCCCAATATACAAAAGTAAGTCTAAAAACAAAAGAAATAATTTAATCTGTATACTTTATAACATTTAGAAAAAAATCTATTTTGATCTTGTTCTGTATTGTTTTCATGACTTATATTAATAATGAAATGAGACAAAATGTGTTTTACCATTTGGTTGATCTGAAGTCTTATGGAACTCAAAGACTTTATTTCATTGAATAATTATAAGAACCTCTTGTGGACATTCACTGACAGGGTAAAAAATAAAATAAACATATATCATACATATAAAACAGAAAGAACAATCAACAGAAAAGTCTACCTTTCCACATTTAGAAGATACTGTTGTAACAGAACCAACTTATCAGTGTTTACACATTTTTAAACAATTGTAAATGGAAAATATTTTATCTTTGTACAGCATATTGCAATAATTTCAATTATTCTTCAGAAACACTTTTGTAGGTCAACATCCCCCCCCCCCAAAAAAAAGAAAAAATTGGAATTTTTTTTTTCTTTTGATAAAAGTTTTTTTTTTAATATTCAAGAAAGTTCTCTTTTGACAGTCTCCTAAATGTGAAAGCATTAATTGAGTCACATCCTCTGCATTCCTGCCATCATATTACCAATCAACCCTTCTTTGGCCAAACATTCCTCCCATTCCTCCTGGGTTCCTATATCGACCGCTATGGCGGCCTCTTTTTTTCCTTTGCCTGCCATTATTTATGCTAGCTAGTGATAGATAAATGGGGAAGAAAAAGGTGTCAAATTCATTCAAATATATTTTAATATTTCATATTCTGTATCCTGCAAGCCTTCATTGGTATATGATTTTTATAAAGGTAAATCCTATTATTTTAGCTTTTGTACGACATAAGCATACATATATCATTTTTGATAAGTATGTATATACCAGTAATAACCCAACCATAACATTAATATTATGGATTTTGGTTGCGGTTACCTTAAAAAATATATACCAATGTATGGCTTTTTTGCAGGTTAACAAAGAAAAATGAGCCTGCCACTTTGCACCCATCTCTCCTCACACATCTGCCTCCCCCAAACCCCCTTTTTTACAAAAAAAAAGTTAGAAAGCATCCAACTTAAATTAATTAACATTTGAGAATTTTTCCTGGTCATTATTTTGACTCTAAAGGAAAACTATATCATACTTGTGTGTTGGAGGTTTAAGATGCATTGCAAGCTGATTTTTCTTTAAAAATTGTGTCTCGTATCATACCAGATACATTTACCTAAAAGTCCTTCTTTTGTCATAAATTCTTCCCATTCTTCTTGCGTCTCAATTTGTACTTGTAAAACTATTTCCTTCTTCTTTCCTGCCATATTGTCTTAAAAACACTGCATTAAAATCCACACAAAATTAACACAATATGAAAATGCAAACTTAACTTATATAATTTATGTTTAATAAATTTAAAACTGCCACGTACCAGTACTTCACAGCTACAGTGTACATGTACAGTACATGTACTGGTAGGAGCAGTAATTACAGACAGGAGTATGATGCTAATTTAGTAAATTTGTTTGGAGAAACAGAAATTAACATTATTCTTTCCTATGAGTATAAACAGGTTATATATATACATATAGACTTACTACCATTAGGCCTAGTGTAACACTCTTGAATGGAGTAACTCATAAATAATCAGTTCACATTTTGACAGTATCATTACTTAAAAGTTCTTATAGAACCCACAAATTCACATTATTTGTAACGTAGTAATGCTAACAAATTATCATACATAAAGTTACCAATCCCATATGCATGTCACAGTTCACGCTAGATCAAAACTGGTAAAGTGAAATGTTCAGTATTCAACTTCAAGTGAAAATTGATAGGATTAGCCTTAGAATATGTACGTCGTTCGTTGCACGGGTAAGCTTCCAATATATGTCTGTATTCTCTAATCATAGCTCTCTGTACGCAATCAAGTAATTCAAATTGTTCAATATACGTAAAAACTACCATCCTACCTTGTCTGATTACTTTCCCATAGGATAATATGAAAAATATAAGCTTGAAATCCTTACACGCTGCAATTTGTAGGCTAGATGTTTATGGTTGCTGGGATGATCACATGACGCAAACGCTGTTTTTGATTGGTTCAGTTGCAAGTGCCCTGTAAATAGGTCAAATATGGCCGATGCAGTGGAAAGTGCCTTGACAGCTGCCGAAAAATTAGAATTATCACTAGAAGAGGTAATTACGAGATAGTGAAATTAATAATCATACAGGCGTTTTATGATATTGTATTGTTGATAATATATACATAAATAAGTTTGATTCTGGGCTATGGAACGAAATAGAAGCAACCGCTCTACCCCGCTCTACGTACGCCCCCCCTTCTTTCTAGAGCGAAGAGGCTAGTAGAGCAGATCGAGTAGAGCAAATTAGAGCTTTACTTACACTATGGATGTATCACAGTCTGCATATGATTGCGCATGGGCGGGTCCATCGGGTGGGTGTAGGGGTTAACTTACATATTTTCTGTTCATTTCCGTTAGCCACACTGTAATCTTATTTAGCTTCCTAATTAAGACTAAACCCTGTAACTTATAAGGCAATGAAGTATTTGGGTTATTCACACGATTGTGTACACTGTTGTACGTGTAGGCTAATAAATCCAATTTATGACAGAAACAAATATGTAGAACACAAGCCTGGACATTTTTGGCATTGGTGATGCATTCATATTTTACAGTGTTCAGATAAATTAGGGATGTTATTGTTGTAAACATGTTAATGCAATAAGCACTGTTATGCTTGCTTATTTCATTATGATGATGATGATTAACTAGTTACTTTATTTCTGTTTGCTTTAAGCATGTACGTTTGTATTAGCAGTTTTATATAATGATAAAATTGCTTGGTTTGTGTCTGAAGCAGAAATTCATTAAGCACTCATTTTAGACATCACTAATATTACAGAATATTCACTGGTAAAAAAAAACAACAACATGCTACACAATGTATGGATCATAAGGGAATCCTAATTCATTCCCAAAGCCATTAAGACTAGAATAAATCATTGTGTGATAAGGTGCGCATATGACATTGTAACTTTTGACTTGAAGTTGTTAAATTGTCGTTGTTGCATGATATATATTTTTACTGATTTTTAGCTTGATGTTTCCGAGTTTGACCTGCCTGAAGTAGCAACACCACCAACACTAGAAAGTATCTTGAATGAAGTAAGCAAGGTTTCCTGTAATTTTATATTTCTGATGTGATAGAGAAACTATTATGATAATTGAAAAAGTCTGTTAAAGCTATTTATTTCTCTGGTTACAATTTATTTGTGTGTATTAGTTTCATTAATTACTAAAATGCATGAGAATTGCTCTCTTTGATATGGTGCTTTTATGGATATGTATTTTGTGTGAATTTTGTCACCATAAATGAATTTTTGAAAGATTGACTCTTTTATTGAAGGCACATCATGACACTGCATCTCATCTCCAAATTAGAAAAAATACAGTGGCATAATTAAAGCCATATTCAGTGTGTAGTAACTGTGCTTGTTCTTTGTATTTTTTTTTTTTTTTTTTTTTTGATAATCAATTATGCATGAACTGAATAAGAGGTAATTGTTGAAGGTACCATTATTGTTCAAGAAGTTCAACATGGTTTGATGAACAGCACTCCCATTTCACCACAAAATCCCAAGGAATGTTAAGAAACAACATGGAGTCTTGTAACATAGTGCCAATGTTTAAAACAAAAGTTTTGCCATATTTATTCTGAATATATTTTATTTAGCTAGTTTTTGAAAACCAGTGTTTTTTAATTTTAGCTATTTTATGTATACTTTTTAAATACCGGTAGTTTTATCCTCACTACTCTCTTTGTATGACTTCAACCTTTTGATTGCTATGATTTAAGATGATAATTTTTGGTATTGTTGCAGCCAGATGATGACAATGTATTTGAAGATGAGAGTCAGTTGGAGATGTTCAGAGGGGACCAGGCAGATACAATGTCTGTATCATCAATGTCCTCAGCCTCCAGCCATGACATAGCAGAGGGCAAGTCTCCTAAGAAGTAAGTTCAATCATTGGCAAGGATGATGTTAATGTTGTGCAGGCCTATGTTGATATGGTTGGCACCCAGCAGGAATGTAGCAGTAGAAGTCTATAGAATAAGTTGTTGTGCTTTATTTCAAATCAGATCTCTCAGATTCAAATAAACAGGGATATATTATTATGGAATGTTTGGGGACATGAATATTTTTTTTGTCAAGTGACTTTGAAAATGGAACAGATTTGTCTTTTTTTCTAATTCTTGGTTCAGTTAAAAGAGGTATCTGTTAATATAAATACACATAATATCTGCTATTAATTAAATTATTCATATTATTTGACCTGTAACTTGCTGAAATGTTTTCTTAAACAAAGATTAATTGATAAAATTACCTTGTAGTAATATTTGCTACATGTATATTAAAGAAAATTCTCCATTTCTGATCTTTTAATGTAACAAATGATCATAAATTATGCTTGCTAATTTTTAGGCAGAGGAAGAGCATTACATATGAGGCACATGGATCCATTTTAAGACATGTTGTTCTAAAAGGCATCTCTGCCCAGCTTAACTCAGCTTCAGTAAGTAGAAGTCACATTATCCTACAACCAGTATCAAATGGGCCTGCTTCACATAAAGTCTTGTTTGTTTTGGGGCTAAAATCTTTGCCTCCTATAATGTACTTGACTAAATTGAAACTGAATTTAACAAAGAATCTAATTCCGATTGGCCACTGGCCATTTTTCCAATGTTTCATTGCAATATTACCAGTGATGCTGAATTCAAGTCATTATTAACAGATCTTAACCCGATGAAAGCACAGTTTTGATACTGTATCTGCTCTCTTTGTGTTTCAGGATCGTGTAGATGCTGGAATGCCTACAGCAGTGGTAAGTGCCCTGAAGATGGCAGCACCTGCTGAGTTGATGGAAAGATAATCTTTTCACAAAAATACATTATATAATTCCTAATATTTTGCTCATCAAACAAATGACATCTGCATTAAATTTTTCGTGATCTTTTTATTGAATTATAATATGATAATATTTTTTGCATTGGCATTTTTATGTTTGTTTGTCTATTCAAACATTCAATCAATCATTCATTCATTTGTAACATGCTCATTTTGAGTTTTATATTTTCAATATTTTTTATAAATCACAGAATTTTTACTTTTAGGCTGTCTCCCAGTTAATTGCAATAGGGACTTCCCATGGACTGGTGCTAGTGTTTGGTAAGCTTACCACAACTTGCTGATAATATTATGACACTGCTGCTGCCCACATCAGATAGTTTTAACCTGAGAATTGTCACCCATGTCATACACATACATTTTGTCTGTGATTTTATATTAAATACACAAAAAAAATTTTTCTTTTTCAAAGACCCCAAGCAGGTGTTAAAATGGTGCCTGGGCAGTACAGCCGTCGGAGCTCAGTATGGAGCAGTGTCAGCTCTCAGTTTTAACAGAGATTGTACTAGACTACTCTGTGGATTTGCTAGAGGGCAGGTTAGTACCTTGTAGCTATAACAGGTAGATTCTGTATTGGAGTTATCATCACACATCAACTTTATGGGTATTTTTTTTCTCTTAGGGCTAAGTGAGTAATAGGTGGTTCAATAGGTGCAGTATTAGATTGTCGCTTCCCTTACAAAAAATTCCTATAGGATCCTATAGGAATTTTTTATAAGGGTTCCAACACTTCCACTTCCATTTAATATGTATGATAACTACAGTAGATTCCATATAAACCATCATATTGCTCCATCATAGCAACCAGAACTAATGGAATGGATTTTGTATTAGCTTAAATAAATATGAACATTGGCTAATTCGAATCTTCACATATTTTGAATAAATGTTATTGTCCCCAAGTTTCCTCTTAATGCAGGATCTGCTGCTCATTAAATGTTGCAATTATTGTCTTATAAAGCTTTTATCAGATGCCTGTGTGATTTTCAGATCACCATGTGGGATATCACTAATGGGAAATTGCTGAGAACCATCACAGATGCTCATCCCCCAGGGTCTGCTGTGCTGCATGTTAAGGTGAGAATGTCTGTCACACCTAACACAATCTCTTCATACCTAACACAATTTATGAACACCCAACACAATTCATGTACACCTAACACAATCTGTTCGTGTCCAACACAATCTATATATACCAAACACAATATATTTACACCCAACACAATCTATTCACACCCAACAGATATGTTCACAAAATTTTTCTGAATCTGTTAAACAGAAATCACATATTGTTCTGTAGTTTTGATTCTAATAGTATTCTTTGTTCTTTCAGCTATTTGGTGAGAAATTAATAATAATATTATGTTTAAAGATTATGCACCTTTTATGGGTTTTAATGAAGAAATGGCTCTATCAGATACTGTTTTCATTCCAGTTCACAGATGAACTGACAGTGGCAGTTTGTAGTGATAGCGGGGGCTCAGTTTTTGAACTAGAATTCAAGTAAGTAAATGTCTTCACGTGTCTTGACAGTATCATGAAACTGTTAATCACCTGTAGTCTGCTATCTTTGAAATAGTAAAAAAAAAAGGTAATTTTTAAGTAAGAGCAGTATTTATGTAAGTATTAACTGACACAATCTTGGTGTTATAGTATAAAATCTGAATATATATGAACTGCTAGCTACTAGAATTATTTTGCTATTTTATTTTGTTATGTTTCAGGCGTCTTATAGGTGTACGGACATGTGAGTCTAAATGTTTATTCTCTGGAAGGTAAGAGAATGCCACACCCACTTTGAATACTTTTATGGTCATATTTGGTATTATAATCATTATATTATATATATTATGTAATGTTACTTTATTTTCTTTTGTCCTTTGTTAGTAAGGTATTTTATTTTAGTCATAAGTATAAACATTCTGTTGCATTTCTGATGGGTACGGTAATACTATACATCAGACGTTAATGAACTGCCATAATTCTTAGTCAGTATCAGGGGCGGATCCAGAGTTATTTTCTGACAGTCTTCCAATTTATCTTTGTTGATCCATCCTCCATTTTTGACCGTACTCCGACAGAAAAAATTAGATACCCGTCAATGTAAACTTGAAAATCTGACCGTCTTCCGGAAGACCCAGAAGACGCCCTAAATCCGCCCCTGAGTATCTCCAATATATTTTCAGCCGGGGTGAAGTGTGTGCAATAGAGCCTCTTCATATGAATTACACTATCAAAGACCATCCTATGAAGGATGTTATGATACTTGCCATGGCAACATTCTCTAAGGTACTATAAGCACAAATTGAACAAATGGTATATTAAAGTCCAAAAAGAAGTGACAAGTTTAAAGCAGATTTTACATAATACTTAAAAGTGGATTTCATCCTTTAAATAAATATGAGATTATGATATGCAGGCATGAGGGTTTTACTTGGAATCAAAGAATCCCGAGATTTTAAAATCAGTTCTGATTGGTCCACAGATTTGTCAAGTTTGAATGTATACATGGTCCCACAAGTAACTGTTCAAAGATTTTTTTGAACCCAGATCTGTTTTAAATTTATTTAAATTAAAAAAAAATTAACAAAAAAAATTAATTTTGAATCTGTTACATTTATCTGCTTCTGTTTCCAGGTCTTAATAGTAACACTGAGACCACAACTCAAAGTGATGTTCTCTCATCCTTTAAAGGTGAGTCTTGAACGGAACAGAGATTCCTATTGAAAAAACATGATTCTTTTTTATCCATAAGTCAGCAGAACTCAAAGGAACTATATCGTGGATGAAAGACTTAACTTCCATTTGCTTGACAATCATTACAGAAAAAATTAAGATAAGGCAGAAATCGTCATGTAATCCTGATAAGAAGCACTTGAAATGTTAGTTATTATTTTCGTGGTGCTGTTTGTATTGCCAAAATTAATATTCACTGTAATGTTTATATCATATCTATGACGTTTCCAGGGCGACAGCTCCACGCTGCCACTGCTGGCCTGGCAGTTTGTGGTCATCCAGGTCTCGGACAAGGACAGAGTGATTGACCCTGTGCTGGCCTTTGGGAGGGACAGCACCATACACTTCTTTCAGGTATAGGCTCAGTTCTCATCAATAATGAGGTAGAAATAAAAAGGTAAAATAAACTATTAGGTGTCATCATTTGACAGGACTTTGGAGGAGCCCCAGTCTCACTTTGGACTTTGAATTAATTATGATAATTAACCTGCTTTGAATTAATTATGATAATCAACATAGTCATTATTTAACATCTGTCAGTTTCTGTCAGTAAATCCTGGTGAGTTCATGGCTGTGGAAAAGGACCAGGTGTTAGAAGCTCTGTAATTGCAAACAAGCTGAAAGGGGGTCTTTCTGATATGTTGAGAAACAGCATATTGAAAATGTGTTGTTTTTTTATTGAGAACAAGATTTTAAGAAAAATTGGCCTTGGGAGCACACTGTTATAGAAGTGAAAATATTTGCTAAAAGCTTACCATCATTTCAAATCTGTTCTGCTTATAGTAAAGTTATAGAAAATGTTCAACCAAATTGTGTCATAACATATTAAGTCTAAGAAAGTTAGTTCCAATTACAAATTGCTTTATGTATTAGATTTGTTACAATTATATAAGATCTGTCATAGACATTCATCATTTTTAAAACACTAAAATAATATAAATGACTTTTTTATTTCTGACAATTCTCAAAGAAAATTGTTATCAACAGCAGTTCTGATGGCAACTATTCTCAGTCAGTGATTGAATCTAGGAAAAATTTTCCCTGCTCAGACATCAGTTGGTCCTTCCTCACAGAAGGAATCCCCTGGCCTGAAGATAATCTTTCTCTTGGTCTTGCCATCTGGATAGTAATTGCAGACCAGGCCTGGGGCACAGCCACAGGAGGCAAACCCTGGGGTGTGGCAAGAGGCCCCTTTCTGAATATAGGCCATACATCTGCCCTCTGGAATATTATTATATATAATGTAAGAATTATTCCTGTATACGTACTGGTGCATTTTGTTTCACTGGTTGTGATATAACAATACAATGTTTTAATATATTTATTTATAAATATAAATAAATCAGAAAAATAAGATTTTCAGATATATTTTCTTATTGTATTTATCAAAGAGATCAGATGCTCAGTTAAATGAATTGGTGACAATCAATGAGTTTATTACAGCTGTGACTATATACATAGCTGACTTGTGGCTTTTAGCAGACTAAACTTGGCCCAAGATCTCTAAAAGATTTAGTGAAACAAGATCCTGAATGATAGCACAAAATATTTTAAATACACCACCTCGTTTAGACAGGAAAGGCAGGTCAGGCAGAACCCTCTTGCTGACTATGTGGAATCTATACTCTGGTACACAGCATTCACCGTCATTACAGTCATCATTGGTTTTGCAGTCACGAATAGTCACTGCACCCTACAAATGTATAATCCTTATACTAAGTCTTTTAGTCTGAAGCTTTTGACTATAGTTTTTCTTGTGAAGTATGTGTCTGCATACAAGAGGTTTTACCTTTATTTATTTATTTATTTATTTATTTATATGAAAAAAAAACTGTAAAGATACTCACAAAAGCAGCAGCTATTACAGCCAGGAAAACCAGCAGTGTCTTCATCTTGTCTTGTGAACTGTCAATATGGTCTACTTCATGAGGTGGATGTAGATCTAGTTTAGTATTAAGTCTTTGGGGCTGTGGAGCCTGAACAGGTGTCACTGGGATGGGTCTGTAATCATTATGATACTGTGACCTGTTTTGGGTTTAAAGTAGGGAGATTGATGTCAGCGAATGCTAAATAAATTATAATATGAGTAAGGTTTTAAATTACACCACTGGACTAACTATTTATTTTGATGATGCATAAATGTCAGCTATAAACTTTAAGATTGTCTTACAATATCCAGTTATAATAGATTAAGAAACGTAATTAATGTAAAATATGACTGTTACTGCAGTCAATGACTTATCTACATACTTAGCTAATATACCCAGTATTATGATAATGCTATATTAGAGATAAAACATTGAAATTTGCTTATCATGAAATAAACTGTAATTACTTGGTTTGTTTGAATAAGATATAAGAGATGGTTTTAAATGTTTGGCTGGATGTACGTTATTTTCAGTTACTTGTGTTTTTTAGGTGATCTGTGTAAATCCAGAAAACATAAAATTTTCACCACTGCAAAAAATAGAGCTACCATATAAAATCCTCAGTGTCACAGTAAGTATAATAGGATGTTTTCATATTTTGCAAAGTCTCATAAAGCTTAATTAACTATCAGTGGTGGAAGATATTTTAAAGATTTATTTTGGAATCTTCATTATGAATAATTTGAGGCAATGTTATTGAAATTCCTTAGTTTATGAAGCCAAATATTCTCTCTCTCTCTCTCTCTCTCTCTCTCTCTCTCTCTCTCTCTCTCTCATATTACAAAATTCTTTCCTTTAAGTGGCTGAATGCAAGGACAGTGGTCATCTTGGACAGGTCAGAGCAGCTCCATGTGGTGGACGTAAGAAGTGAAGAAGAATTGGAGGTATGGCCACTGTTCTTGAATTTTTTGCATCAACTTTTTTTTTAATGTGTACTGAAGGTTTAACTTGACAGTTTGAATTCAAGCTTAATAAGTTTTTAAATTGATGCTTATAAATGTTTTCATCCAGATCGAACTGGACAAGTATTTGAAATATTTTCAGTTGCTCTTCCTTCCATGAGGCTAACAAGTCCCAGACAGATCCAGAAATTTGCGGAATAACTGTTTGGATTTGTTGCATTTTTTTGTTCTATTTCTGGAGAATGATTAAGGGAAAAAAGGGAATACTCCCAAAGTTGAGGGCAATTTTCCCCTCCCCTTCCCTTGGTTCCACCTTTACAAGCTTATATTCAATGTGTCTACCTAACATATTGATCACATTCAGAACAGATGATCTGCGGACTTACTGGTCCTCAGACTAAATATGGCCGACCCCACTTTTAAGCAAGCTGCCTAATCCCCTGATGGCCTCCCTGCCTCCACATGTGTCATTAAACAGATTAAATTCTGGCCCCCAGATTTAATTGCTAGGCCCCGGCAGGCCAGCGACGCTGCAGGTGTAGGCAGGTTAGTCGGCATTGCTTCTAAGTGGGTTTACCATTTTAAGTCCGCGAATCATCTGTTCTGAATGCGACCAATATGTTAGGTAGACGTATCTGTTAGTCCTTAGATCTACTTGGTCTAAATGCATTCATTGACTTCTCTCCTGTCCACCAGGTGCTGGATGTGGGGGAGGTGCAGCTGGTCTATGGCAGCAGTTACTTCAAGTCTCTAGCCACTGGGGGCAATGTTAGCAAGGCCCTGGTGAGATTACTGATATTTAATAATAATAATAATAATAATAATTTTAAAATTTGATTTTTGTTGAATAGTTACAATATAAGTGGCACCACAAAAAAAGTACATAATATAGCAGTAACTCACACAATGGCCGAAATGCCAATTCTTTCATCATCAATTTTGTTTTTATCATAGGCATATGCAGGAGACTCAGCCTGTTATCAGTCATTGGTCAGTTACAGTGGTCAGCTGTTACTACTGGGCACTAAGAGTGTCCACTGTTACACTCTCAGGAACTGGACAGAAGTAAGGGACTGTATTATATATAATTTAATATATATATTGTTACTTTAAAAGCCTGTCCTTGTGCTGGGGTTTATTACAAATTACATTTCATCATACATTCGTCCTTTTGAGTTTCTGTTCACTAGAAGATTAAGAGGTTTGTAAAAATAAATTATCCTGCTTATTGCCCCTATTCATGAGAAAAAGATGATCATGTGTTAGTATTAATAAAACTCCTTTCTTTCAGAGAATAGATGTTCTAGTTAGACAAGGAAGGACTAGAGATGCTCTGTCCCTGGCGTACTCTTTCTATCAAGACAAAGCCAAGGCAGTGGTTGGTTTATTGGGAGGACTACAGAAGAGGAAGCAAGTGGTTGCTGACAAGGTAACTCTTCTGGGCTTGTACAAGATTCACTATTGGCTGTGAAATATGCCTTTTGAATATAGAAAATAGAAAAAATATTGAGGATATTGAAATTTTACTTTCAATTTTTTCCAGTTTTTAATGGTTGATTTTCATTAATTTGAATCACTTGCAGATGATGGAGTTGTTGTATAAGTTTGTAGACAAAGCAGTTACAACAGACTGCCCTGAGTCTGGGAAGATGGAAGAGCTGGAGGAATACTTCCAGGTAGGAATGGTGCTGACATCTATTGACCAATTGTAAAAGTAGACAACTACACTGATACCTATGCTGTAATTTGCAATAGGCATAAGTAAAAAAAACTTACACTAGTCTAGAACTGTAACATTGAAAAAATTGGAGTAATATATTCAGACATGTATCATTATAATATTAATTAAAAGTAAATATCTCCCTCAGACATTTATTCAGACATTTATTTTGTCTGATTAAGAGAAATTTTACTAATTCCACCAACTTAAATGCTATTATTAACAATAATAATAACCTTCTAAATTTACCATTGGTCCCAAACCAAATTGCTAGCAGAATTGGAGCTAGACCAGGAATTTTTTTAAAAGATTAATTTGGTTAGTGGCCACTGTTTCTGGTTTAGACCAGGAGATTCTTAGACCCTTCAGGCTGGTGGCTCTAAGAGCCAGCAAGGTAAAAAGTTTTTGCTGCAGGCTGATTAAAGATATTTCTTGGTTACTTTCTGAAACACACAGTGTATCAGTGCATTCTTTTAACTATTACCATTTTAATTGCAGAGTGTAGTTCCAGTCTGTGTGGATTACTGCTTGTTGCTGGGGAAAACGTAAGTAATAAGGTGTATTCATTGCATTATTCTGCAGTTGATTACCAGTGGAAGTTCATTTCAGATGTGTTTATGTAAAGGCAGTCAGCAGTGTTAACACTGGGCCCTTGCTAAATGTCAGTAAATTTGAAAACGGACCTTAAAATGCATTGTGGTTTTGTAAATGTTATTTCAGAATCACTTTTGTTTTTATAAAGAGATTTCTGTAAAGTATGGTGACAAACAAAAAAATTGAAATTTACGTTTTCCTATGGCACTGCATTATCCATTAATAGCATCTTGCTTTCTCAGGGAGGTCTTGTTCAGCGCCATCTATGACCAGTTTAGTCTAGACCCCACAGCACGAGGAGTGTTCCTGGAGTGCCTGGAGCCATATATCCTGAGTGACCAGTTGACCCACATCACACCAGTGGTCATGAAGGCATTTATTGACCACTACCAGTCCAGAGGCATGCTGCAAAGTGTGGAGGCCTGCATTGTCCACATGGATGTAGGCAGCTTAGACATACACCAGGTACATGGCTTGTAGAAAATTCAATATTGGCTGTGAAATATGCCTCTTGACTAAATTTTATCTGTATTTTTTGGGGAGTGTATAAATCGTATTTAGAGTCAGGCTAATCCTTCTCCACATTTGTTTTAATAAGATATAATTATTTTAATGTTGCATTGTAAATTTTGCCTTATTGAATTGACTTGTAACTGCGTAAATAAGCATGTAACATAAGGAAAGACTTACTGAATTATTTTTAATACTCATGTCGGTGCTCCTTAGTAAATATGGATAAACTGTTTTAATAACCATTGAAGTCCATGCTTAAATCTTTGAAATCTCTTTATATCACATCCAGTTCATTTTCTGTTTCTAACAAATCCCAGAATTAAATGTAATTTGTGGGTTATTAGAAAATTTTAGAAATTAAGGATATTGTGTATTTGTATTAATTTTTTTTTCTCCAGATTGTGATCCTGTGTTGGAAGCATGGTCTATATGATGCCATCCTGTACGTATACAACCATGGCATGAGAGAGTTTGTTACGCCTCTCGAGGAGCTCCTTCGTATTCTCAGGGCAGCTGTCTCCACTGGCAAACAACTCACAAATGATGAGATACGCCTTGGTAACAAGCTCTTAGTCTATATCAGTTGCTGTTTGGCTGGGAGGGCGTACCCAATGGGAGATATTCCTGAAGATATCGTCCAATCAGTGAAGGACAGTGTATTCCATTGTTTGACCGCTCTGCATACAAAGGATGGGGCTGAGAATGAGGCTATGTATCCGCAGTTACGGACATTGTTGTTGTTTGATACCAGAGAGTTCCTGAATGTTCTTGCTTTGGTGAGAAATCTTCCTGTCTTACAGTTTAAAACCTTGGAGACACATTGCATGTAATTGATAAATTCAAAAACTTGAGAAAGTAATTTAGACTTAAAAGATGAATTCATAAAAAATCTAAAAGAATACAGCATGTTCATGAACTGGTAGCTCCTTAACTGATAAAAGCTTCTCTAAGTATGTATGTAATGATGTGCATTACATTTTATTTGAATTTCATTATTATTTCATTACATTTTTCCTTATT